TAGAGGTAAACTTAGTTTATTTCCTTCGTGCTTTTTCTTTTTGTCTCGTTTGATCTTTTGATGCTGCTCTTTCTTTCTTGTTAAACCTCTGTGCTTGGTTTTAGTTGAGGTTTGGTCTCCGTTGTGGTTGAGCTATGGAACTGGTCTTGACTTTGCTGTTGACTGGAAGAGTGTTAAGTGTTAAGCTATTTATATGCTTACTCTAGAGGATTCTTCTGTTGCCTTCTAAATATATATTAAAATTTTTACAACTGCATAGTACAATGAACTCCTAAAACAAAAGTAAATACAATTTTTCATTCATCTCTTTTTTGAACTCATGAGAGAGGTGGGCGGATAAATTGGTATCAGTATTGTTCAAGAATTTAATAGGAGTCCCTATTGTCCCTTGAAGTTCAGTCGTTAAAAACTCAAAACTGGTCATAGTCATATCACCTTCTTTAACTATAGGTACACAGAGAAGGGATTGCAAAAGTTGTGGACAAGTATGAGTTGATGACAAGTGTCTGTTTCACATTTCTTATATATGTCCATCTTTCACGTGGATGTGTGGACCATGGTGTTGACAAAATTATGAATTTGATCCATCTTAATAAAAGCCTAAAACGTGTTCATGTGACATCTGTCCATGTCTTGAATGTGAAAGTGTGGACCATGGTGTGGTTTGCAATTGGAGTGACATCTCTCATGTCACGTTTCAGCATTTTATCCATGTTGGCTACTGAATGATGAGAGTTTTCTTATGTTCAGGCAGCTAATCTCGAAGTTGGTGCATCAGGGAAACATGAGTTTTCAAGCCTAGGACGTGGAAAGTATAGTGGTAAATACTCTTCCTTCTCTGCTCCAGTTTTGCTTTTTGAGTTCTAATTATGCAAGTATAGTGGCTTCCTTTGTGTGTTTGCTTGACTTGACATTATTTGGTTTCTAGAATGCAGCACAACTGCTTCATCTGATGATAAACAAGAGTTTGAGGATGTGTCTGAGGAAGATGAACCTTCCTTCCATGACACAAAGGAGTTCTTTAATGAACCTAATGTTGGTTCTGAATCAAATCTAGCTATTTCTGGACACGCGGATATCAAGAGAAGAACGAAACTTCCTGATCCAGCTGAAAAAGAGAAAGGTGTCAGTCTTTGGTCTATGATCAAAGACAACGTTGGAAAGGATCTCACCCGAGTTTGCCTCCCTGTTTATTTCAATGAACCAATATCTTCCCTCCAAAAGTGCTTTGAAGACTTGGAGTACTCCTATCTTCTGGACCGAGCATATGAACATGGAAAATCTGTAAGTGACACCAAAGTCTCTTACTTATCTTGTACTATCCTGCAAGTCGATGATATTCTTTGTTGCTGCTATACTACATTCTCTTAATCTTATATTTACTTAGAGCCTGTTCTATTATTAGGGGAATGGTCTCTTAAGAGCCTTAAATGTTGCTGCTTTTGCCGTCTCTGGATACGCTTCCACTGAATGCCGGCACTGTAAGCCCTTCAATCCTTTGCTTGGAGAAACCTATGAAGCCGACTTTCCTGAAAAGGGGATTCGTTTCTTCTCTGAGAAGGTATTTCTTTAAGATAAATTTTAACTCAAAGTTAGAATGTGATGAACATAAATGTCAGAATCTTTCCCCAAGACTATGGAATATCATTCTTTTGGTATCGGGCTTATATAATAGGTCAGTCACCATCCAACTGTTATCGCCTGCCACTGTGAAGGTAAAGGGTGGAAGTTTTGGGGTGACACTAACCTCAGATCAAAGTTTTGGGGGAGGTCAATTCAAGTCGAACCTGTCGGAGTTTTGACTCTAGAGTTTGATGATGGCGAAGTATTTCAGTGGAGCAAGGTATATATAAAGTTATTAACTACTGCTTTGAAGTCACTTCTGCAGATTTTTCTTTTGGCTCTGAAGTAACTTTATACTTCATCTTTGTTGTTAGGTAACGTCAACTATATACAATATCATACTAGGTAAACTCTATTGTGATCATCATGGTGTGATGCAAATCCGTGGGAACCGCCAATATTCTTGTACGCTCAAGTTTAAGGAGCAATCCATTCTTGAGAGAAATCCCCACCAGGTGAGTCACATAGAAATGCTCTGTATATGTAAACAATGAATTTTATACTTTTGAATGTATGTGGTAGCTGAATACTTGAAAAGTTGAAATAAAACATGATCAAATTCAAATATACATATAGGTAAACGGTTTTGTAGAAGACGTAGCTGGGCAAAAAGCGGCAACAATATTTGGTAAATGGGATGATAGTCTTTACTATGTTGCCGGTGATGGAATCAGCAAGTCGAAAGTCAGTGATCCCGCATCAAATGCCTCGTTACTGTGGAAAAGGACCAAGCCACCGCCTAATGTCACTAGATACAACTTAACCTCATTTGCCATTACCCTGAACGAGCTAACACCTGGTTTGCAGGTATGGTCATATGGATTTATTATGTATATGGGTTCTGTTTCTTTTAGACACATGTCTGATCTTGTGTTTATTTTGTTCATGGATTTAGGAGATACTTCCTCCTACAGATTCTAGGCTCAGACCAGATCAACGGCATCTTGAGAATGGTGAATATGAGAAGGCGAACTTAGAAAAACAACGGTTAGAAAGAAGGCAAAGAATGGTATGTCACCTAAACATTTCACTGGTCCATGAACTTGCAAATGTCATTTGTAAGCCCTGAATGAATTAACTTTCAGAGAACATGAGGACTAATACGTAGAATGAACTTCTGTCTTGATTTTTGCATAATTTGATCTCTGACATGTTCGTTTATCGATTTGGTCGTTATATAGTCTTTAGGCTGATCTTCTACCTTGACCTTCTGTTGTTAGTCTGTTACATTTTTGAAAATTTTGATCGTTATGTTCTAAGAACTACAATTGCTCGGTTTCTATGCAGTCGCGGCAACTTCAGGAAAGCGGATGGAGACCGAGATGGTTTAAGAGACAAGGTGAAAGCGAAACCTTCAAGTACACGGGTGGTTACTGGGAAGCACGAGGGCACAGAAACTGGGATGATTGCCCCGACATCTTCGGGGAGTTCACAGAAGAGCTAGCGGATTCCGCTTAGAAAGCTTCTTAATATCATTCCAGGTAATACAACTCATCCTACCAGCCAGCAAAACATGAAACTGTCCCTTAAATGTTACAATAGAAAACCCGAACCACCAAAACTATAGTGATTTCGAAACAAAAACGTCGATTTTTGATATTAAGTATTTCGTTTCTTGCATCCAATCCTTAAAAGAAGATCTCCATCCGGACCACAATGGAGTTGTTTACACAGAAGCACACGTCTTTCGACCATGGATCAAAAGCTATAAAAGGTGTCCTCCTTGTGTCTTAGAGAGTCACTGTAAAGTCTTATCTCCTTCTCTCTCCCTCTTCTCTTCAATTCTCTATCTCCCTCGTTAAATAGTTGAGATTAATGTAGGTTGGTCTTACATTTGGACAAGTTCATTGTAATCCATTTGTATTTAATTAAAAAAAAATGTGAGCAATCATATATATGAAAGGAGGCTATCTCTCTCCATCCTTCCGCCACGTCAGCATTTTTGGCTCTTCTGGAGATGACACATCAGCTTTTATTCGTCCAATCAAAACATTTCATTAATACACATCAGCTTCTAATTATAAGTGTCAAATGAAATAAAGAAAATAGCTAGCCCATGATGGATGGACCATATGTGTTTTAGAATCTATTAGAGTGCAATATTTATGGGTCGAGCCCATTTAAGTGATGGCTTAATGCTTCTAAACCCAACAAATATTTTAATTCCCCACAAAACTTTAACAAAATAAATCTCTCCCACTCTTTGCTCGATCATTCAATATGAAAGAAGAAGAATCTCAAGGCAAATTTCTCGACTTCGTAAATTCCATCATTCATAGTCTCCCTTTCTGTACATCATATTTCTTTAGAACAAACGTTTTCTACCTTCTTACTGCCAAAATGGAGGCCACGGTAGAGGTTACACAAAAACATATTCACACTCACAGCTTATGGGATTACAAACTTTCACTACTATAAACACTCAAACAGACATTGTTCATACCGGATTATATGTGTTTCAGACAGCATCAGTAAATGTTTACCAAGGTGCAAGGAACATAAAAACGATACAGAACCACCATCATGTACAACCTACACGAGAATTACAAAATGAAAACATCAAATACAACTCAAGTTGACAATATCGATATACACAACATTGAATAGCTACTCACCTGAATTATCACTGAGGTGGTGGTATTTGGAACAACTGTCAAAACACAAATATTCTGTAGCGTCCTTTTCAGTATTGTTTCATACTTCCTTTCAACTTTTCCTATCAATATTCAAAGCAAAAGTAATTCAGATCTAAAAACCAAGAATCACCTTTACAACATACTTAAGCAACAAAACACGCCTCCTAATGAAAAACTAAACGCATTTACGATTACCAATCTATCCGGTTTAAGGCTTCCATATGACTTCAAAACAAGCCTTCTCAGCATTTTCGTTCTTCTTCATTCCTGCTTTAGGTCCGTATTGTGCAGCTAGAACTTTTGTATCCCCTGAAAATATAAACGAGAGAGTTCAATGAATCTCATTCAAAAATGATAAAAAAAACTTTGTACCCATAATAGATATTGAGAAAGCTGATAAAGTACCTTCTGACCAACTAGTAGAGCCATGAGGACGATGAAGGATATTACGGGAACAAGCAAGAGGTCTCAGCTGACAAGTAAGTTTTTTTCCCGGGTTATATTTTAAGTCAAAAAATAGATCTAATCTTAAAAATTGTAACTACATAAGATAGATTTACTTTTATTAACTACATAATAATAAATAAAAAATAAACATAAATTAGCAAGAACAATCAATAATCTTTTCTTCACAATTTTCAAAACAAACCCACGCGTAGCGTGGGTATTCATCTAGTAATAAATAATTCCAGGCAAAGACTCTTTCACATTGCTCCTCTTGAAATAAAATTTAGCACCAACACCTAAACCAAAAATAGATTTAAACCAATCGCCGTTAATGACGGAAGACGAGATGGTGGATCTGATCGGAGGAGGAGAGAACTCTGTTGATCTGATAACTGTAGCTACCGCCGTACACTGGTTCGATCTCCCGAGATTCTACGCGATTGCGAATCGTCTTCTCCGTAAACCAGGAGGAATCATCGCCGTGTGGAGCTACAACACTGACATGGTGGTGAGTCCCGAGTTCGACTCGGTGATGACTCGGTTTAACGCTGAAACGATACCGTATTGTAAATTTCCAGAGAGTCGGTATTTTTTGGACGGATATAAAACGTTGCCGTTTCCGTTTGAGAGTGTGGGCTTGGGCTCTGAGGGAAAGCCCATTGAGTTGGAGATGAAGAAAACGGTGTCGTTTGAAGGATTTTTGCGGATGTTGAGATCATGGTCTGCCGTTGGTGCTGCTAAGGAGAAAGGAGTCGACTTGTTGTCCGACAATGTAGTGAAAGAGCTTGAGACGGCTTGGGGTGGTTATGAGCTGGTTCGAACCATTGTTTACAAGACGTTTATGCTCGCAGGAACCGTTCGTTAGAAACTAGCTTCTTCTTAAATTTGTAACCAACTAGTTGAAACTTGATGTCTTAATGGTATTTGAAACCTCATGAAATAACAAAAATAGTATAAACATAAAAAAAAACGATAAAGTTTATTTTACCTTATCATCTGAACCAAAGAGATACATACAACATATGGAAATCGAACTTGAAGAACATCAAAACGAAACATGTGAAAACACTACGAATGTTTTCACTTTATTTCAACAACATAGATGGTATTGAGACGTATATGATTATTAGAGAAACATACTTTGCACCATATTATTATCCGATATTACGGAATTGGTCGTCTGGTTATTTAGTTGTATGAGAGGATTAAGCGCATCTAAAACCAGCTGGAGGAACTATACGGCAGAGTCTAAGAACCTGGTTAACTCGCAGATTGATTGTCAAGAAATTGAAGATTGTGATTCTAACGGCATTGCAGATACAGGCAGATGCCGCAGCGGCGTCAAGCCCAGCCACTAGAGTGCAGCATGGCAACACTGTTTGTTCGTTGATGAGGATTAAGCTGAGGCGAAACACGTTGCTACAAGATATGAAATTGATCGAGTCTCTGGGACACACCGGAGCTTGAGGTGGAGGAGATTGGGCCTTTGTGAGGCCAAGGAAGACGAGGTTGATTGCGAGGAAGAGAGCTATAGCGTTTTTCATCATGTTCTTTGAAGCCATATTTTGAAAATGCTAATTAAGCTCTCTTATTTTGGAGAGGAGAGTTGAGTAATTTACGTTGGGAGGTGATGAGAGTTTGTATTTATACTTATAGTCTTTTAGGAGATTTGCTTAGATGTGATTTAAGAATGATCTAATGTCTACTTTAAAAAAGTCAACCAAAATGTGCTGATAATAGGGTTTATCACTAACCAAGTCTCTTGGTTAGGTATGGTTTATACCATTTAGTTCAATTGTTTCCATTAGAATTGGATTTCTTCTAAAGGGCCTAGATATCGGACTTTACTGAGCCGTAATGATCAAGTCAAGGAGTCTTAGGAGGAGTTCCAATTTTATGCAGTTTTAAGGACACAACCCCACAACCAATGGGATCACACGTAAAATTTCGAAAAGTGTCATTAACTATGGACGGTTTCACTCTTATCTCACACTTACAGAGCCGGCGTGACTTCATAATCAAGTGTTGTAGGAAACTCGTTGATGATTTATTTAACTTCTTCCTTGTTTATCTTTGTTTCGGAATGAATTTAAATTTCGTATTTTAACCATAAGAAAGGAAAAAATATATCAACTCTCAAGATATCTAAACCTCATCTACTCATCTAGAGAAGAGGTTTGGCAAGGAACATTTTGTCAATGCCCAAAAAGCCAAAACATTACAAAACTCTATCAAAGTTGGTATTCTTGCTGAACGCACACTATTAATTTAACAAATGTCTTACAATAGAGATTTGGCGGCCAAGGTAATTTGAAAATTTGCCAAGTCTACGAATAAAATTATAAAAGGTTTGGCGATGAAATTAATGTAAAATGTCTACCCAAATAAAGTCAAACTCCACAATCCATAACGTACTTAAACGGTCATAACATTTGCCATAGAATCGACTCTCATAGATCCTATTGTCAATTCTTGTTAGTGATTTACTCATATGAGTCATATCCAACGTTCTATTGAACTATAACCATTTAGTCGATAATTTAGTAGATTTCTATTATATATAGATGAACATTTCAGTATTATTATTTTTAATTCTGATTAGTTAATAGTTATTATAGATGCTAACTGACAAGTGTTATTATGATTGAACCATTGAACCATATACAACACACTGGCCAACCTCAATTTTTTTTTTCTTTACACCGTACCATCTCTTAGAAAATTATAATCAACTGGCTGTATTTTGGATGGACTTTTTTTTATTCATTCCCAATTTACCGTATCATATATGAAGCTCCACGATCTCATCAGTTTTCTCACATCATATGTATATACTTATTTTCATACCTTTTTTCATACAAGTACTCATTCACTATATTCATATTTCCCCGCTCAAAAATTGAAATATCTTTTTTGATGAGCATAAGAGGAAGGTAATATTGGGCCGGATTCAGTTCAGACAAAAACTTTTTACGTTTGTATTTGGACCAACCCTAAACCGGTTAACACCAAGTAATTACGATCAACTCAATCCTAAACAAATCCAAATTAACTAAACCCCCTTTAAACTTTGAACAGGGATGATTTAGGCTCAATTTTTTTTGGTAAAAAATACAGTCGGTCCATTCAGTTTCAAGCTAACCTAGCTTATCTAGTCAAAACTTGATATCCCAATGGTATAATTGAAGATTCATGAAATAACATAAACTCGAAAACAACTTTCAAAAGGTAAAGTGTATATTACTTTCACCTGAACCAAGAGATTATACAACACTACAACATAAGGAAATCAAACTTGAAGAACATAACTACGAACATGTGTAAACAGCAGTACAACTGTTTTCACTTTATTTTAACAACATAGATCTTACTAAGACACGTATAATTATTAGAGAAACATAGTTGCACCATTATTATTCGATAATACGAAACTGGTGTGCTTATTTAGTCTTATGAGAGGATTAAGCGCATGTGAAACCTGCTGGGGGAGTGATACGACAGATTTCAAGAACCCGATTAAGTCTCAGAGTGATCGTCAATATATTGAGGAGTGAGATTCTAACGGCATTGCATAGGCATACAGAGGCCACAGAGGCGTCAAGCCCAGCCACGAGAGTGCAGCATCGGCTCACTGTTTGAGCATTGAGGATCACGCTGGCTCGAAGCACGTTGACACAAGCTTGGATGTCTCTGGGACACACTGGAGCTGGAGGTGGAGGAGGAGGTTGTGCCACGGTGAAGCCAAAGAAGACGAGGTTGATGGCGAGGATGAGAGCTATCGTGTTTTTCATCATGTTTTTTGAAGCCATGTTTTGAAAATGCTAAGCAAGGTCTCCCTCTTTATCTCTCTCTCTTTTTTTGTTTTCTAAGTTCGGAGAGGAGTGTTGAGTAATTAGTTTGGGAGGTGAGGGTTTGTATTTATAGTTTTTTTTTGAATATTTGGCTGATTTAAGAATTCTCTGATTACTTCTAATTAAATGCCAACTGAACTGATTACACATTTAGTCCTAGAGAAGAGGTTTGGCAAAGAACCATACTTAGGTTTACCCCTGGGGTGAACCTTTAAATTCACCCAACAGATTATAGCCAATCGTTTTGCCATGTCATTATTAATACTAGAGAATTAAAAAAAAAAACACAATTAAAAAAAAAGGAAATCACAAAATAGATTTAGGGTTTAAGGTTTAGAGTTTAGGGTTTAGGGTTTAGATTTTACAATTAAAACGAAATTAGATGTCGGTTTGGGTTGCCAAATGAGTGGTTAGGGTTTAGATTTTATAATTAAAACTAAATTAGATATCGGTTAGGGTTTAGGGTTTAGGGTTTAGGGTTTAGATTTTACAATTAAAACGAAATTAGATATCGGTTTGGGTTGCCAAATGAGTGGTTAGGGTTTAGATTTTATAATTAAAACGAAATTAGATATCGGTTTGGGTTGACAAATGAGTGGTTAGGGTTTAAATTTTGCAATTAAAACGAAATTATATATCTGTTTACCGCTGGGTTTAGGGTTTATGGTTTAGGATTTGGGTTTAGGGTTTAGGGTTTATATAACAAATATTTCACAAACCTAAACAGATATATAATTTCGTTTTAATTGTAAAATTTAAACCCTAACCACTCATTTGTCAACCCAAACCGATATCTAATTTCGTTTTAATTATAAAATCTAAACCTTAACCACTCATTTGGCAACCCAAACCGACATTTAATTTCGTTTTAATTGTAAAATCTAAACCCTAAACCCTAAACCCTAAACCCTAAACCCTAAATCTATTTTCTGATTTCCTTTTTTTTGTAATTGTGTTTTTTTTTTTTAATTCTCTAGTATTAGTAATGACATGGCAAAACGATTGGCTATAATCTGTTGGGTGAATTTAAAGGTTTACCCCAGGGGTAAACCTAAGTATGGTTCTTTGGCAAAGCCCCAAAACAATACAAAAGTCTTAGAGGACACATTGATAGATTAGGATGGGTTCGATCGACATAAGAAGTTTTAATGAAAAACAATCTTGGTATGTATAGTGGAAAATTTACCGTATAAGTTTTATACTTGACCACTAGTTAGGATAAATATATTTTAAACAGTATAATTTACCAAAATTAATTTGGGTTTTGGTTTAAAATAATGTATTATTTATGCTCAAAAGAGATTAAATATAGAATCCATTAACATTAAAAACAATATTTGTTTGGATAAAGCGTTAAATAAAACCAATATTCTTCTGTCAATAAAGATTTGGCAACCCTAATCTAAAACTGTTCCCAGTCTACGAGAATAAAAAAGGTTTGGCGATGAAATTTAATGAAAAACGTCAGCCCAACTTACGTCAACGCTCTTAACTTACTTAATCGGTCATAAATTTGCAATAGAATTGACTGTAGTACGTAGATCCTTCTTGTCAATTCTTGTAAGTAATTTACACATCTTTACTTATATCTAACGTTCTCTACTTGTAGGACTTTTAATTAGGAAGAGAATGGATGTAATATCTCTTCAAATGGAACTGGATTAAAAGTTAAAACTATTGAACTTCAACCATTTAGTTGTTAATTTTGTAGATTTCTCTAATACATTAGTCATTAGATGAACATTTCAGTTTTATTTAATTTAGTTCTTTCATTCTTTTTGTTTTTTTGGGTAATTGTTAGAGAATCAATAAATCCGGTTCGACTGAATTTTGGTATCAACTTTTTTGTTTTGTTTTGGTTCGTTCCGTCTGAAATGAAAATAGTAAATTATTTGTAACCAATACTACCTTGTTGATAATGTATTTACTGAGATATTTTTTTAAAAAGAATATCCTATTTTTAAGATTTTGATTGAAAACCAAAGTTTAGTTCTAGGTTTGGTTTGATCAAATTCAGTTTTACTTTCAACAACTCTACTTTATGTTCTAATGTATCTTCGAATTCATGTTCTAAGAAATATCCATGCTTTCATTATCTCTCTCTTTTTAACTGAGTTTGACAACTCAATTACATGCAAAAGTACTAATACACACAGAAACAAATACAGTGCATCATAGTTGAGGAATGAGTTTTGTTGAATTAAAAATTCACCATCCACCATTATTAGAGCACATGCCACGGAAAAAAGGTTTATTCCCTACAATACTTCCCCTAAAGGATACAACGTCCATTCACCTCTTTAAACTCTTTGTTGCACTCATAGCTGTAACTCTGATTACAAAAATCTTAGTTTGGATATTATTCAGTTTCATACTTACATTAAGTCTGGAAAGCAATCTCTAGGAAGAGTTCAAGTGTTTATGTTTGATTGATATCTCCAATCAAAAATGCTCCAGAGACAACCTAGCTAGTGGAAACATGTCTTTTTTGCCTTTTCCACTTCTCTCATAAGCAATGTAATTCTCGGTAACTAGCTTTTTGAGCTCATTAATTATGATATAGGAGGCATTTTTCTCTGAAATTCCATCACTTGGTAGATGCTAGCATGTAGACCAATTTCAAAAAAAAAAAAAAAAAGCTAGCATGTAGAGCAATTTTGTACGTTCCGTTTGTTTGTGGTGGGCATTTAGTTCAAGCAAACATGAATAAGTAAGTAATGGAACAGCCGAACATGTGAAACACCATCCAGGTTTCATTTTATTTCAAACATAAGATAAAGACATTAATTCTTACTTAAAAAAAAACACATAGTTGCACCATGAACCGATATTACGGAACTCGTATGCTTATTTTATTGATCTTAATACATATAAGACTCTTTGTGTTGTTATTTATGCAAGGCAGGTGAAACCAGGTTGTATCGGCAAACGGCAGAGACCAAGAAGCCCATTAAGCCTCAAATTGAGGTTGATGGTGATGCCGAGGTCAAGTACATTGAGTCTTACGGCCTCGCATGCACATACAGACACAAGAGGAGCATTAAGACCAGATAAAATAGAACAACATTGGGCCACGTTGCTGGTGGTGAGGTTGATGAGACCAAGTACGTTAACGCAAATCCCCAAGTCAGACTGGTTAAGAGGACACAAAGGTTGGGCTGAGGTGAAGCCCAAGAAGACGAGATTGAAGGTGAGGAAGAGAGCCATGATTGTTGTCATGTTCTTTGAAGCCATATTGTGAAAATGCTAAATAAGATTTTGATGATTATAGTAGTAAATTAAGGAGTGTGAGTTATATTAGTCTTGGAGGTGAAGATTTGTATTTATAGTGTTTAGAAGCATTAATTAGTTTGGTATACGTAGAATATTGTGACTATAATAAGATTTCTCTAACGTAAAGTCTTTTTTGTTATAAAGTTTAACAAAAAGTTAATTACATAATTGCAAGTACGGTTCAAACGTAGAATAGCGAAATCGTAGAAAATGAAATAATTTTGCAGAATGTAATAAGTGAGGAAAAAAAAACTTGGTTTAATTGAATATATATCTGCAAAAATTTGGTTGCAGAATTAAGAACTTGGTTAATGAAAAATATGATTCAACTAAAATTGTGATCAGAAAAAGACTAATTCATTAGCAATTCAGTAAATTCATTCAGATCTAAACATATAATTAATCAAATACGTAGCCACAGTTGTAGCTTTTGGTCCCTCTAAGTTGCAGTTTCACTTATTCTAGAGGAGAATGTTTGGCAAGTAAATTTAGAGATGCGAACAAACATTTCGTGAAACTCCAAAACTCTATGATAAAGTTGACATTTTAAATTAAAACTATATGATATTAGTACAATATACATGCATAATCTACTGATGATTTGTGTTAATGATATCGTTGTATCACCAATTCACCGTACACGTATAAAGATTGCATAATGCATGTTACGTATAAAGATTGCATAACGCATGTTGGTGTTTGAAATAAAAAAAAAATCACATTGATGCACCACTAGTTGAATATATGGACTTTTTAGCCTATAAAATGAACACACTAATATAATATTTTTAATCATTTCTACTAACTTAACATTTCTAATAAAAACTTAACATTTCTAATAACTTAATATTGCCAAACTTCTTTATTGTTTTCTTTTTTTTTTCCATTTACCAAAAGTTTCCCACAATTTTATTAGCGAAAGTTTTGGTGTAAATTTGAAATAAAATATCCAGAAATAATTACTTTTAATTAATACCATATTAATGAAAATATATAAGGAATTATTTTTATTCACTAAAAAATAGACAAAGAATTGGGTGAGTTGGAGTATTTTTGTTGAACCAACCAATCGGCCTATTTAGTACTTTCGTTCAATGTCGAATGGTTAATTGGCACAGCTTGATATTTGGTCTACTTCAGTTTAAATGCTCACTCCAATTGTAAATTTATCAGCAAATGAATGCACAAATTAAACGACACCAAAGGTTTTCTTGACCATAGGTTTTGCATTGCTAACAAAGGAATTGCATTGCTATATTCTCGCATGCCTACGGTTTTATGCAAACACAAGTTTTAAGACTTTGGTCTCCATTATCTTTTATTCTACTAGATCTGAAACTTGAGATCGTCTAACAAGCGTGTAAACAATACATAAAGTAGTAATATAGCCATGAAAATGGAATCAAAAGAAGTAGAAAGAATTTGGAGGCCCATGATCAAAAGACTTGACGATCAAGGTTACGTAGAGTAAAGCCCACCTTTAAGCCTAAAATGAAGAAGTTTGGCAATGGAACATGTGGCACAAAACCATCGTAGTGAACATCTTAAAGTCCTATAAATTACCCACAAACCTTGCTTCATTTCAGTTCACCAATATCCGTACAATAGTCCTTCTTTAAGGACATATATATATATATAACCTTGGAAAAATGAATCCAAAATGTTCAAAAACAATCCTAGCCCTCTTCTTTGCATTCACCATCCTCCTCATTGGCCATGCCGAAGCTAATAGCCGTCCCCGCCCTAGAACACCACCTCCACCACGAACCCCAAGAACTCCACCACCTCCTCCACCACGAACCCCAAGAACTCCACCACCACCTCCTCCATCACCTCCTCCACCCCGAACCCCAAGAACTCCACCAACGCCTCCTCCCCGTGCACCACCACTATCCCCGCCAAGAACTCCACCAATTTCTCCTCCAAGAACTCCACCAGCTTCTCCTCCGCGTGCACCACCGGTTCCTCCTCCAAGAACTCCACCGACCTCTCCTCCTCGTGCACCACCACTATCCCCGCCAAGAACTCCACCAATTTCTCCTCCAAGAACTCCACCAACTTCCCCTCCACGTGCACCACCAATTCCTCCTCCAAGAACTCCACCTATTTCTCCTCCTCGTGCACCACCACTATCCCCGCCAAGAACTCCACCAACTTTTCCTCCAAGAACTCCACCGTCTTCTCCTCCGCGTGCACCACCGGTTCCTCCTCCAAAAACTCCACCTACTTCTCCTCCTCGTGCCCCACCACTATCCCCGCCAAGAACTCCACCAACTTCTCCTCCGCGTGCACCACCCGTTCCTCCTCCAAGAACTCCACCTACTTCCCCTCCTCGTGCACCACCATTATCCCCGCCAAGAACTCCACCAACTTCTCCTCCGCGTGCACCACCCGTTCCTCCTCCAAAAACTCCACCTACTTCCCCTCCTCGTGCACCACCATTATCCCCGCCAAGAACTCCACCAACTTCTCCTCCGCGTGCACCACCCGTTCCTCCTCCAAGAACTCCACCTACTTCCCCTCCGCGTGCACCACCATTATCCCCGCCAAGAACTCCACCAACTTCTCCTCCTCGTGCACCACCACTATCCCCGCCAAAAACTCCACCAACTTCTCCCCCAAGTGCACCACCTCTATCTCCCCCTATAACTCCACCAACTTCTCCTCCGCGTGCACCACCACTATCCCCGCCAAAGACTCCACCAATTTCTCCTCCGCGTGCACCACCACTATCTCCCCCAAAAACTCCACCGACTTCTCCTCCGCGTGCACCACCACTATCCCCGCCAAAAACTCCACCAACTTCTCCCCCACGTGCACCACCTCTATCTCCTCCTATAACTCCACCAACTTCTCCTCCGCGTGCACCACCACTATCCCCGCCAAGAACTCCACCAAGTTCTCCTCCACGTTCACCACCACTATCTCCCCCAAAAACTCCACCGACTTCTCCTCCGCGTGCACCACCACAATCTCCGCCAATAACTCCACCAACTTCTCCTCCACGTGCACCACCAACGCCTCCGCCACGGACACCTTTAGTACCACCGCCGCCAAGGACTCCACCACCGCCTCCCCCGCGTGGAAGATGCCCCATTAATGGTCTCCCACTACAAATATGTAGCACTATCCTAAGTATTTTCGATGGTTTACCAGGACTTGGAAGGGCGCAGGCATGTTGTTCTCTCATTCGTAATTTATCTGATGCTGACGCACTTGCTTGCCTTTGTGAATCAGTGAGAGCACCAAGTGGCAGTCTACCTCCTAATATCATCAATCTTTATAGGACTTGTGGTCGTAGCATTCCCCCAGGCTTCACTTGCCCATGACCATCTCCTTTCCCAGAATTAAATAAAAACCTACTTACTATATATATACTTAAACCATAATTTTCTTTTGTTTCTATATACTTTATTATAATAACGTAATAAAAAATAAATAAAGTTTGTATGGGGTTTTCGATTGTCTTTCTTTTAGTTTTCGAAACACGTTGGAGTTTATAAGTATTGCTAGGGTAAAACAAAAGTAACTTTAGCAAAAAAAAGAAGAACTTGAATACTTGATACATACGTGAATTCAAATCTCAGACAAAGTAATTGTATTTATTGATCCCCGGTCCAATAAACCTCAAGTATATTCATTTCTTAGAAAATGAAAGGACCCTATCAGTAATCAAAGATTTCCTTTGAAATTAGATGATCATGCTTGGCGTCGGTCCCTATGAGTAAAACATAAGAGTTTCATTTGAAACCTCAAGTTATTGTTCTATACAAAGATGGGGATGGAGATTTCAGAACTTAAAAATCCTCATTGAAAAGCCAAACTAGATATTTGGTGGCATGAAAGTGAATAATAGAGAGAACCAAATACTTGCCTAAATCGCTAAAGCCTCATTAATTAAAAAAGAGTACTGTTAGGCAAGAAAAATAAATGATAAACGAGTGTTTCTAATTCCACGGCATCTCTTGGCTCCTCTATAAATACATACCACACAACCTCATCGAAAGCATCCACACCTTCATATTCACAAAAAAAAAAAAAAATGGCCTCAAAGAGCTCAACTACCATTTCCCTCATCATCATCCTCCTCATCAGCCTCGCAGAAGCAAACCTCTTAAGCTCCCCTTCACCGACCAACAACTTTGGCACGTGTCCCAGAAACCCATTGCAACTAGGCGTATGTGCCAACGTCCTTGGCCTAGCCAATGTTACAGCTGGAGACCCCAGAGCACGACAGTGTTGCACTGCCATCAATGGTCTCACTAATGTTCAAGTAGCCGATTGTCTCTGCTTTATCTTCAGGCCACTTCCTTTGGTTTTCGCTATCGATGAAGCTGTTAGAGAAATCTTTTTTGCTTGCAATAGGGTTTTTCCAATCGGTTTCCAGTGTCCACCACCAACAGTACCTACCCCTTAATTCCCCTAATTAAGAGCCCTATCCGGTGTTTACTTGCACTATAAGTTTGCTGGCACCACAAGTATGGGTTATCTATTAATGTTTTACAGTGTTGGTGTGTATTTCGTTGTTGATTAGGACGTAATTATAAGGGACTATCGATGTTTTATTAAAAAAAGGACTGTATGTTGTTATGCATATCTATGAAGAATAATCTATACTATATAAAAGTCGAGGCCATAAGCTTCTGAAGCCGTCCACGTGGGATTTTAAACCACCAATCGCGGTTAGACATGTCATTAGTTAACATTTTTTAGTCATCGCTTTAATTAACATTTTTAAATTCTACTATTTTCTATAATAAAATATTTATGAAAAGGAAAAAAAAAACATATGGAAATAAGAAAATGTAAAATTCAATTATTGTAATATAGAAAAAATAATATCATTATTAGTCTCAATATGTTAGCTTCCAAATAAATTAAGAAAATTTTCTAATTCTAAAATAATATAATTAATTGAAATTGGAAAAAAAAATTTAATTATAATAAGTTATATATTAAGAGGTTCAGGAAAATGAATTTTTTTTTAGGACATTTTTATTTATATATTTGTAAAGAATAAATAATTAGAAAGAGTCCATGTCAACATGAAAATTAAACTCACGTAGACACGTTTACTTTCTTGAATAAAGGAAAATTTTCAATAACCAAGAAAAAGTAATTAAGTTAATGTTAGAATTAAAAAGTTTATGTTTTAGTTTGTACCATATATAATCAAACAACACAGAAGAAAATTTCCAAAGTATGAGGAAGTTAAAATTTAAACGAAAAGGAAAAGATTAATAACCTAAAAAAAACTTCTTCTTAACAAATCATGGCAAATAAGAAAGTTTCTAGAATCTAAATTAGTAGTGGTTTATGTATAAATAACCATCTATGGACAATTGGTACTTGAGAGATCAACAATTGGTACCTGAGAGATCACAGATTTTATTCTTGAAAATGCAATAAAGAGCTTATTAAGTTACTATGGCACATTCTATGCTTGCGGAATTAATCACAAAACTGGTGTCGTCTTATGGGATGAGACTCCCGATACTTTGAAAGTTTCTTGAGTTTGCGTCTGTTCACGCTAATCTCTATCGAGTCCGTTGAGGTGGTAACAAATTCAGAAAAGGTATATAAGAAAGCTGGTTGGTAAAATTTAGGATTAGCAAAGTTTGCGACGAAAGTACAGCAAAAACTCTGATATATTTTAACCTAGAAATCATTGTCATTAAATCCAATATTTAGACAACTAAAGAACAGCAAAAACTCTGATGTTCTGGCCTACCGGTAAGTTTTGTGCCTGAATTCTATTACGGTTCGTCAATGAAGCTTCCCAGTTTTTAATTTAGTAGTACATAGTATAGACAAAGAAGTTAGAAGAAAAGTGATGAATGGCTAATTGGTAGAAGACACTCTTTACTTTGGTAGTAAAAGAAGCAAATTTGAACATAACAGAGCCGGTCCTGATGATAATAAAGGTTCCAACCAAACACTTTTACCACTTGACCAATTTAACTTCACACTAAAATATTGGCCCCTGAAACTAATAACATGCCCTCCAGATCCATGATTGCTCTAAAGCTGTTGCATGAAAAGCTCTCTACAAATTTTGTAATCATCGTAAGCTTCAAAAAATACAAGGAGTTCAATTTAACCATCGTTATTAATTTTAGCCGGAACAAACCGATTGGTGAAATTGGATTAAACCGTCTCGAACCGGTAACCCTAAAATAGCCTGGGTTCTTGGTACTTTGGAGCCTGCAACGTTTCTTCTCATCCATTTTTTCTGAAAGCTCCATGATTCAAACAAGATTTTTTTTTTCCTTCTATAACTGTCCATGTGGGATTTAGAACGACTAATCACAGTTGGACATCTGATTAATTAACATTTTAAAATTATATAAATTTTCTATATTAAGATACTTATTAAAAGAAAAAAAAATAGTATGGAAACAAGAAAAAAAGTAAATTTAAAACAAAAAACATATGAAAAGAAGAAAATTTTAAAATTTAGTTATTAGAATACATAAAAATATTATTATTCATATTTTAGGAAGGAAAAATATAAAATTTAATTATTGTAAATAAAATATATTTATTTAAAAAAAATGACGGTTTTTACTTATATAGAAAACGAATATAATTTCAATTTTTTCTTGGCAAGCCTTTAATATGTTTGAAGTTTTATGTTTTTGCATTAAGAAATAAACAAGTTTCTAGACTTTTAAAATAGTATTGACTCAATTGAGAACAAGAAAAATATTAAGATGCTTATAAAAAAAAGATTAAAAACAATATATATGGAAACAAGAAAAATGTCAACTAAAAAAAATATTAAAAATAAAAATATAAAATGTATATTATAATATATAAAATATTATCATTATTAGTCTCATTAAATTTACTAATATCTCTTCTTAATCACAATTAGGGGTCGGTATTTTGTTTGATTTTGAGTCAAATATGATTCGGTTATTTCGATTTTAAAAACGCATTAAGTCTCTAACTAAATTCAGTTCAGTTTGGTTCAATTTGGTTTGGCTTAGTTTGGTTGGACTTGATTAGGTTTGTTATTTAAAAGAAATTATTTATAGAATTCAAAGAATGACAATAAATTGAAGCAAGAAAAGTAAATATTTTATTACTGGGATCAATAAATAAAAAAGTCATATTAGTCTCACTGAATTTGAATAGAATAACTAATCAAGAGGTATGTTAAAAAAATTCAAAATCATGGTATACAATCGAGAGTAGTCATGGCCGTTCGGTCATCAGATCGGTTCAGGTTTGATTCTATTCAGTTTCGGTCTAGAGTTTAAGATCTATTCGTGCATTTTGAAATTTTGCTTCGGTTACGGTTCTGATTCTTTCAGTTTTAAAATTTAGTATCCATTCGGGTATTTTGTTTCGGATATTTTCAGTTAATTCGGTTATTTTTTGGGTATTTTCGGATTTTTTCGGTTATTTTTGAGGTTTTTAGTGTTTTATGTATTTTTGATTATTCGGTCTATAAATAAGTAATCTTTTTGGATGTATATGTTTGGTATCGGTTCGGTTTTGGTTCATTCGGTTCTAAAATTTTAGATCCATTCGGGTATTTTTAAATTTTCAGTTCTTTTTTTTTATTCGATTCCGCTTCGGTACATTCGGTTCAATTAATTTTCCCAGGTCTAATTGAGAGGTATGTAAAATGTGTAAGTCTATTCAATTTTTCCATTGCATTTAAATATGGATCGGTAATTATCATGTTCTAGGTTTGATATTCGGATATTAAATTATTTTGATCACTAAAATTTTTAAGTCTTACTATATGCTTGAGTAGAAATGAATGAGTGAATTAATTTGTAAAATAGGAAACAAAAATCAATGGTAAAACTGTATACGCATTATCTAGGTTTCTTATAATAATACATTATTGAAACAAACAAAAAACTAATATTTATTCTCTTAATAGTGATTGAATATATTGATTTTAATTTAAACGTTAAAACTACAACAATAATTTCTTATGATGTGAAAAACATGTTGATGGTTGTAGTTAAAAATATTATAAATTTGTTTTTTCAAGTTGGAAGAGCAGGGGAAAGCTAAGTTCTTGAAGTTGTTCAAACAAAAGAAAGAATATCTTATCACTTTGTACCAACTAAACAAAAGATTTTTGTTATAAAACATATTGGAAAGATTTTAATATGTAAGATAATATAATAAGATTATATAAAAAAGATGTGAAAAGGCATTTCGATGGTTGTATTTACATATCTTACAAATTTGTTTTTCAAGTTGGGGGAACTGGAGAAAGCTAAGTTCTAAAAGTTTTTCGAACAAAATAAATAACATATTAAGTGTCACCTAGACAAAAGAATTTTTGTTTAAAAAACATATTAAAAAAGATTTTATTGTGTATGATACGTAACAAAAAATAAAATAAAAAAAAGTTTTTTTTGGCAAACACCAATTATGAAAGATAATATTTTAGTAACTATCATTAGTGATATATAATTTTCATCAAAATATTTAAAATAAATGCACACGTAGCAGATTTGTTAAAATTTATTACTCTAACACTATTTGATTAATAAATCAAAATTTAACTATTAGATAAGAGAAACACAAATATGCCTAAACATAAACAAATTTTGGTAGTTTAGTTTCTAATATTTTGTCAAAATATTTTCATAATTATTTATTAATAGCAAAATCATTTATAATATAAAACAAGTGAGAGAAATGACATATTTCCTACAAACTTTTATCCTATAAAAATTTTCTTTCTTTTTAAACAACATAAATAATACTGAAAATATAAATTAAAAACATTTATGTTAAAAAGAACCAAAAATAAACTATTATAGTATTTTTGCATTACTAATGTCAATGTGTAGCTACTTAAATGATTATTAACCCCAAAATTTTATTAAAACCATCGATAAATATAAACCCCCGCGTAGCGGGGGTTAATACCTAGTATAATAAATAAAGTATAACACCTTGTGTCTCTTATTGTCTCTCATATGCTTTGTTAAAAGGAAAAAGAAAATTGCGAGTATGATTTAATCGTGTATAGATTTTCCACAATACATTCTTTTATACTTTAATGGTTTATTCAACATAAACATAATCAAAACTAACAAACACTATATATTAATTAATTATAAATCAATACCTTTTTACAAATAATACCTTAATCAAATATAGGCAATTGAAAAAAATAGAACCAAAAAAGTTTTTTTTTTTTCTTTCAAAAGTCAATGTTATCCAAAATCTGTATATATATGTTAAATTAATTATACATAATTTTGCTTTTTTTTTGGTAGGAAAATATAATCACTAATTAGAAAGGGCATGGACATATTTTTATATGAGGTTACTCGTCATTGTCCTGTAATAAGTGATGGTCAGAACTCCCATACTCTGATACTCTGAATTCATTCATAGAAAACCAGCAGCCACTTTAGGCATCATGATGTTTAGCTCTATTTTCCAATAATAATAGAAGAAGCATTTCACATTACAGTTCATAAATTAAATGCATGTGGTCCAAGATTAAAAAAAATGGATAACGATCTCTATTTAGCAACTTTACAGTTCATAAAGTAAATGCATGTGGCCCAAAATCTATACTAAAGTTGACATCTCGAAAATAGAAAGATAAAACATGCGTGCAATATTCAAACAACATACTTGTGTATAGAAAAGGAGAAGATATATAATAGTTCATATATTTAAGAAATATATTGTTAATATGTTCAATATATAGCCTTACCATAGAGACGTGGTTGCCAAGGTACCTTAGATTGTCTCAATCGGCCATCCCTAAACATCTATATGACTAATCCATGGAACATTACCCACCCATTTACCCAAGCTACAAAACCCTTGACTTCAGGCGATTCTTTTACGTGTACATGTATATATTCATCTAAACGACATTGGTAATTTTTTTACCAAACATGATAAAGTCACTTACTCCAGGTTTCACATGCCCATGACCATTCCTTGCACTTGTAATTACATCATAAACTGAAACTTACTCACTTTACACTTACACTACAGCTTAAAGCCCTGCAATTTTTTTTTTTACTTTCTTCCAATACTAATGTAATATAACATCATCAATTAAATTGGTAATGGCTTTATATATATATATATATATATATATTAGTTATGTCGTTATCATTGTTCTGTTGATCACACTAAACAATTTGAGTTTAGAGATATAAAGCCGGAGTGGACCGGAGTGAAAAAATTATGTGGGTTTTTACGGATTCCAACTTGCACCTAACAAGTAAAATAAATAAATGGTCAAATTATGTTTAGCCTAACTAATAGACTTGAAGGCCAAGGTAACTTAGAATGCCCTCATGCCTAACCCTAAAACCAATTAATTGAAAGATTTGGAAGATGAAATTCATAAAGAATGCCCACTCATTTACTCAAGCAACAAACCCAACAAATTACTTAATCGATCACAAATTTTGGATAAAATTGAACGTTCCAAATCTCTAAGTATTGTCCAATTTTTTTTTTATTTTAAAGATGTATAGTACTCACTTCCATCTTAAAAGTATCCTACTTTTGGAATGGATAAATAGAAAAAGTGTAAAGTTCAATCAAATTCAATAGAAAAACGTCATAACTTCGGTAAATATAATATATTTTTAATCTACTCTATCTTAGATATATCATTGGACCAAAACAAGCGATTGAATAGAACACAAAAGAGAAATAGGAATATATACCATTTAACAATAAAAGAAGAAGAAGAAAAAGACCAACTTTAAAAAACCACAAAAAATAATAATCCAAATCATGTAGTGAAATTGTTCTACTCGAAACCATCATCTTATATCACAGTCCGTAAACAACTCAGTTTATACAAGTAGTTTTCATTTAAAGACTAAAACCAATTAGAGTGCCTGACCAAAAATATGCGGCACGTAATAAATATCGACCAGCGTAGGGCTACCTATGAGCTAAGAACCAAAATAATGAGGTTTGGCAATAGAACAAGTGACAGAATGGCAATCTAGTGAAGCCCCAAAAGCAGCTATAAATACCCATGATCTCACTACACCTCAATTCATCAATTTCCGTACAATTTTCCTTTTGTGAGGACAAAGATTGCCTAAGGAAAAATGGCCCCACATGGTTCAACGAAAACCTTAGGGCTCGTCCTTGCACTAATCAGCATTCTCTTTCTCAACCAAATTGACGCTCAGAGCCTGCCCCGTCGCAGCCCACCTCCACCCCGTCGAGGCCTGCCTCCACCCCGTCTCCGCCCGCCTCCACCACGTCGGCGCCCGCCTCCACCACCGCCAAGGGAGTGTCCACCATGCATTTGTCCACTACCACCCCCTCCACTAAACACCCCACCACCCGAGATTATAAACCCAGAGACTCCGCCATCTGAAACTCCACCACCCGAAACCCCACCACCCGAAACTCCACCACCAGACATCCCACCAACAGAGACTCCACCACCCGAGATCACACCGCCAAAGACTCCACCACCGGAAATTATAGACCCGACAACTCCGCCACCCGAGACTCCACCATCAGAGACTCCACCACCCGAAACCCCACCACCAGACATCCCACCAACAGAGACTCCACCACCCGAGATCACACCACCAGAGACTCCACCACCGGAAATTATAGACCCGACAACTCCGCCCCCCGAGACTCCACCATCAGAGACTCCACCACCCGAAACCCCACCACCAAACATCCCACCAACAGAGACTCCACCACCCGAGATCACACCACCAGAGACTCCACCACCGGAAATTATAGACCCGACAACTCCGCCACCCGAGACTCCACCATCAGAGACTCCACCACCCGAAACCCCACCACCAAACATCCCACCAACAGAGACTCCACCACCCGAGATCACACCGCCAGAGACTCCACCACCGGAAGTTATAGACCCGACAACTCCGCCACCCGAGACTCCACCATCAGAGACTCCACCACCCGAAACCCCGCCACCAGACATCCCACCAACAGAGACTCCACCACCCGAGATCACACCACCAGAGACTCCACCACCGGAAATTATAGACCCGACAACTCCGCCACCTGAGACTCCACCATCAGAGACTCCACCACCCGAAACACCACCACCAGACATCCCACCAATAGAGACTCCACCACCCGAGATCACACCAGCAGAGACTCCACCACCAGAGATTATAGACCCGAGGACTCCACCACCAGAGACTCCACCACCTGTTATTATAGACCCTGAGATTCCGTCACCGGAGACTCCACCACCCGGGACTCCACCATCTGAGATCCCACCTACGGAGATTCCACCACCAGAGACTCCACCACCGGTTATTATAGAACCTGAGATTCCACCACCGGAGACTCCACCACTCGGAACTCCACCACCTGAGATCCCACCTACGGAGATCCCACCACCGGAGATTCCACCAATAAAAACTCCACCCCCGGTTATTATAGATCCTGAGATTCCACCACCGGAGACTCCACCACCCGAAATCCCACCTACAGGGATTCCCCCACCAGAGACCCCACCACCAGAGATTCCACCATCCACCCCACCCCCGAACACTCCACCGCCAGAGACTCCACCATCCAATCCACCCTCGAACACTCCACCGCCCGAGACTCCACCTCCTGATTTTCCACCACCAGAGACTCCACCACCTAACCCACCCACAGAAACCCCACCACCTCAGACTCCACCATCTACCCCACCCTTAAACACTCCACCACCTGATACTCCAAATCCTGATATTCCACCACCAGAGACTCCACCACCTACCCCACTCCCTGAAACTCCACCACCTCAGACTCCACCTCCGAAGATTCAAATCCCAGAAACTCCACCACCTAAAACTCTACCAGTGCTTCCTCCAACAATACCACCGCGTCCTCCACAGACCCCACCACTTTCCCCACCAAAAACTCCACCACCTCCTCCTACGCGTGGCACATGTCCTAGGAATGCCGCCCAAGTAAGACGATGTTCCAATGTCCTTAGAATTTCCGGCAACTTCCTAGACTTTAGAAGGGCTCAACCATGCTGCTCTCTTATCCGTGATCTATCTGATGTTGAAGCAGCCTCTTGTCTATGTGGTTTATTGAGAGCACGACGTTCCACTATTTCTTCCAATATCATTATCCTTTGTAGGGCTTGTGGCCGCAGGATTCCCCGAGGCTTCACCTGCCCTTGACCACTTCTTTGTCCTCTTCTATTTACCTATTCACTAAAGTTTACCACTAAAACCCTAAGTAAAGCCTTGTGCTTTTTTTTTTTTATGTTCTACCTATAATAATGTATTAAAACATCAATAAAGTTTATGTTGACATTTACAATCTGCCTTATTACTGTTTCCCTAATTACGCTAAATATTGTAGTTTATAGATCTCTAAGGCATAAATTATCTCTAGAACTAAATGAACCGATACTTATATTTTGAAAGCGCCATGAAAACAAGATTCCTAAAGCTTTTGAAATTTTTTGATTCCAAAATGCGAAGCAGATTCGTGATAAAGCTTATGTGCTTCCTAGTCTCCTAGATGGTTACACAGTTTTATTTTCTTCTCTATAACTTTGCTTCAATATTTTTCAGTCATTGGAAATATCCGTACATATGATTAGATTCAGTACAAAACCTGTGGACGTCATATGCTTTCTTCGCTCATGGTTAAGCACTTTACTTTTTATTAACCTTCACAACTCTTATAAAATATGGGGCAACATTTGTTTTGTTCTTGATTGTTAGTTCAAGGTTTTACTTGTAATAAAATCACGACAGCGTTGCATTGTCATCAATGGATAATCATGATGTAAAATGTTGTTAAATCTAAAGAGTACGCGTGCCGGCTTTTATTGGTTAAGAGTTTTTATCGAAAGCTCTTCTTCATCTTTTGAAGTAATATATCTTTCACATCTTCCCATCTTTTGAAGGTGCTACATTAATCGCATTTAGTTTGTCTTCATATAATATGACTCATACACATATTTTTATTCTCGAACTTTTGAACTATGTCCACAGAGTTATATATTATTATATTGATATGTTTTGAATCTGATAATTTGTTGCTCGCGGTAATACAGAGTTTTATTGTCTAGTCAGAGCCATAGGACCCAGGAGGTGATGCACCCCTCGGCCTAGAAGTAATTTTGTATGGATCGTTGTTTTCAGTCTAAAATATCATATTTGGGCCTAGGCTCGTGGATTCAAATGGTTTAGGGCTGAATTATGGTTACTAATATTTTATATTTACTCTTGTTCTCTTTTCTACCAATTTATATACTAGATCTTTTTTTTTTTTTTTTTTTTTTTTTTAAATATCTGGAAGTCTAAGTCCGAAAGCCCTACATCTCCCAGAGACGGGACCCACATCATGTTAAATTCATCTCTTTCGGAGAAGAAATCCCTCCCAACGGGTGTGGAACCCAGTACCTCCACCTACTATATCTTTTTACTTGTAATAATAAACTCAACTTTCTTTCTTTGTTGATGTAGCCAGCATCTTTGGTGAACCATATGACATATATATGTGATATGTGCGTCTTCCTTTGCATTTATATTTAGTTTGTTCGTCTCCGTTATAATATCCCACATAAGATGGAGTATTGTGGTTGAAACGCTTGTTCGATGATAAACGAAGTTGTGGTTGCTCAGAATTGAAGCATGTTTCCGCGAGACTAACCTGACCCAACAAGTTTGCATCCGAATAAAAATTAAAAGCAAGGAACAGGTCGTAGATACCAAACTGTAGCAATATGCAAAAATAGGAAAGAGGTTTGGCCACGAATTAATAATATACGTACAAATTTTCGGTCGATCCCCAAACCCTATACTAAAGTTAATATCTCATAATAGCAAGAGACCACTAATTAATCGACCGCTTGATTTTTAATTTTTTTTTTTGTTTTAATTGCGCTTGGTAAAATATCTCATAATAGCAAGATACCAGACTTCTAACTTTTCCTTTTCCAATTTCAAAGAAAGTGTGAAATCTTTGACGACTTCATGCTTCCAAACTTAAACTATATTTTAAGTTAATTTATGTAATATAGCTGAGTTAGTTGTTTAGTTATTAACTTCGAACCAAAATATTTATATACCCAGTAACCAAAAAAAGAATAATTAGTTAATGGTTTAGCGATAATATACTAGTAGCTTACTTACTCGTGTAGAAAGAAAGTATCAAATCTTTGATAAATTAAACTTCTACACATGTATATTCAGTGGCATTCAATAGAAAACAAAATTCACAGTAACCGAACTAATTCTGGAATGATCTTAACTTGTCTAAAGATTTTCCACAAATCAACTTTGTATATAGCATCGGACCAAAACAAGTGATCGAATATATAGACCAAAAAACTTTTGTTAGCGAGGGGATTTTGCTTATCATGTGATATATATATTATTTTTTTTGTTAAAGAAGAACCAACAAATAAATTATATAGTCCAAAATAAGTCAGTTTGTTTTTGGTAGGGTCCAAAATAAGTCAGTTGATTCATGGGAATGGTTGCTCAACTCGAAATTGTCACTACAGATAACAACTCTTATCAACCAATGTAAGTTGCAAAACACGGGGGCGTATACATAGTTAACACAATATCACAAAATGATAGTAGTTATACCATTATAGAATTAAGTTACTAATTCTCTGTGATTAGGTAAGAATCATAGCGCCTAAGGACAGACTAGCTTCAGCATAAGCCCCGAAGATTTTGAGTTGAAGTGAAACCACCTCTGAGCCTTGACTAGGAAAACTAGGTTTGGCAATGTAAACAAATGGCAATTTACATATCTAGTGGATCTCCAAAAGGCCCTATAAATACCCATAACTCCACTACACTTCAATTCACAAGTTTCCGTACAGTTTCCTTTTTGTGAGGACAAAGATTGCCTAAGAACAAAATGGCCCCAAAGGGTTCAACAAAAACCTTAGCCCTCTTCCTTACACTGATCAGCATTCTTCTCTTCGGCCAAACCCAAGCCCAAAACCGTCCCTATCTCCGCCCACCTCCCCCACGCTTTCCTCCGCCACCATGTCCAGTATGTATTTGTCCAGCACCACCACCTCCACCAACCGTGACCCCACAGACTCCACCCTCGAGTCCACCAGCCACACCACCTACGGAAGTTTTACCAACGCGTCCACCCACCACACCACCGGAAACACCTCCAAATACACCACCGGAAACACCCCCAAACACACCACCGGAAAATCCTCCAACCACACCACCTGAAACACCTCCAAACACACCACCAGATACTCCACCAACGCTTCCACCAAACACACCACCGGAGACACCTCCAACTACATCACCGGAAACACCTCCAAACACACCACCAGATGCTCCACCAACGCTTCCACCAAACACACCACCGGAAAATCCTCCAACCACACCACCTGAAACACCTCCAAACACACCACCAGATACTCCACCAACGCTTCCACCAAACACACCACCGGAGACAACTCCAACCACATCACCTGAAACACCTCCAAACACACCACCAGATACTCCACCAACGCTTCCACCAAACACACCACCGGAGACGACTCCAACCACACCACCGGAAACACCTCCAAACACACCACCAGATACTCCACCAATGCTTCCACCAAACACACCACCGGAGACAACTCCAACCACATCACCGGAAACACCTCCAAACACACCACCGGATATTCCACCAACGCTTTCACCAAACACACCATCGGAGATAACTCCAACCACACCACCGGAAACTTCTCCAAACACACCACCAGAAACTCCACCAACACTTTCACCAAGCACACCACCGGAAACACCTCCAACCACACCACCGGAAACTCCTCCAAACACACCACCAGATACTCCACCAACGTTTCCACCAAACACACCACCGGAGACAACTCCAACCATATCACCGGAAACACCTCCAAACACACCACCAGATACTCCACCAACGCTTCCACCAAACACACCTCCAACCACACCACCGGAAACTTCTCCAAACACACCACCAGAGACTCCACCAACGCTTCCACCAAGCACACCACCGGAAACACCTCCAACCACACCACCGGATAGTCCACCAACACTTCCACCAAACACACCACCGGAGACACCTCCAACCACACCACCGGAAACTTCTCCAAACACACCACCAGAGACTCCACCAACGCTTCCACCAAGCACACCACCGGAAACACCTCCAACCACACCACCGGAAACTCCACCAAACACACCACCGCAAACTCCACCAACGCTTCCACCAAACACACCACCGGAGATACCTCCAACCACACCACCGGAAACTTCTCCAAACACACCACCAGAGACTCCACCAACACTTCCACCAAGCACACCACCGGAAACACCTCCAACCACACCACCGGAAACTCCTCCAAACACACCACCGCAAACTCCACCAACACTTCCACCAAACACACCACCGAAGACACCTCCAACCACACCACCTGAAACTCCTCCAAACACCCCACCACAAACTCCACCAACGCTTCCACCAAACACACCACCGCAGATACCTCCAACCACACCACCACAAATTCCACCAACGCTTCCACCAAACACACCACCGGTAAATCCACCAGTGCGTCCTCCAACTACACCATTGTCGCCTCCACCAACAACACCACCACCACCGTCTCCACCAAACAACTCACAACCACTTCCTCCTCCGAGATCCCAACCACCACCTCCTCCTCCAAGATATCCACCACCACCTCCCCCACGTGGCACATGTCCCAGGAATGCCAACCAAATAAGGAGATGTTCCAATGTCCTAAGATTTTTTGGCAATTTCTTAGATTTTCGATTGGCACAACCATGTTGTACCCTAATTCGCGATCTATCTGATGCTGAAGCAGCTGCTTGCCTATGTGATTTGGTGAGAGCGCGACGTTCCACTCCTTCTCCCACTCCTTCTCCCAATATCATTATCCTTTGTAGGGCTTGTGGACGCAGGATTCCCAGAGGCTTCACCTGCCCATAGTCATTTCCTTGTCTCCCTTCTAATTACCTAAATTTACCAAAACTTACTTACCACTTAAACCTCAACTTAAGTCTTATATATGACTTGTTTACTTTCTACCAATAATAATGTAACAAAACATCAATAAATTTTGTGTTACTTTTATTTTGTGTCTTTATTATTTTTGTTTCTAATCACACTAGATAAACCATTGGAAATCTCTACGTCAGAAATTATCCCCAAAAATGTGGACAAATGTGTAATCGCTACAGAATGAAAATACCATATGTGATTTTACAAAAAAAAAAAAAACGTAAACAAAATGTTATAAAGAAAGATATACTTTTTAGCTTGCTTCTATATAATTAATTATGTCAGCTTTTTGTTTAGCTTTTGGTGATTTTGATAGATAAAGAAATTACAATAGAAGACTATTTTTCAAAGTTCATCCTTCAAACGTTAATCAAAAAACAAAACTCCTCGTTCATCTATTTGGAAGAATCAACGGACTACTGGTTTCCTATCGCTTCCACTTCATCACCTGTTTTCATATCTCAGTTTGCATACTTTTTATTTACTTGCTAGTTAATCATTTTGTTTCTTTTAGATAGCCATCTTCATTGCTTTTCGCAATTGCATGTTCTTGTTCTTGTATGATTAATTTTACTTAGCTTTAATTTATGTTTTATGATTAAGAGTAGACACTTGAAAACCATAAATACAATACATCTCAATCCGTCTTATACAAGTTTAAATATAAATTCTTACGTTTGTAGCAATTAGTCCTTGTGCACCTTGAAGATTAGTAAGCCGGATTTTAAAACTCAAATAAATTAAGCAGTTCACAAGAACAAGAAGAGTCTGAGGACCAGATCAACTCTTGAGGTTTGTATTTATAAAGTCAATAGTGTTTCGGTGAAGCTTTTGCATGCATGCATGCTTAGTTAATTACCGAATAATATTATGCATGCATGCATAATTAAGGTTTCTCTAACGTCTAACTAATAAAATGAATAAAAATTATTATATAATGTGTAATTAATAATGATCGCCTAACTATTTGTTAAATTTTTGGTCCCTCTACATTGAGCTCCCCAAATATATAAACTCTTCTAAACATCGTCTAGAGAAAAGAGGTTTAGCAAAGAAATTAATGATACGTACGAACATTTAGTTGACATATTATTATAGCAAGACATCGCGTATTAACTAAAGCTAAGGGTGCCAAAAACTTTCTTAAAAAAAGATATTCTTTAAAAACAAAAAACATTAAATATTTTATCAATAACATATGTTTTAATATATGGAATTTTGAAATTTTTATTTTTAGTAAGTATATTCAACATTTATATATGTGTTTGGTTATTGGTTTTAGAATAATAAAGATAATTATAATTAATACTGTTTGGCAATGAAGATGAGAAAAAATGTGAGCTTGCTACATCATCAAACGATTTGTTAATGTATAGAGAATGTGATCCATTACAAGTCACGGTAATAAATTCAAATAAATTACATATCACATACTAATATAATACGATTGAAATTAGTTAATTCTAACACCCACCTCTCTTAATTGATTTTTGGTTTTGTAAATGTTAGATCCCTAATTCTTCAAACTGTTTGACCCTAAATACTTTGGAAAGCAAATTATCTTCCTGAACTTCTCCTTCACAATATTCGAATTGGATAAGACCATTTTAATGTCTTAAGTTTGAATGGTAACCACATACAACTTTATGGGGTATATACTAATCACAAAAATGATATCAATTATTAAAAGTGTTATTCCTATTATTTTTTTACAGTTTTCATGTACTGCTGTTTTGTACAGTTTTGCACTATTTCGTAAAAGTTTATTGTTCTAGTTTTGTGTTAAAATCGGAACCACTATGATAAAATATTTTATTGTGCTTCTTTTTTTTTATGTTGCACAAAGAAAAGTTGTTTGTATTTAAAATTATAGTTTGGAATAATTGCTAAAAATGGTTGAACATAAGATTTTAAAAAGAATCAATTATGGATTTGCCATTTTTTGGGATGGCATTTGTGGATTTTGCCCTTTTTTGAATAGTTTATGGATTTTGCCCTTTTTCAGGCTACGGAAATATGATTTAACATGCGTTTTATTCGTTATGTTTGGGTTTAGTCGGTTGTGGTTGTTCTTAGGGTTTAGTATTTTATATAAACTACGTATTTTTACCAAAAAAAATCCGAAATACGTACATTTTTAAGTGTTAGAAAATGGCATATCCGTAAGATTTTAATAAAAATGGCAATTTCAAAAGATTTCTATGAAAAATGGCAAAATCAACAATAATCCCTTTTAAAAATGACTGTGTAATAGTTACATTAGATACTATATAATCCGTGGTGTTAGTAGTCAATTTATCTATCAAATTAAAATACATCTTACGTATTGAAACGACCATTAATATTTTGTGATTGTGGAAACAAATAATTAGAAATTGGACTAACAATCGGAAATATATGTAAATTTCTAAAAATATATAGAAGACTTTTTTTTGTGTGTTTTAGTTAATTTTATGACTACAAAAGTCAAAAGAGTTAAAGAGTCAAAGAGTCATGAGATGCACATGGAACAAAAAGCCAAGAGACTAGAGTTGGAAAAAATATAAGGCTCTTTGTTCATTGGTTGAAATAACGGATCCTAATAACAAACTACACACAACATATTGAAACGAGCGAAAATTGCTACTTTTTAATTGCTTAGGTTACACGGTAAAACTCGAAATGAGTAAAATCTTTTTGTTAGTATAATTTTTGGTCGGGCCAAATGAGTTAAAATCTAAAAAAAAACTTTATTCGTAGATTTCTGATTTGCCTACCTTTTTATTTTTGTCAACTTCAGATTTGCCTTCTTGTAATCACAAAATGTGAACGATCTTCGAATTATGAAACAACACGTGAAACCCGAATATAGATAATGATTCTCTCCATGCTTGGACTGATTAGCCAAATATAAAAAAAAAAAGATTGACATTTCATTTCATAAAATATCATAAGTCATAGTCAATACGGCGAAATCAAACCATATCGAAACAAAACCTCCAAGCTTCAATCTAAACGCAAAGTTTATGCAAACACAATTTAGTCAACACGTTCTCGTACTATGAGGCTACCAACTTGATAACTCCAACTTCATCGTCAAACCCACAATCATCGTTCATAAATAGTCCAAATTTCGCAAATACAAAACCAAAGAAAAAAATTAAATATGCAACTAAGAATGGCCTCAACTACTATAATCTTTTTCCTCTCATTCAGCATTATTCCATTACTCACCGTTGTTAGAGCACATAACCATTCCGTCCATTGCCCTCCACCACCACCTTGTATTTGTATTTGTAATCCCACGCCACCTCCGCCGCCACTGCCACAACCCGATCCACAACCGCCAACTCCACCAACATTTCAACCGGCACCGCCACCCAATGACCAACCACCGCCTCCGCCACAGACCACACCACCACCTCCACTAGCGACCACACCACCGCCACTTCCTCCAAAAACCTTACCACCACCGTTGTCTCCTCCACAAACTATAACACCTCCTCCACCATCTACTACACCACCACTATCACCTCCTCTGGTTGGCATATGCTCCAAGAATGATACCGAACTAAAGATATGTGCCGAAATTCTAGCAATTAGTGGCGGTGTTATAACCACTGGAAGAGCAGAGCCATGTTGTTCCATCGTCCGTGATGTCTCTGATGTTGATGCAGTTACTTGTTTTTGTAAGTCGGTAGGAGCACGACCTCTTTCTCTTTCTCCAAATTTCGGCAACTTTTTCAAAGTTTGTGGTCGTAGGATTCCACAAGGCTTTAGCTGTCCTGGACCATCACCAACAATCTCACCACCGCCACCTCCTCCACAAACTTTACCACCGCCTCCGCCACAAACAACACCACCTCCTCCACCAGCTACTACACCACCACTATCACCTCCTTTGGTTGGCACATGCTCCAAGAATGATTCAGAATTAAAGATATGTGCCGAAATTCTAGCAATTAGTGGCAGTGTTCTAACCACTGGAAGAGCAGAGCCATGTTGTTCCATCGTCCGTGATGTCTCTGATGTTGATGCAGTTACTTGTTTTTGTAAGTCGGTAGGAGCACGACCTCTTTCTCTTTCTCCGAATTTCGGCAACTTTTTCAAAGTTTGTGGTCGTAGGATTCCACAAGGCTTTAGCTGTCCTGGACCATCACCAACAATCTCACCACCGCCACCTCCTCCACAAACTTTACCACCGCCTCCGCCAAAAACAACACCACCTCCTCCACCAGCTACTACACCACCACTATCACCTCCTCTGGTTGGCATATGCTCCAAGAATGATACCGAACTAAAGATATGTGCCGAAATTCTAGCAATTAGTGGCGGTGTTCTAACCACTGGAAGAGCAGAGCCATGTTGTTCCATCGTCCGTGATGTCTCTGATGTTGATGCAGTTACTTGTTTTTGTAAGTCGGTAGGAGCACGACCTCTTTCTCTTTCTCCGAATTTCGGCAACTTTTTCAAAGTTTGTGGTCGTAGGATTCCACAAGGCTTTAGCTGTCCTGGACCATTACCAACAATCTCACCACCGCCACCTCCTCCACAAACTTTACCACCGCCTCCACCACAAACAACACCACCTCCTCCACCAGCTACTACACCACCACTATCACCTCCTTTGGTTGGCACATGCTCCAAGAATGATTCAGAACTAAAGATATGTGCCGAAATTCTAGCAATCAGTGACGGTCTTCTAACTACTGGAAGGGCAGAGCCATGTTGTTCCATCATCCGTAATGTGTCTGATATTGATGCAGTTACTTGTTTTTGCAAGTCGGTAGGAGCACGACGTTTTTCCCTCTCTCCCAATTTTGGCATCTTCTTTAAGGTTTGTGGTCGCAGGATTCCGCAAGGCTTTAGCTGCCCATGATGACCACTTTCTTGCACCACAAAACACTCATTCTCTTTAAGTCTAAAATATACAACGATAGCCTTGTGATTTTCTTTAATTTTGTTTGGTTGCAACAATGAAATAAAATACCATTGAACTTAGATTGTACCTCTATATCAGTTTTCCTTATCTTATTAGACCTTTGCATTGGAGTAACCTTTGCATGCTTTATACTAGACCAAGAACCACCGTAAATCAGAATCCGATAGGACAATGACTCATGATAAGCACATGAAATAAATATAAAACCGTATACTACCAAATAAATATTTGTATTAGCCAATACGAATAAAGTAAAAATGGGGAATCAAAATTGTACAATTAACAGTGGATGGAATGCCCAATCATTGCCACGGTTACAAAAATTCGTACTTTATGTGTCATCAGACTACACGAACTAGAAAACAATCAATCATCAAACAGACCCATTTCTCAAAATGTTCGTTTTTATCACCTTCCAGCTTTAAGTAGAGCATTTGATGTGAAGAGCACGAAGAAAGCATACACTATCAAGTAATGTGCTTCATTCATCAAATTTATGCCTACAAAAGTTGAAATTGTAAGGAAAATGAATATGTAATAATCAAGAAAAAACAGAAACAAACATACAAAGAAAATTTCGTCACTTTTAAAAATTGTCTCCTTTTTTTTTCTTGAGACAGGATTGCAATGTACAACACATTGTTACTAGCTCTACAGTATATTTGTTTATTTGTTTCTGTTTTACTCGATTATTATACATTTATTATCCTTTCACAGTGGAGAAGGTGAGTGATCTCTGAGAAGCGAGTGTATTTTGGTCGACTCATTCTTATATTATTTTTTTGTCTTGTAAAATTATAAGAAAATATCAAAATAAGTTAGAGATTTAAAATATTTTAATGGCCAACGATTGACAATATATTTATTCCTTAATAATCAGGCCTTTTATAGGTTTATTTATGGGGTTTAATTGTATAAGTTATATCAATCGTAAATTAAAACAGGGAAATTCTATGAAAATCCTTTATAGAAGTTTGTAGTCATAAAGATAAAAATGAATGAGTATATCTGTTTATAACGATGTGATTTTCGATCATAATAATGTATTAATACTAACAAATTAAAGAATATGTATAGAAAAACCATTTAGTATAGCAACTTTATACTTAGTTCCAAACATATGCCTATCGCCAGCTAACTTCCCTAGGGCTAGAACGTGGTCGGTCCAAGTAAATATTATAAAAGCCACTATTATTAATCAAATCATTTAGCTTATATAAGATATCATTTAATTCTCTACTCAAGCTATCCGCTTCCACTATAAATACACACTTAACACTCTTTACTTTTCTCCACCACAACTCTCTACGTACTTCTCAACTTCAAATAGTTTCTTTAGGGCTTTGTTTGTGTTTCCTTCAAGAACCAATGGCTCTTAAAAACTCTCTTGCTCTCTTCCTTCTCTTCAACATCCTTTTCTTCACTCTAACTAATGCAACTCGCAGTACCAATTGTCCTCCTCCACCGGGCAAACACAACAAACATAAACCTAGCCCAACACCAACACCCACTACCGGGACTTGCCCTATAGATGCCCTAAAGCTCGGTGTTTGTGTTAACGCCCTTAACTTGTTGAACGATGTGACCCTCGGAACTCCTCCTGTGACTCCATGTTGCAGCCTTATCAAGGGTTTGGTCGATCTTGAAGCTGCGGTTTGTCTTTGCACTGCCCTCAAGGCTAGTGTTCTTGGCATCAACCTTAACCTTCCCATTAACCTTAGCTTGCTTCTCAATGTTTGCAGCAGAAAGGCACCACGTGGCTTCCAATGCCCTTAAAATCAAATCGTCGATATATAAGTTACGAACCATAAAAAAATCTTGAATCTTTTATCGTTATGTTTTCCTTTGTGGTTGAATTGGTGAAGTTCATGAGGAACAGCAATGGGTTTGTGTTGTTTACTTTCAGTTGTATCGCGAGTGATTTGTTCATTTGTCCTATTGGATAAATTGCGCTATTGAATAAAATGTTGATGATTTGTTTCTTTCTCTCAACATGGTTTTTATTTTATTTTCAGACTCAGTTAAAATTTATAATTTTCCTCGATTTAGTATATACAAGATAAGATAATTAATTCATCCTAACAACAAAAATTCATTATGTTTCCCCGTAAGTATGTATTTATATATATATTTATATATGAATTTGAAGTCATTAAGTATGTATATGGTTGTTGCACACATGTATTATACTTTTTGATTTAATTGAAATGTATGAAGAAGAATTAAAGAACGATCGTTCCGTAATAAGATTTTGGTGGTCCATATGTTTTAATTCAACTTTCAGAAATGTTTTGTACGCAATTTCTGGAAAAGAAATTTGTGTATAAATTAGTATTTAAAGTAGCATACGTATGAAAATTAGAAAATTGGCAAACGAATGGATATAACGAGATCAATATTATTATGGACGACTTGAACGATATACATGTTTCATAGGTGAAGTTTGGCTATACGGTATGGCCTATACCACTAATACAAGTTTGCTCTTTTTTTCATGAAATATTGAAATGTAAAATATGGAAGAGTGGTGTGGTATGAATGAGGTTTCTCAAGATCAATAATTTTATGAAATATAGAACACTGGTGTGATATATATCGATCGTCCAAATTTTTTTGACAAGTTCAAACGACGACCAAAAATACTAGAGTGAAAAATCTGAACATAGTAAATAATTTTAAAAAACAAATGTTTGCCTGATCTTGATTTAATTTGCGATCGAGTAGTGGATATGATTTGTTTATGGTTTTGGTTTGTTCCAAGGTCAAGAAAAACCTAATCAAACGAAGATAGGTGCGTGGTTCATATTTCAATGGCTTCTTAAAATGAACGTACACTCTCAATATTCTGATCTCGAAAACATTGTGTTTCTGCTTTCTGACTGATAGACCCATTAATACCCAACAGAAATATCATACCATCATTTTACATCTTGCAGTAATACAGAGAAATTTTACATCATTCTTGCGATGAACTGTCATTAGTTTGTCTTAATTTTTCTTGTAAGCCCTAGTTAATCAACTGTTTTGTAGCTAATTAACATGGTTCGTGCGTCTTTAATCGTAGTCCTCGGCACACTGTTAGTTACGATTCCGACCATCATTGACGTGTCTACCACGTGTCGGCAAAGGAAATGTTTTCAACCCACTAGAATTAAGAAGATAATTCACGTGGAAAAAATAATTCAAGTTTCAGATCTCAACCACAGCCACTAGACACTCCCCGTGAACCCAATCTCTGTCATGTTTAATCTTTACTTTATTTATAACCCAAATTTTTTAAATCAATTACAATAAAAATGAAATTCAGATACTAAGAACTAAATTCGAAGGAAAAATGAAAATTTTTAAAATGTATATAATTAATTTACGTGATAAAGGAACAAGTCAAATCTAAATTGATGTGACTGTGTTAGTTATATAGTAAATCATTCACATCAAATCATCAATATAGATTTGATTTGTTCCTTTGTCACGTAAACTATATACAAAGCATCCCGTGAACTCAATTTGTCATTTTCAAAGCTTAACTGATTCCAGAAGTAGAACTTAAATTAGTTAAACATTTAATATCTATACATCAGAAATTTCAGAAATTTTAAATGACGGATCCAGATTTTCGAAAATATTCTCAAACCTAGCTCACAGACTGTGAAGATGATAGCTTGAAGCACAAGCCAATCTTAAGTATAAAACGCACAACCTTTGAAGACTAACCAAAAGGTGATAAAGCAAACCTTGGTTGAGTTACTTTTGGACCACAGTCATGGTGAAACGGCTATGAAGGAAATTGCTTGGAAGTAGCCTCATTTCAGCCATAAGGACATTTTGTCTGTTTGTGTTCAAAGAGGGTTGCGGTTTGCTTTAGCTCAAGGAAGCCCTAGTTAGCTTTGTCTATATATATAGGCGCTTATGTTCATTGAGAGAGACTAAGGGAGAAGTGAGAGAGAGAGAGCAATAGCTCAATGTAGATCTAAGAAGAAGAGTTAGAAAGGTGTAGAGATGAGAGAAAACATGTATTAGTATAAGCTTGTCATTGTTGTTCTCTGAGTGATACATGAAGTGGTACAGAGTGAGTCTAAGTACTAGTGAAGGGTATTAGACGGGTCACTTGTAGCTTCTTGTTGTAATCACCTTCTTCTTCATAGTAAAGGATGTGGATCGAAAGATCCTAACCGGACGTAGCGGTTCGTTAACACCGTGAACCGGGTGAACAAATGCTTGTGTGCTCCTCTTCTTCTTTCATATTACTCTGTTTTATCTTCCTCTTCTTCTCCATACTTTACTTGTTTTATTCCGTGTTCTGGTGTTGATGACAAATGAGATAAAGCTTGAGCCTTTGAGGGTTACAAAACCTTAACAGATTGGTATCAGAGCCTTGGTTGGCGAAGAAAGGTGAAAGCTTTGTAAGCAAGCTCTAAAGCTTTTGTCAAGAAAAATCACACCTTTATCAAGCAAAGGCTTCGGAAGTGCAGCTCTAGAGAAGAACGATGGTTTGGAGATTCTATCTCATAGAAGACGGCGTGTCTTGTCCATCTAAGAAGAACTAGATCTGCTAGAAGCGTTGAGAGATGAAGATGGAGGAAGATAGAGATTTCAACAGAAATCTCGGATCTTAGCAGAGGAAGCTTGTCGTGAGCTCTAGTAGTGTTCAGAGATCGACGACAAGGAAGTCGTGATGATTCTCGCCGGAGAAGGCTGAGATTCCGGCGGAGTGGCTCGAGTTTCCGACGACGTCGTGAAAGTGAAGACGTCGCCGTCACAAGCAGAACGAGTCGGAGAAGAAGAAGCCTTGGGTTTTGTTGTCGAGGAATAGACGCACGGTGAGAGAGAATCACGGAGATGTGGTGGCCATAAAGTCACTGGATAACATCTGGATGTTGGCCGGAAAATCATGTTACGGTGGCCGACGGGTGAGCAAAAGAAGAAGTCAGGTCACGACAAAGTTGTTTCCTTTGTTGGGCCAAGATGGACCTCTTCTATTATTAATAAATATTGGGCCCAAAATATTTATTAATGTCCAAGAGCAAAAGAGGAATAAGGCACGTGTTATTTTTCCTCTTTATGCCTTTCTTTCGTTCAAGCTTCGAGACTGAAGCTCAATGGGACAATCAACGACTACAGAAGCTTTGCCGCAGCTGTAGAGACTCCGATTGATGGTGCTTCAGTTATTGTCAGTGTTGACATTGGGAAGGAGAGCTCCAATCAGCCTAAGAAACATGAAGGCTGGAGCTTAATCGAAGTTGTGATGTTTGGAGACCTTTCGGTAAAAATCCAAAGTTTTTGATTTTCTTTAAAGAAATTGGAGGTTGCATTGAGTAAAGAACGACGACAGTCACAAGTATGTGTCTTTTTTTTTACTCTTGATTGGAATGGAAGAAGAAATTTCAGAGATAGAAGCAAGAAGAATATGATCGAAGATGGGATTCTTGATCATTGTTGAAGAAACAGGTTAGAGTTGATGCGAAATTGAACATCAACTTCAAGACTCAAGTTTTGGGAAACTTAAAGTTTGATTCCGCTGCAGTCACAAGGTATTATTTGTGATGCTCTGTATTGAAGTTTCAGGTTGCTCAAGTTCTGCATATTTATTGGAAATTGAAGTTTATTGGAACACAAGGGTTATGTACTGGTTTTACAAGAGTTAAGCCAAGATTCATTGATGGTTTTTTTCATGTTATCTTCTGGTTGAATCAGTTTGGTAAAGTCAGTTTTCAGGTGGTGTTCTAACTATCGTGTTTCCAGCCCGGTAACTCATAAGATTCATGGAACTAGGGGATGCCTTAGAATCTTAATGCTTATAGGTGTTTTATGGCTGTTTGTGTATCAGTAAGGGTACTCTTGGTTCAGTTTAAAGGAGGTTGCAGAATGGTTATGAAGCAAGTCATGTTTTCTGTTTATTCAAGACAGAAAAATGTTATGGAAACTTCATTGGTTTTGGCTGAGTTTTGAAAGGGGTTTCGGTTGCAGGTTTATCTCTGTGTGTAGTTGTCAGTTCTTGTGAATGAGAGAATCTACGGGTTGTGGATCATCAGAGAACGTGAAGCTACAAGGCTGCTATTTTCAGAGGGAATGCAGCGTGGTTTGTAAGCATGTTGTTTGGTGTAAGCTGGACAGTTTGTGGTTGTTTGGTCATGAGAACGAATTCTCTTGACAAGGTAGTGGCAGCATAAAAGATTCATGTTCTGTGCAAATTTGTGTTTGGCATAACACATGGTAATTTTGCTTAAGGAACAAGGAGTTCTTATCTTGGGTGGAGCAATATTTTCTCAGAGTGTATCTTGTGTTTTGTGTTTTTTGGATCAGATCTTCAAGTGTTAAAAGAAGCATCTGATGGTATGCAATTGGCTGTACTATTTTCTTGTGTCGAGAGTCTTCCTAGCCAAAGGTTGTTAGGCGGCGTGTCCTGTTCGTTTGAACAGCGGTGCAAGACAAGTATATTGTGGAATTGGCTACAAGAAAGTACAAGATTTTATTTATGGGATTGAGGTATGGTTTGATGGTGTATCAGCCTAAGTTGTTTCAAAATTAGATCATGAAGATTGTTCCAAGTAAAGAGAGGACAAGGCTGCAGAAATTAAAGACAAGTTCTTAATGGTTTTCTGGTTGCAAATGGATCAGTTGAGGTGGCTGCAGGAAGAAAGAAGATGTGTCTCATGTTTTGACACACTTTCTCAAGCAAGTAATCATGGTGATTCATAAGAACGTGGAAATGAATCCAAGATATAGTGAAGAGTAGTTTTAACTCAGATTGGTGAAGCTCAGCTTATAGAGACAAAGTGCATCCAAGGGTTATAGTTTCAGGTGGAGTATTGTTGCTACAGAAGGAGCAATGCATATCCTTACGAATATTTTTTTTCTTCATGGTTGAGCTATGTTTGTGGATGATGTCTCGGAAGGTTAGCTGAAGATAAAAGAGTTAAATAGCTGTGTAACTCACTAGTTTATCAGATTCATGGAAGTTCAGTATGCTAATAAGAAAACAAGTCAAGAACAGTTTATTATCAACAGGTTTTCAGCTCAAAGAATGTTATAGTCTGAGGGTATAAGGCTGGTTACAGTTTTTGGTTTGAAGCTGGGTGTTGGTGATGATATTCAGAAGCAGAGCTGCAGGTTTCTATGAAGGAGTTGCAGGTTTCTGAAAGCTTTTCAGAAGACCCTAAGATGTAAACAGAGATGAAGACATTGAAGTGGTTAAGTGAGTTCTCTAAAGGAGAAACTGAAAGGAGACAAGCACGAGTGTTGCAGGAGTTGTCTCAAGGCTGTTCACTTCGAGAATGTGAAAGTGTTGTATATCAAGCTTGATAAACAACCCATCTCAAGGCTGGCGTTGGTAACTGAAAAGAAGTCCTAGTAAAGAGATAAATGCAGAAAATTTCAAACTGCATTTGGAAGACAATGACTAAGGAGTTTGAGTTAATTGTCTACATCAGGAGAAGATCATATAAGTGTCTACTCAGGGAAATCACTTGTAGGTTAGTCAAGTGGATAATTTCAAGTATCAAGGAGTCATAAAGAAGAAGAAAAGACTCTAATTAGGGTCTGGTTAGTATTAATGACGATGGTACTAAGTTCTGGTGGAGTTTCGCATGCTTTTAAGCATTGCAAGATGATGTTACAGCAGGAAATGCATCATGGTTCTAGATTTGGTGTGGAAGGAGCTGTACATGGTTGTCTCAGGGTTATCACAAGGAGTTGTTGATATGAGACTGGTTTTAAAGGTTGCTGGTAGTGTTTTAAAGTCTGCTGGTAAAGTTCTGTTTTAACAAAAGGATTGAAACAGGTTGTTGGGAAGGTAATCTCAGGTTTTCAATGGTTCTTAACGAGCTGATGAGATTGTCTGCAAGGTTGAATCAAAAGGGCTTCAGGTTATGAAGCAAAGAAGATTCAGTTTCTGCATTTGATTCAAGTAATTCTGAGGATTTGGATCTCAGTGCACATGAGAAAATCCTAGAAGCTATAGCAAGGGAATCAAGATTTGCAGAGGGTTATTTGGTACTTCAATCACTGGTACAAGCTCATGGCCTTAACAGAAGCCATGGTGGAGAATGTGTGATTGGACGTCTTATAAGCGGTGAAGCTTATGGAGTTTTTTCTGTTCTGTTTAACAAGCTGGAAGTGTTCTCTTGACTTGTTAATGGAGTTTTTTTTTCTGAGCGGTGATATCAAGTATTCAGGTGCTGAATGCATCATGAAGTGATCGTTGAAGAGTTGAGCTTTATACAAGTCTGTATAGGAGCTGGTTTTCACAACTCTGGTGAACTAAAGATGTGTTGATGGCTCAGGTTTAGCAGTGTGAGTAGTCACAGCTAAAGCGCATTGATCAAAAGTTAAATGCTGAAGGGTAGAGCAAGTTTATAGTGTGTTAAACTGCTACATATCAAGGATAAGTGATGATTCTAAGGATCCTAGACTGAATCCAAGAAGTAGAATCAGGTACTCTCTATCTCTCAAACCATATGCTGGTGATTGTTTGTTGCTTATGCTATCAGGTGGAGATTTGTGAAGATGATAGCTTGAAGCACAAGCCAATCTTAAGTATAAAACGCACAACCTTTGAAGACTAACCAAAAGGTGATAAAGCAAACCTTGGTTGAGTTACTTTTGGACCACAGTCATGGTGAAACGGCTATGAAGGAAATTGCTTGGAAGTAGCCTCATTTCAGCCATAAGGACATTTTGTCTGTTTGTGTTCAAAGAGGGTTGCGGTTTGCTTTAGCTCAAGGAAGCCCTAGTTAGCTTTGTCTATATATATAGGCGCTTATGTTCATTGAGAGAGACTAAGGGAGAAGTGAGAGAGAGAGAGCAATAGCTCAATGTAGATCTAAGAAGAAGAGTTAGAAAGGTGTAGAGATGAGAGAAAACATGTATTAGTATAAGCTTGTCATTGTTGTTCTCTGAGTGATACATGAAGTGGTACAGAGTGAGTCTAAGTACTAGTGAAGGGTATTAGACGGGTCACTTGTAGCTTCTTGTTGTAATCACCTTCTTCTTCATAGTAAAGGATGTGGATCGAAAGATCCTAACCGGACGTAGCGGTTCGTTAACACCGTGAACCGGGTGAACAAATGCTTGTGTGCTCCTCTTCTTCTTTCATATTACTCTGTTTTATCTTCCTCTTCTTCTCCATACTTTACTTGTTTTATTCCGTGTTCTGGTGTTGATGACAAATGAGATAAAGCTTGAGCCTTTGAGGGTTACAAAACCTTAACACAGACAAATGCTAATTTCTCAATTTTTTCTTCTTTTAAAAAGTTTGATAGTTAAAATTAAACTAAAATCAAATAAAAATATATCAATTAGCTCATATTACTTTTGATATAAGAATCATAACTTCTTCTTTTTTTTTTTTTTTTTTTGTCTCTAAATCTCTTATCACAGTTCCGATATAGAAATCCAAACATTTTTATCATCAAAAATTCCAAATTATTAGAAGGCTTTTTATTATATACCATCTTTTTTTTTCTTTCATTTATAAGTTTTAATTTTCTAAGGAGTATTGACTATTGTAGCTCGCATTACCATGGTTCTAAATTGGTTATCTTTTTTTTTTGGCTAAAGACTATCAATTGGGTTACCAATGTCGGAAAAAAAGAAATTACAGGTTGTAGTGTCCACATATTGGGCCTGACAAGGTCCATATGACAAAAGTATCTAAACCATTATAAACATCTCAACAAGCCCATCCCAAGATTGTCTTTAAAGATTGAATAGTGACAAAAATCATCGTGAAAAGAGTCAACATATTCTTGTGTAAGAACTAAGAAAAGTCGTTTTTTTTTCTCATTATCCTCAAAAAAATATCATCTTGAAGATCAGTGTAGCCACTATAAAGCACTCAAATACACTTTTTCTTTTCATTTCCTCGAAAAAAAAAAAAAAAACCCTATCTCTGATCCAAACTGAGCAAAAAAAAATGGCGAATATTCCGATGGATATCATCACCGATCTCTTCCTCCGACTACCAGCAACAACTCTCGTCCGATATCGAATCCTCTCAAAACCATGCTTCTCTCTAATCGACAGTCCTAATTTCATCGAATCTCATCTCAATCAAACACTCCAATCCGGAGATCACCTCATGATCTTACTCCGAGGACCTCGTCTTCTCTGTACAGTAAACCTCGATTCACCGGATAAAGTCACCGACGTTGAACATCCTCTAAAAACCGGTGGTTTAACCGAAGTTTTCGGTTCTTGTAACGGTTTAATCGGTTTATCTAATTCACCTACTGATATAGCGATTTTCAATCCTTCCACTCGGCAAATCCACCGGTTACCGGCTGAATCGGTTGATTTTCCGGAAGGTTCAACGACTCGTGGTTATGTGTTTTATGGATTAGGTTATGATTCGGTTAATGATGATTATAAAGTTGTTAGAATGGTTCAGTGTAAAGGTGGTAAAGCTGATGAATTGGTTTTTGGATTTCCTTATGAGATTAAAGTTTTTAGCTTGAAGAAGAATTCATGGAAGAGAATCAAAAGAGTTATTCCTGCGATTCAGTTATTGTTTTACTTCTATTATCATCTCTTGTATCGTCGTGGTTACGGTGTTTTAGCTAGCAATAGTCTTCATTGGGTTCTACCTCGAAGACCTGGACTTATCGCGTTTAACGCGATTATAAGATTTGATCTTGATACGGAGGAGTTTGGGATTCTTGATTTCCCTGAGGATCTTGCTCATGAGAATATTGATATTGGTGTGTTGGATGGGTGTCTTTGTTTGATGTGTAACCATGAGTTTAGTTATGTTGATGTTTGGATTATGAAGGAGTATAAAGTTGAAGGGTCTTGGAGTAAGTTGTTTAGGGTACCGAAACCGAAGAGTGTTGAGTCGTTTGATTTTATGAGACCTCTGCTTTATTCTAAGGAGAGGGATAAGATTTTGTTGGAGATAAATAATGCGAAGCTCGTGTGGTTTGATTTGAAGAGTAAGAGGTTTAGAACGCTTAGGATAAAGGATTGTGATAGTTCGTATAGCGCGGAACTTCTTGTGAGTAGTCTTGTTTTGGGATGTAAAGGAGATCCTACTGAAGTTATGCGCCGCAAAGAACGTCTTGCTCGAGAAGATAAAATTATGCAAGAGAGAAACAAGAGGTTGTTTGCTTATCTCTAGTCAGTGCTTTCTTAGTCTTATTTGATGTCTTGATAAGATTAGTAAGGCAAATATGTATTAAGATGCTCAAATTATGTTATGTTACATCTCAGGGATGATTTTCTATCCAAGGGATTCAAGCTAGTGTTATGAGAAAAGCAGAGGAACATAGAACCCAAACCCATATCAGTGTAAGTGTTATGAAATCTAATGATATATGTGTGTTTTTTATTCCCTCAAGTTGGTATTTTTTAATGATAGATAATTAATATTAACGTAGATGCATTATTGGAAGTCTTAGCAGGTGGAAATTGAGTCACTATCGTAGGTTAACGTTTACAATTTTTAGGAGCTTGTCTCAATTTTGACTATCTCAAATGTTCTGAAGTTTGAAATTTTCATTTAGATGCAAATCTTGATCTGGTTTTCATTTTCAGGTTCAGGCGAAGGCGGAAAAGGAAGCGACTTCATCGAATCCCATAGGAGGTCTTAGTACATAGTCGCTTAACATATGTATGTATGTGTCATTAGAAATGGCTAAAAGAAACTTGATCAAATCCCATAGGAGCTCTTAGTTCTAACTTCTAATTCGCTTAACCAATGTATGCATATGTCACATATAAGAGAAGATTTGTAGTCTTTTATATGTAATTGATTGAATATAATTTTATATGTAAAACTCTTTTGGATTTTGTAAAATCTGGTGTATGACTTAAAACTCGCAATACTATCAAAGATCCACAGAGCAAAATGGCTAATTTCAGTACGTTATAGTTTAGTGGTTTGAGAAAAAACTTTTACATTTTGGAATTGAAACAAGGATTCATCTCAGACAGTGTTAAAAACCATAAGAGTATGGAGCTTGAATTTCTTTGCCAACTTTCTTGTATCATAAAGTTGGATGATATATCTTAATGAAGACTTATTATATCTATCCATAGAATTTTTACCCATGTTTAAAGAGCAAGGAAAATCCTCTATAATATATATAATAATATAGCATGAGAAAAGAAGGTCTACAGTTCAAAAACGCGATGTAATTGTAAGTCCTTCGAGTGGTGTATGATGCAATAGACGATTTTGCAGTCTACTAATTATACTCTTAATATGTTTTATTTTATTATCAAAATGTTTATAGAAACAAGGTGATTTTCGATACGTCATCGTTACTGGTTAGGAAGATAAATTGGCGTGAAGTGATAAAAGTTTGTTTATTTCCTACAAGCTTTCTTCGCCTCTAGGTTAGTTCTTCACCCCTTTTAACATTCCAATGTTAACGCAGTCTATGATCAAGATTCTGTGTAATTTTAGTGTAATACTTGATTATGCGTAATTTCTGATGGTTGTATAAAATGTTGATTCTATTTCCTAATGCTTGATTTTGTTTAATTTATGATATTAAAACAAAAATCTCTTTACAAATTAAACTTTAAACAATCCATCTTTGGATATTTATTTACTAAGTTGTCTTATTTGGTTTCTTAAGAGTTTCACTAGTGTCTACAATATATGAAGAGTACAAGGATGAGATGGGTTCATTTTCTGTGGAAAAGATTTGTTGTCCGGTATAAAGATCACAAACTTTGAAGTACATTATCATTTCTCGATATTTATGTTTCTTGATGTCTCTAGTCGTGAGCTGGACAATGATGTTGCTCGTTCCATAATTCTAAAGAATCAATTAGACAGATTAAAAAAAACAACCCAATGCTATTTCTTGTGTGATGAGTTACTTGACCCAAGTTGTTCATACTTTCTCCAGTTGATAAGAGAAGTATTTCTCCCAATCCGTTATCGGCTGCAACTGAAAACCATTTAGACTATTTCCGCTTTGCTGGCAGCATTGTCGACTTTCATTGAAGCATAACATCCAAGCTGGAATCCTAGTTCTTTATGGAATGCAGTTTTTTGGGAGGATTTGCGCGATACAGACTATGTAACCTACTTGTCTTACAAAAGACTGTTACAGCTTGTTCCCGAAGAATAGTGATGGGTGTGGACTTGTCTTTGCTAGTTTTGGTCGAATTTAGAGGTACATTAGGTGATATTAATCCTTACATGTCCACATGTATATGTCATCACAGCAGGGTCGGCTCAAATTTTTTTTGGATTTGTGCCCAATTATTTTTTTTCTGAAAACTTAAGATCTTATTTGCAAAGATTTAAAATTTAGGACCCTTGTTTGCAAAAATATCAAAAATTTAGGACTTTAAAGCTTGACAAAAACTGACAAAAAAAAATGTGGACCTAGTGCTCTCTCGTTTTCAAATATACTATGTTAGTTCTTTAGTACATTAGACATGTTCATGTCCTTTATACAAAACATAAGAAGATTGAAATCTTTATGCCATTGTATCTTTCTCTGTTTCCCTCTTGTGCGCTTGTTCTTTTGTTATATTTGCCATTATGTAAAAGAAAATGCTATCTCTGTATAAATAAACTCAGAAATACACGAAGAAATTAATTGAAACGTATAATTTGTGGTATTGCTGCCTTTTAGATTCATGACCGCAAAGTTCATTAGTTAATTGACTCACAGTGACTGCAACCACCCTCTAAAGAAGAATCTGACCTCTCTTACAACCATATTTCCAACAAAGCTTTCCCAAACTCGGGTTAGATCAATCCGAGTTTTCATCTGTATCAATCACACTCAAATCAAAGGACTTTAAAAAATCGAACTTCACTTACATTAGTAGTTCCTAGTACCTTAATCCACTGTTTTACTATTGCCGCAGGGCATGGTAACCTTCTAATAAGATGCTCTGCTGAAAACCAATTCTCAATGATACTTGAGTTCTTGAAAATTTGCAAATGCAATGATTCAAAACCAGACTTGGACCAAGATCAGAATGCAAAATGTAGGAAGATTTTTCAAGGAAGTCTAAAAGTATTTAGTGTCGGAGAAGATCGCATGAGCTTAGAGACGAAGTAGCGGAGAGTTCCAATAAGAACCATCACGACGGAGAGAGATATCAAAACCCAATCTCTGATCGCCGTGTCGAGTAACCAGATCTTCCGCGATTTCAAATTTATCTCTATTTCTTCTTCTCTGAGCTCGATCGATCCGACCCGGTGAAGAAATTACAATCAACTAACCAAAATTGGACCAATATAACCGAACTAAACCCGCAATAACCGAATCGGATAGAAAATAAAATCGAATTAATAAAAACCGACCCGCTTTATGTGATTTCGGTTCCAATCCAATTCCAAATTTTGTCTCCACTTAAGAAATTTAGAAGATTTCATTTTAGTAAACGTAATTTATCTACAATTGATAAATACGTATTTAGTAAACGAAATTCTCTATATAATAGTATAAGAATGAGACAAAGAGAGAATATCAAAATAAAAAACAAATATATATAAAGATATGTAATTATGAGAAGGTTTTGAGAACCTTGAACTACACTAGTGAACTATTAACTACAAAGACTAAAATTTACTACTTCTTATATTCCATTTTATAAGATTTTCTATTTAAAATGCGAAATTTTGTTTTTCTTACATAACATATATTATTTAGCATTTATTTAAAAAAATTGTAGAATATAAATGATCATAGCATACTAAATAAATATAAATTATGTATAAAATTTTGAGAAAATCAAATAAAATGTAACAAGTGAAAATTCTTAAAACATCTAATAAAATGGAATATATATTAATGTGTCTATTACTCCGATATGGGGAGTAGATGTTTAAACAAAACAAAAAATAGAATTTTATCTTACAATCGTTGCTTAAATCTTGATCACCATTTTTTACATACTAGAGAAATATATATATATATATATATATATATATATATATATATAGGGAGTATTAAAAAGCCTTGGATAAAATGTGGGGACATTAATGTGTCTATTACTCTATTTATGTGTCCAATATTTATGAAAAGTGATCACCTTATTAACTAATACTCCATTATTCCATAAAATCTGGATACATGCCTAATATATGAATTAAATATATATGATAACTAAAGTGTTCCAATATGTGGTGATAAATATCTATTTCTAATATATATAAATAATTTATGCTCTATTATATAATAAATGATGTTTTAGCAAGACTTTGAATTAGGAATGCATCTTATAATCTGCTTATGGTTTAATATATTTAATACATATATAAAAAATTATTTATTTATGGAGTTACTTAAGAAATTTTGCTAACATATTCATATATCTTTTATATTATGTAATGTCGAATGAAATGATCTGTTTTAAAGTCAACTATATGTCTTAAATAGATGGATAGTTAAGTGCAAACTTAGTTCCAGTTAATCAAGGATTAGATTTCTCGTTTTGGTGATGGTTTGAAAGAGATTCTCATATATCTATGTTGACTCCATAAATAGACAATATTGCAACCAAACGGATCAATTATCACTACTTGACATCATCATCAAACAAGATAAAACGAGAAATGGATTTACCATACAATTCGCTAGCATGGATCATCATTGTTTGAAAAGTTTTAAAATGATTTCTTTAAACAAATTCTGAATGTAGACTTTATATCATCCTTGATCGGTCAAATTTGTTGACTGAATCATTTGAACAAATAGCTGATGCAAGCCTTATTCACTATGCGAACAAGTTAAGATATTGCAGTTACCTTTGAGAACCGAGAGAGTTACATCAATATGAGAATAGAGAATCTCTATATGACACTTATAAAAGATCAAGTGTCACAGTTTATTCAAGGTTTTGAATAAATGATCAATAAACAGTTTATTCAAGTGACGCTTTTTTCATTCAAGTTTAAGAGTTTTTAAAAAGAAAAAATGACATTTAAATTTGTAAAAGAAATATGATTGTCAAAAAGAAAATGTATATTTTGTTATATCACCACAAATCAAAGTATATACTATGGTTTTATATATAAATGAATTTGGTATATATTTTGAATTTTATAATATACATATATATATATATATATATATAGATATATAATTCAAAGGTCATTTTTCTTTTTAAAAACACCATAAGATATATAACTGACCTTTGAATTTATAAAAAGCAAGCTGAATCTATAAAGAAAAATGAATTTATAAATACCATAATATATACTTTGATTTTTGGTGTTTACGGATATATATGAATTTGGCATACTTTGAATTTCATAATATATATATAATTCAAAAGTCATTTTGTGGTATATTTTGTTATATCACCATAGGTATATACCAAAATTTTATTATATAATTCTTTTGTGGTATATTTTGTTATATTATTTTTTTAATAAAATTAAGTTATCATTTTTTTTATAGAATACATTTTCTTTCTTTTATATTTGTTTTTGGTCAAATTGGGTTAAAATATAGTTGAAATCGATTAACTTTTGGTTAAATTCTGGATAAGTCAAACCATATTAAATATTACCGGTTAACTGATCGGTTCAATTGTAGACGTAGTTTTAAGAACTAATCCGAAAGTACATGTAATTTATTGAGATTTAAGTTTTTTTTTGTGGTTTTTAAGAGGCAAAAAGTTTGCGAAGCTGAGATTGCAACTAGTAAAGATGAAAAATTAGCTAACCCAAAAAATGTGATTGTATGAAAAAAGAGAGAAGCAAATAGGAAGTGGCAAAAGATCACAACTTGTATATAATGAATATATAGTCATATGTATGGGATCATCAATCATGAGAACCGGACATAACCAAAGCTGAACCAAAAGTAAGTCCAAAACCTCTACAAATCATATAAATTACAGACTAAACCAACTCATACGAAAATATTGTTACCGAAGAAGTAGTAGAGATCACTTATGAAGATAATTGTAGTTAACCAAACACAGAAGAATCTACGCTATCAGCAGAAAATAAAAGGATAAGAGCAAGAGCTTCGATTGAACAAGTGGTCTTTACCGCACAAGTTTTTTCAAAACGGATTCTGCCCGGTGCTCGAATCGAGGTAGAGCCCATTCATGTTGAATTATGTCGAGACCATCCTTCTCTGCACTCAGGCTCTGCGGACAATTTTGCAAATGCAATTATACAAAATCAGGCTTGGACCAAATTCAGACAGAATAAAAATTGTAGGACGATTCAAGGAAGTCTAAAAGTAAATAAAAGCCTAAAAAAGGTATGAATCGATACGACAAACAAAAACAGAACGGTCATATGATGCAAGAACGAGAAGGTAATATTATATTTACCTTTGATGCATCGAAACCAAATCCACCCATTTGCATCATTCGTTGTGTGTCATCAATTGCTGCATAAGAAACAGAACACTTACAGTGACTAAAGCGGATTCACCAAGAAAGTAAGATAGCTCAAAGTCAGAGCTTTTGAGGAAGATGTTATGAATGAATTCGTAAGTATATGAACACTAACCATTTTCATCTCCAAGAATGAGACTGAATAAGCCTCTTAATCCAAACAAGTTTAAGAAGTACCTGAGACATAGAAGAACAGCCCATGAAACAAGAGGTGTAAACAAAACCCGCATAAAACTACCACGTCCTCTTCTCTACGTAACAAGATACATACCATGAACGGCTGCTCACATAGCTAACATCAACAGTGCTCAGGTCGATTCCATTCTGTAACATAGACCTGAACCTCTGAGTGAGCGGAAATGGTATTTTGGCTGTAAGATAAGAGTAGGAAGTTTCAGAAGCTATGGAATACAAACGCAGGACAATAGTATTTAAAAAGGAACCGAAGGCAAACAATGTGATCCATCATAAATGCGTCTGTGTAGCTAAAAAGGGATTAAGATGAGACAGTATAAAGGGAAAACAAACCTGCAACAAACCCAGAGAAGAAGAAGTTGACCCATGCAAAAGTGAGCGTCTGGAAGATGGTAGAATTCATCAGTTTTCCTAATTTACTGATGATAACATGACAAGAGATGAATTGCAATTCATTTACCTGTGGTATAATCATTGACAGATTTTTCTTCATCATATCCATGGCCATGTTAGGATCAGAAAACATCTGGGCTTGAGGATTTTGAGCTTGGTCCTTGGGAACATGTAACAATCCATTTTCCTGCACAAAAAAAAACACTTATTTCTAAGTAACGTTATTTGAACAGCACACAAACTATACTACTGAGAAACCGCTGGTAAAAATCTTGTACATTGCAATCTTGTCTTAAGAAAAACGAAGAGACAACACAAGAACGAGAAGAAAAAACAAAAAACAAGCTGTCATCATGCCAAAATGCATGCAACAACTCTTGGTAAACTAGTAAAGAACATAATTTCAGGATATGGAAGACATCTGATTCTACACAATTCTACAGAATCATTTCTCATACGATACGAATTTCCTTAAACTTATACCCAATCCTAGAAGACAGAACCTTTAGTGCATTGGAATGTTTTCAAATTGTCATAATAAAAGCATAAACTATTAGCTCATGAAGCTCTAATCACCCAATACAGCATGGTAATGACATAGTAGGAATCTCGAAAGTTACAAACTTTCCCTAATAAGAAACTGAGAAACACAAACAAAATCACAGAACCATACCTCATTGCTGAAGTAGAATCTCCGAGCTCGGAACGATTTAGGCGGGATAAAATTAGCACCGGCCTTAAGATTCCTAGCCCTAATCACAACTTGTCTGGAAAATTCAAACACATCAAAATCCAATTAAGCTAATTCTGAAAAAACAATTTACACAAAGAAGGAGAAGAGAAGATCACTCACCCTTCTTTGACCGTCTTCGCATCTGGAGTCGGAGAAGATCGCATGAGCTTAGATACGAAGTAAAGGAGAATTCCAATAAGAACCATCACGACAGAGAGAGGGATCAAAACCCAGTCTCTGATGGCCGTGTCAAGAACCAGATCTTCCGCCATTGATAAGTCTCTTCAACGATCTCTTCTTCGTCTACTTCGTCTCTTAGCTCAATCCGATGAAGAAATTACAATCAAATCGAGAAACTAACCAAATTGGACCGATATAACCGAATTTAAACCGAAAAATCCGAATCCGATAGAAATTAAAACCACACGTAACCGAACTGAACCGTTTTGGATCCATTTTCACCAACCCGAATCAACCGAAACCCGAAAACTTGACCCGAATCCATTATGATTTTAGTTGGGAAAATGATTGCTAGCTACACGAAAGAGACGTCATCACATAGTCACACATGCAAACTTTAAAAATGTCTTATTAGCTACACGAACTATTGCTATCACATACGGACATCCCCGAACTAACATAAGTCATGTTGCCAACACCATAACCATCTAATTCCAGTGTACCGGTTGCCGGAATCCGGCGTTGACCGGCATTGACCAAAAATATTTTCAAAAAAATATTTTTTTTTTTTTTTTATAAAAATAAATTTTTTAAAAAATAAATTATTACATAATTTTACTTAAAATATAACAAAATATACCAAAAATAAATATACCATAAAAATATATATATTTTTTGTTATATTACCAAAATTTTATTAACAAAATAAAATACAAATTTTTCTTGTGCTATATTTTGTTATAAAATTTTGGTAATATAACAAAATATATCTTTCCCTTTTGGCAATAATATAACGAAATACATCTTCTTCTTTTGAAAATAATATATGACCTTTGATATATATATATATATATATCTATAACATGTCATTGAAAGTATATACCAAACTCAAATATATATATATATATATATATATATATATATATATATATCTTTCTAAAACCCACAAATCAAAGCATATATTATGATGTTTATAAATTAAAGAGAAACAATGAAGAAAAATGAATTTATATACTTTCATTTTGTTAATAAAATTTTTGTAATATAGCAAATTTTGTTAAAAAATGTATATTTTGTTAGATTACCAAAATTTTATAACAAAATATAGCACAAACAAAAATTCATGGTCTATTTTTTTGGTATATTTAGTTATATTACAAAAATATATACCAAAAGTTTGTTGTATAATTTTTTATGGTATATTTATTTTTGGTATGCTTTATTTAACTTAAAAAAAAAAAATAACAATTTATTTTTTGCAAAATTCTTTTTATCAAAAATAAATAAAAAGAAAAAAAAATATTTTTTGAAAATATTTTTGGTCAACACCGGTCAACGCCGGATTCCGGCAACCGGTACACTGGAATTAGATGGTTATGGTGTTGTCAACATGACTTATATTAGTTCGGGGATGTCCGTATGTAATAGCAATAGTTCGTGTAGCTAATGTGACATTTATAAAGTTTGCATGTGTGACTATGTGATGGTGTCTCTTTCGTGTAGCTGGGAAACATTTTCCCATTTTAGTTCTCATTTCTCAACAACACTCAAAAGAAACACTCCAGAATTCATTTCTCTCAAATCCTGTGAAACCCTAATTCCTTTCTCTGTCAATTTTCTCCGGTGAACAAAAATGGCGGAATGTCCGACGGATATCATCAACGAGTTGTTCCTCCGTCTCAGAGCAATTACGCTTGTAAAGTGTCGCGTCGTCTCGAAGCCTTGCTTCTCTTTGATCGACAGTCCCGAGTTCATCTCATCTCATCTCCGTCGCAGACTCGAAACGGGAGAACATCTCATGATCTTACTCCGAGGACCTCGTCTTCTACGTACGGTGGAACTCGACTCGCCAGAGAACGTCTCCGACATCCCTCATTCTTTACAAGCCGGAGGTTTTACAGAGGTTTTTGGTTCCTTTAACGGTGTCATCGGGTTATGCAACTCTCCCGTTGATATAGCGATTTTTAATCCTTCGACAAGGAAGATTCATCGGTTACCAATTGAGCCACTTGATTTCCCAGAACGTTACATCACTCGTGAGTATGTGTTTTACGGTTTGGGTTATGATTCTGTGAGCGATGACTTTAAAGTTGTGAGGATGCTTCAGTCTAAGCTTAAAGGAGGTAAAGAGAATTTTGGTTACCCTGTTGAAATCAAAGTTTTCAGCTTGAAGAACAATTCGTGGAAGAGAGTGTATCTTATGTTCGAGGTTCAGATACTTTTCATTTACTTCTATTACCATCTCTTGCCTCGTCGTGGCTATGGTGTGCTAGCTAACAATCATCTTCACTGGATTTTGCCTCGGAGGCAAGGAATCATCGCCTTTAACACGATTATCAGATTTGATCTTGCTTCTGATGACCTTGGAGTCCTCAGTTTCCCACAGGCTCTTTACACTGAGGATGATATGGATGTAGGTGTGTTAGATGGCTGCGTTTGTTTGATGTGTTACGACGAGTTTAGCCATGTTGATGTTTGGGTTCTGAAGGAGTATGAAGATGTAAAATCTTGGACTAAGCTGTTTAGGGTGCCGAAACCAGAGAGTGTTGAATCGGTTGACTTCATGAGACCTCTGATCTATTCCAAGGACAGGAGCATGATTTTGCTGGAGATTAACAATGCGGCGAATCTCATGTGGTTTGATTTGGAGAGTAAGAAGCTTACAACTGTTGGAATAGAGTGTGATAGTTCATTCACCGCAGACATCCTCGTGAGTAGCCTTGTTTTGGGATGTAAAGGAGACCCTACTGAAGCTCAGCGCAGGAAAGAGCAAATGATGCCTAAGAGTAACAAAAGGTGGTATGCTCATCTCTAGTCAGTGCTTTCATACTTGTTTGTTTCCTTAACAGAATTGTAGAAATGGATTATAAGGCAAATCTTAGTCTTAGGTATCTTCATTCTTTGATATGTTACGGTTGCAAATGGTTAGCTGTATCAACATGCTTAAACATCTTATGTTACAATCTGAGGGATGGTTTCTTGTCCTAGAAGCTATGAGCAAAGCAGGGGAATCTTCTGAGCGGAAATATTATTAGATCAAGGTAAGTGTAATGAATGTAAAATCTTACCTATAAACATAGATACATTATTGGATGTCTTAAGAGGTGGAACTTGAGTCAACGGCATAGTTTAACATAAACAATATAGGAGCTTCATTTAAAATCTGACTATTTCAAGTGTTTTTGTGTTTGAAACATAAAGATGCAAATCTTGATCTGTGTTTGATTTTCAGGTACAGTAGCAGTAGCAGTAGCAGTCGCAGGGGGAAAGGAAATGGCAAAATCCTAAACCCATATGAGGTCTTAGTACTAATAAGCTTAACCTAAGTGCGTAGTAAGTATGTCGTAAATAAAGATATTGTTCTTCTATGTGTAATCGACTAGAATCTATATGTAAAACTCTTACCAGTTTGGTCTGTTGCAATTTGATTGCGACTTAAACTGTTAATCTCAAATTAAAAGTAAAATCTGGTTGCAAATATTGTTACTGAAGAGGATTTACTAGACAATGTTGGTGTCGGATCCCGTAAACGGATCCGGCCCATAATATAAATGGACCGAGGGAGAGTAAATGGGCTGCCAAGTTGTTAGGAGCCCAACGGATAGGCCCATTTAGTTCGAATTCCGCCTAGCGTAACCGAAGAATCTCGCGTAATAAGGAGAAGGCGAGTAATGCGGAATTCGTCATTAAGGGCAGATTCGAAACGGAAACAATTATGAAGACGCGATTTACGGCTAGAATTACGGCTTCGGGCCTCGGCCATGTAACTATAAATAGGAGAGCAAAGGCATTGTAAAGGGGACCGAAAATTTTGAGTTTATAAAGAAATATACACACTTTCTGATTCGTTTCTTATTGTTCTTGTGATCGTTATTCGAATCGTCAAGGCTAGAGACCCGTAATCAATTCAAATATCTACATTGCGGATTCCGACATCCACAGACAACACAATGTTACGACGTAAATCGTCGATAACAATTGAACAATATCGTTTAAACAACAAGAGATGTGAGACGATTTAACCAAAAAAGACCAACATAAACAAACTAAACCGAAATAATTGAATAAAACAGAGTAATAACCGACAAGTAAAGAACATAATTTCAGGATATGGAAGACATCTAACTCTACACAATTCTACAGAACCAAAATTGGACAAAAATAACCGAATACGATAGAAAATAAGACCGAATGAAACATTTTTAGTTTTAGCCGAACCGACCTTAACCGAAATAATTTCGGTTCGGACCCATTTTCACCAACCCGAAACCCGAAAACTTGACCCGAATCCATTATGATTTTACAGCAAAAGAGTTTTCTCATTTTCTCAACAACACTCAAAACCTGGACTCGAAAAATCATTTCTCTCTCAAATCCTTTGAAACCCTAATTCCTTTCTCTGTCAATTTTCTTCCGGAGAACAAAAAATGGCGGAATGTCCGACGGATCTCATCAACGAATTGTTCCTCCGTCTCGCAGCAACTACGCTTGTAAAGTGTCGCGCCGTATCAAAGCCTTGCTTCTCTTTGATCGACAGTCCCGAGTTCATCTCATCTCATCTCCGTCGCAGACTCAAAACAGGAGAACATCTCATGATCTTACTCCGAGGACCTCGTCTTCTACGTACGGTGGAGCTCGACTCGCCTGAGAACGTCTCCGAAATCCCTCATCCTTTGCAAGCAGGAGGTTTTACAGAGGTTTTTGGTTCCTTTAACGGTGTCATCGGGTTATGCAACTCTCCCGTTGATATAGCGATTTTTAATCCTTCGACAAGGAAGATTCATCGGTTACCAATTGAGCCACTTGATTTCCCAGAACGTCACATCACTCGTGAGTATGTGTTTTACGGTTTGGGTTATGATTCTGTGAGCGATGACTTTAAAGTTGTGAGGATGCTTCAGTCTAAGCTTAAAGGAGGTAAAGAGAATTTTGGTTACCCTGTTGAAATCAAAGTTTTCAGCTTGAAGAAGAATTCGTGGAAGAGAGTCCAACTTCTCTTTGAGGTTCAGATTCATTTCATTTACTTATATTATCATCTCTTGCCTCGTCGTGGTTATGGTGCTCTTGCAAGCAATCATCTTCACTGGATTTTGCCTCGAGGGCCTGGAATCGCCTTTAACACGATAATCAGATTTGATCTTGCCTCTGATGACCTTAGAGTCCTCAGTTTCCCACAGGAGCTTTACGCTGAAGATAATGTGGATGTAGGTGTGTTAGATGGCTGCGTTTGTTTGATGTGTTACGACGAGTTTAGCCATGTTGATGTTTGGGTTCTGAAGGAGTATGAAGATGTTAAATCTTGGACTAAGCTGTTTAGGGTGCTGAAACCAGAGAGTGTTGAATCGGTTGACTTGATGAGACCTCTGATCTATTCCAAGGACAGGAGCAAGATTTTGCTGGAGATTAACAATGCGAAGAATCTCATTTGGTTTGATTTGGAGAGTAAGAAGCTTACAACTGTTGGAATAGAGTGTGATAGTTCATTTACCGCAGACATCCTCGTGAGTAGCCTTGTTTTGGGATGTAAAGGAGATCTTACTGAAGCTCAGCGCAGGAAAGAGCAAATGATGCCGAAGAGTAACAAAAGGTGGTATGCTCATCTCTAGCCAGTGCTTTCTTACTTGTTTTGATTCCTTGAGAAAATTGTAGAAATGGATAATAAGGCAAATCTTAGTCTTAGGTATCTTCATTCTTTGATATGTTACGGTTGCAAATGCTTAACTGTATCAACATGCTTAAACTTCTTATGTTACAATCTCAGGGATGGTTTTCTGTCCAAGGGATTCAAGCTGAAGCTATGAGCAAAGCAGTGGAAACTTCTGAGCGGAAACATTATTAGATCAAGGTAAGTGTAATGAATGTAAAATCTTACCTTTAAACATAGGTACATTATTGGATGTCTTAAGAGGTAGAACTTGAGTAAACGCCATAGTTTAACATAAACAATATAGGAGCTTCATCTAAAATCTGACTATTTCAAGTGTTATTGAGTTTGAAACATATAGATGCAATCTTGATCTGTGTTGGATTTTCAGGTACAGTAGCAGTAGCAGTAGCAGTCGCAGGGGGAAAGGAAATGGCAAAATCCTAAACCCATTTGAGGTCTTAGCACTAATAAGATTAACCTATGTACGTAGTAGTATGTCGTAAGGAAATATGGTGTTCTTCTATATGTAATCGTCTGGAATCTATATGTAAAACTCTTATCAGGTTGTCTGTTGCAATTTGATTTCGACTTTTGCAAATATTGTTTTATCTGGTTGCAAAAATTGTTACTGAAGAGGATTTACTAGAGAACACATTGTTATGACGTTAATCGTAGACGACAAAAAAAAAACAAGGAGATGTGAAACGATTTAACCAAATTGGACCAACATAACCAAACTAAACCGAAATAATTGAATAAGACAGGAATAGCCGACAAGAAAGGTCGGTTCGGACCCAAATTCACAAACCCGAATCAACCGAACACCCGACCGGAATCATGTTTCTATATATACCCTTTTTTTTTTTTTTGGGTAAAGGTCTGCGATCTAAACATTGTCAAATCCTTCAAAAGCCCTAATTTGATTCTCTGAGCTTATTGAGAACGAAGAAGATGACGGGAGAGGCAGTGAACCCTAAGGCGTATCCGTTAGCAGATTCTCAGTTATCGATAACAATACTGGATCTTGTTCAACAAGCTACTAACTACAAGCAGCTTAAGAAGGGAGCTAATGAAGCTACCAAGACATTGAACCGTGGAATCTCTGAGTTCGTTGTTATGGCTGCTGATGCTGAACCACTTGAGATTCTTCTTCATCTTCCTTTGCTCGCCGAAGATAAGGTTATCATCTCTTCCTCTCTCAGTCTCTCTCTTGATTAGCAAGACTTGTTTCTTTCTGGAAACATCTTTTTGCGTTAAAGAGCTTGTGTGTCGTTAAGCTAGTGTTTATTAGATTTTGGTAGCTCTTAGAAGCTTAAGACGCCATTTTTAGCTGCACATCTTCTTGCTTTCTGCAATTTTCTGTTGATTATACTTTTCTCTGTTGACTTCTTTCATGGAAGTTTCTCTGTTTAATTCAGTTTGGTCCTCAATTGAATCATTGCATCTATATAGTTTTTGGGGTTATGCTTCAATTTCACTCTTGAGGAAGACATGATTTATTATAGCTAAAGTTTATCCTAGTTTAATGTTTAAAAAATGTAGCTTCGAATTCACTCTTGAGTAAGACATGGTTCATCATAGCTATATAGTTTTTCCGAGTTGAAAGAAGCTTATGTGGTCTGATTTTGAGCTAACCCTTTTTTTCTTTTTTTCTCTCCATTTTAATGAAGAATGTGCCATATGTGTTCGTACCTTCAAAGCAAGCATTGGGAAGAGCATGCGGAGTAACGAGACCTGTGATCGCTTGTTCAGTGACATCGAACGAGGCAAGCCAGTTGAAGTCACAGATTCAGCACCTCAAGGATGCGATAGAGAAGCTCCTGATCTAAGGATTTGTTGTCAGTATGAAGAGTCTCTGCAATGTGGAATGGCTCTGACTGAAGTTAGTTTGTGTGATTTATTTATTTGACGATTGTATTGTGAGAGATTTTATATCTACTGGTGCTAATGCATATTATGTGGAATATCATCACTCATTTGTGCAATTGAATATCATCACTCATTTTTAGATTTGGATTTTGGTGCTTGGTTCATTTACTGTCCATTTATTACACAACGATCTACTTAAGGCCCATTATGAAAATTTGAAATTATTCTTATCTTCTCACACTTGCTACATTTTTCATCACTTTGCTTTGTCCACAAACTAACACATTCTTTTATTCGTTTGTTCCACACTTTGCTCAATACAAATGAAATCTTTGTTCTTCACAAAGCTTTTTATAAAGTAATGTAATCTTCTTATGTAGTCAGCAAAATCAATACATTTTACAAGCAATGGCATCCTCTTATATGTCTATTACACAAACGGTGGTTTCGTCTAAACTATGTTCAGGGATAAATAACTTTAGCTCATGCTCAATTTACACGAAGAATTCTCGCGTGTTATCAACATTTCGCAAGGGTTCTATCAATCCGAGTTTTCATATTGATCTATCACACTCAAATCGAAGCACTTCGAAGCATTACACAAGAGTAAGAAAATTGGAATCAGATTGGGAAGAGAACAAAGATGAAGAGAAATCAGATCAGGAAGAGAGCGAAGAGGAAGAGAAATCTGATTGGGAAGAGAACAAAGATGAAGAGAATGACAATAAGAAGGAAGATCGCCGAGCAGAGGAGACAGTTCTAAAACTATACACTGATATCAAGGACCGAAACATCATGGAGAAAGACTATCAGGTAGAGGAGACAGTTCTAAAGCTATACTCCGATATCAAGGACCGAAACATCGATGGAATTTCAGAAGTTATTGGAGATGAATGCCAATTCTTTTCCAACTTTTTATCTAAGTATCGACTCTTGCAAGGCAAGAAGGTAAGCATGTTGTTTTGGTAACTTAATAACTTTTCTTTTACAAATCTTTATTTTAGAAATCCGTGTGTTATAAGGGTAATATGGTTTTATAAATGCAGCAAGTTATGGCTTTCTTCTACTGGTTGATCATGAAGCTGGGAAAAGATATCAAGATTATTGTTAAACCATCGTTCAAAGATGGCATGACCGTTGGAGTTCAATGGCAACTCGGTTAGTGTCCTAGTTTCAATATCCAAATCCGATTAACTGATAACCTTATACGCGAACCGACCCTATTTGGGTCAGTTAAGGTAACTGAAAAGTCGAAACCTTCAAACGCTCTCCAGAATACCAAATCGGAACAAGTCTTCTTTTCACCAGACCATGATATTACATAACCAGAGAAAATAAAAGACCAAACCCAATTGACCAATCCGATTGAAATGATTGTTCTTACGATGGTTTACCTGTAATATGCAGAATGTGATAAGTCACACATCCAATTGGGGAAGGGATTCAGTTTCCACGTTTGCCATATGTACCAGGGAAAGCTGTTGATAAAGTCAGTAATCGTTCCAGTCTAAATTTAGTTTTCCATACCGATTATAACCCGTGATCATGACCATATATAAACAAAAACAATGCAGGAATGTTGAGATGTTCATGGAGCCAATTTTCCACATAGAGCATCTAAGACTAGTAAGCCTGATCAATTCGATTAATCATGTCATGTTCATAAGATTTATGTGAGTCACTTACTTACCTATTGTGGTTTATCCTTTTTCTTCTGATGCAGAGAACTATGGCGTTTGCAGTGAGTATGGCTGAGAAGATATTCACTTTCTTGAGACCAGGGGAAAACACAAGGAGACAAGCAATGATACTCCTGCTACTTGCTCTTCTGCTGCTTGCTGCAGCCGCTTACTACTTCACACGACTGAGTTTCTGATAAAAACACACAAATAACATGGAAGATAGCAGGAGATAAAACCATAGAAAATAAGATTTTTCTATCAGTAGGATGCAAATATTTCCAACAGGGAAAACATAGTTAAACACATGAGTTTTTTTTTTCCTAAGACATTCATGGGTGAATGGCGTTAAATACAAAACATATGCGCCATTTCACCCTTAACACTAGAGTTTCAGTACAATACTAAATACAACATCAACCTAACCATGTCGATACACAACCAACTAAAACAAAGAACCCAACGGAAGATTAAAATAGCATTAACGGAAGTTAAAAGTGAAAAGGTTCTTTTCTTCCCTATCAGAGTTGTTCTACACCAAGGAGTCATAAGTAGGTTCCCTAGATACACCTGCAAGAGAGATGTGATACAGAAGTCAGTTGCCATTTTTGGACAATGCTAATATATAAATATCATAACTTGTGAAATCAAACTTTACTTACACTAGTAGTTCCTAGTTAATTAAGTCAGATCAGAAGGTATCACGACTGCTTGTACATATGGCGCCTCAGCATCTCATTTATCCCCACAGCTGAAATGCTTTCACATCCAAGAAGATCGCGGAGCTTCTCATCACACTGAATAGCCATTGGATTTACAGGGTCCTGCAAAAAAATTGAAGAGCAGAATAAACAGATCTTAGTTTTCCTGTTTATGACCATTCAAAAAGCTCTATAACATACAGCAATGTGAAATCCTATACTGTAAATTATCTTATAGAGTAATCCAACAAAACAAGCTTTTGTTAGCAGCAAACAGAAAACTTTTGGGAAGCAGTAAAGGAGAAACCAGAGGATTTCAAGACCCACAAGGACCTTTGATAAAATCCTCACCTCTAAATTGTTGAGTTTTATGTATTCCCAAACACGACGAATGATCTCTTCGTCTGTCATCTCCGTCTCACCAGTGCCAAAGAACTTAGTAAGTGGCTCAGACAATGCAACAGTTGAACTAACAGCAGCTGAACTAACAGCAGTTGAATTAACAGGCTCTGTGGTCTCAGTCTTAGTCTCCACCTCAGCTTTTGCTTTTTTTGCTTGACCAGAGTCCTCTGCCAAAAGTCAAACAGTCAGTAACAATGAACTAACCAAGAACAGTTGGGACTCAGCAAAAACCGCTTGTAAATGAACCATTACTTGATGGATCAAGCGGGAGAATATGCTTAGCAAGCAACTTATTCATCTTGAACATGTCAGTGCAATCAGTCTCAAAAACCACACGCAACGCATCATCGCAGATGATCTTCCGCTTGTTACTCGGGTCTTGAAGGTTGTTCTTCCTTATGTAAGCCCACAATTGCCTCACAATCTAAAACCAAAAGCCAAATACAGCAACACATAAATAACAACCCAATTGCTTATACACAACGGAGTGACAGATAGTCATAATCGTGAATGGAAGAAGGTGCTAGCCTCAGTTCTGGGAAGAGCAGGTTCACCAACAACGACTTGAAGTTCTGGAGAAACCCTACAGACTTTGTTCAGTCCTCCAGGACCACCCTTTCTTTTAGTTCCAGCCGGAGCACTGCAAAGTTGACAAACCCAAGTAAGTCATAAAAGAAAATTCCAATTTTAGCTCCAGCATAAAGAAATAACAACTGTAATAGAACGGTGTGTGTATCAATGAGCTAAAAATATCAAAGGATGATAATTCTAAACTTGGACATGTAAACCTAAAAACAAGTAGATGAACAAAATTGACCTAAGATTTAGACATTCCTAAAAAGGAAAATCATGTTTCCCACGAAAGTAGCAAAAGCCCTAATTACTGCAATCGGAACAATTTTCAGCCAAAGTACGAACATTTGAAGCTCAAATTAACGAAATCGAACCCTGAAATATGTTGGAAACCCTACCTTTCTTTTGGGGGCTGATTAGCGCCTTGTGAAAGCATCACAGAGGATTGTTGTCGCGGAGACTGCTGCTGATGCTGATGCTGGTGCTGTTGCGGCGGCATGTAAACCGGATAAGGCTGCCGGAAATTTAGGTCATAAGAGTGATAAGGAGGCTGAAGAGCGAAATGTGGAGGATATTGTTGTGATTGAGAAACAGAGAATTGCGACGGATGGCTAAGTGTGAAATGCCCTTTCGCCACCGGAACATTGACGCCGGAATGCAAATTCTGCTGAGAAGACGGCGGAGGATGAGATTGTTGTACGGATGAAGCGGAAGCGACGGAAGCTGAAGGGTTTTGGTGAGCACGGAGGAGGATATTGATCTGATCTCTGATGAAAGTCGTCTTCTCCGTGAGGTCTAACCCTAACTTAGCTTCAAGCTGTTGAACAACACTGGTTAACGATGTGAGAGAGCTTGGGTCTGATTGACGAAGCAAAGTCTCGACTCCTTTCGCTAGATCCTGGTCCGACACCATTGTCGAGAGAATTTCAAAGCTTTTTCATACACCAAAAAAAAATCTTGAAGGACAAAAAAAAAACAAATACCCCACAAGAAAAAAAAAAACAAATTCTCTATCTCTTTCTCTCTCTTATCTTCTTCTTGCTTCCTCTTTCTCTAATCTTGTCTCTTTCTCTCTCTTAATCTTCGTCTCTGTCTCTCTCTTTTTATAACTCGTGGAATGACGAATATACCCTTCAGGGTTTGTTAGATTTATCAAATGATGACAAATGTCGGTATTACCCTTGTGAGTCATGGTATCTATGGCTTGTAGGTAGAGGTTGTTGTCGTCTTATTGCTAATCTGTTTGCTTTTTACTTCTTCGCCAGCTGGCTTTAACTTGAGAACTCATCTCTTTACTCGTGTAAATGTCGAATATGTCCCTGTAGATTTTGACGCGTTTACTGTTGTTTGTTTCGAGATGCTTGAGGGTATTAATGGTAATTCGATCAGTATCGGATCGAGATCAATAGCCGTACTGACAAAAATGGAACAGATTGCTATTGGGCTAGAACAGTACGGCCCAATAAGGAACATTCGGCCTTTTAAGCGAGTGAATCTACTGTGGGGACTTGAGTCGGCTCTTGAAGCATTTTTTAGGTTGTGTGTCGAATTTCGAATTTTCTCGGGAAAATTGGCGAGAAAATTGGGAACGAGAGATAACTTTGAGTAGATTCGAGACTGTCGACTCTTCTGATTTGAAGTATTTGGCGTTTATTTGGAAGAATCATTGCTTCTTTGGTTGAGGATCTTCGTGTATCGCTGGGATTTTGTGTTCTAGGGTTTTTGAAAGCAAGCTTTAGCGTAAGGAAAATTTTGAGAATGAAAGGTGAAAGAGAAGTTAAGAATGGTGTTTCTGAGGAAGAGAGAGAGGTGAAGAGGAAGAGAGTGATGGAACGGTCTGATTCGCCACCTCCACCGCTGGGTTTCAACAATCCTCTCTTGCCGTTGGCTAATGCTTACGATGATGATGATGAGGAAGAGGAGAACGAGCAGAAGAAATCGCAAGCTCGTGGTAATGGAGTGGCGAAAGGGGAGGGAAATGGTAACAAAGTGAAAGGAGAAGCTCAAGAAGAGGTCGATGACGACGAGGATGATGATGATGAAGCTTCGAAGGGGAGGGGAAAGCATTCACGCCATGTTGAAGTTCGTCGTGATTGTCCTTATCTTGATACTGTTAATCGTCAGGTAATCATCGTTGTACCATTTCTTGCGTTGGTTCTTGTAATGTATCTAATTATTATGTTACTGGTTTGGGATTAGCGTTTAAACTCATATCTTGTGTTGTATTTCAGGTGTTGGATTTTGATTTTGAGAGGTTTTGCTCTGTTTCCTTGTCAAATCTGAATGTCTATGCGTGTCTTGTTTGTGGGAAGTACTTCCAAGGAAGAAGCCAGAAGTCTCATGCTTATACACATAGCTTGGAAGCAGGACACCACGTTTACATCAATCTTCTCACAGAGAAGGTTTATTGTCTTCCTGATAGTTACGAGATCAATGACCCTTCTTTGGATGACATTCGACATGTTTTAAACCCAAGGTATGTGCAATCAGTTTTTTTCTTGATAGTTCAAACTATATTTATCCTCATTGATATGTGAACGTGTGAGCCTTCGCACATAGTTAACAAAAATAATTCTTTGACTATTATCTCTATCAGTTTCGTCTTACTAGTTCTCTGTATCATCTGCCATTAGATCTTGTGACTGCTACTTCTTACTGCATTGTGTGCAATCATTCTCCATGTTCAAACTATAATCTCAATCTATCATCTCAATCAGTTTCTTCTTGCTAGTTCTCTGTATCATCTACTATCTATTCATTTTTTTTCATGATAGCTTGAACATATTACTCTTCTTTCATGCTTTGTCAATTTTTCTTTGATTTTTCAGTTCCTTTTTATGAAGGCTTCGGTGCTATCCATTTACAGGTTTAGTAGAGCACAAGTAGACGAGCTTGACAAGAATAGGCAGTGGTCTAGGGCTCTTGATGGCTCTGACTATCTTCCGGGAATGGTAATCCTCTCTCTTTGATTACACCTAATCTTCAAAATAATTTGTCTCCTAAAGGTTTAGCTTGCAAATATGTAGGTGGGGTTGAACAACATACAAAAGACAGAGTTTGTGAATGTTACAATCCAGTCGTTGATGAGAGTTACTCCTTTAAGGAACTTTTTCCTCATTCCTGAGAATTATCAGCATTGCAAGTCTCCTCTTGTTCACCGTTTTGGGGAACTAACTCGCAAGATTTGGCATGCTCGAAACTTTAAAGGACAGGTCTGACTCAATTTATGCCTCTCACTTTTTTAGTTTTTGTTATGCCCTCACCTATTGAGGACCTCACTAATTTAAGTTATCTTACATCAACAGGTGAGTCCACATGAATTCTTGCAAGCTGTCATGAAAGCCAGCAAGAAACGCTTTAGGATAGGCCAACAGTCAGATCCAGTAGAGTTTATGTCGTGGCTCCTCAACACTCTGCACATGGATCTTAGAACTTCAAAGGACGCCAGCAGTATCATCCACAAGTGCTTCCAGGTATGTGTCAGTCCTTTGACATGTCAACCTAATGCAGTTTGATATTATTTCTTACAAAAAGCTGCATCTTCATGTAACCTTCTAATCATTACAGGGTGAGTTGGAGGTTGTGAGAGAGTATCAAGGCAATGAAAACAAAGAAATCTCCAGGATGCCTTTTCTGATGCTCGGGCTAGATTTGCCACCGCCTCCTCTTTTTAAAGATGTCATGGAGAAAAACATTATTCCGCAGGTATACACTCTCTTGCTTTAGATTTTGCGGTTATATGGCTATTTCACACCTTGAAAGTCTTGCTACTCTGTGCTATTTACCAAATGCATTTCAGAAAAGGGAACATTTTTATCAATAAGATAATATGAACTGCTAGAAAACTTTTAATTTCTCGATATACAGCTACGTAATAGTGTCACATTTGGTTGAGATACAATAATAGGGATTCTTAAATAGTGGCTTTGCAAATTTACTATCCTTGAGTAAACTTTCTTTTTCGAATCCAGTTTATGACTTGGGAAAGGGTAGAATTCTCTGAGTCCTTGGTTGTTTGGACCTCCTGTAGCCTTTATGGCTTGCTACCTCGTATATTCGTCTTTGAGTTTTTAGTTTGCAAAGTGAGGTTAGCAGAAACTAATTTCTTTGATGTTTGGGTCAGGTTGCTCTATTCGATTTGTTGAAGAAGTTTGATGGAGAAACTGTGACAGAGGTGGTTCGCCCTAAGCTGGCCAGAATGAGATATCGTATAACCAAATCTCCTCCTTACTTGATGTTCCATATGGTTCGGTTCAAGAAGAATAACTTCTTCAAAGAGAAGAACCCTACATTGGGTGAGTCTGTTTGGAATATTTTGTGACGTTAATGTTGTATAAGGAATCCTTATGCCTGTTTAATTGACCCATTTTTGTCAATGCCACAGTTAATTTCCCAGTGAAGGACATGGAGCTGAGGGATTACATACCATCATTGCCTAGAGCACCAGAAGGCGAGAAGGTGTGTTCTAAGTATAATCTAATCGCAAACATTGTACATGATGGTAAGCCGGAGGACGGGTACTTCAGAGTCTTTGTGCAGCGCAAGTCACAAGAACTATGGTAAAGCTTTCTCATTCATTAACTATTATGGTTTCTCATATCCTCTCACATGACCTTTTTTAGCATAATTACACAATTCGAACATAGCGACAGGTCTATGGTACAGGATCTATATATATCTGTGCATAAATTAATATGGGGATAATGTTAATTTCAGGTACGAGATGCAGGATCTTCATGTTGCAGAGACACTTCCCCAGATGGTGGAACTATCGGAAGCATACATGCAGATATATGAGCAGCAGGATGAATAGAGAGCACTGGAAACAAACTGACTTGATCTGGTTTAAGAGTAAAAGTTACCAGTTTTTTTCTTGGATTGAGGAGGAATGAGATTAGAGATTTGTTTCACAACTCTTTTGGAAAAAAAAGGATTCTTGAACCTCTTTAAAGATAGAGAGAGCCTATTGTTGCTATGGATATATCATATTGAAAGACCCTGTTAAAAAAAAAACGCATATATGAGTTTTGGGAAGAGCTTTATGCATTGCGAAGAAAGTAACCTCTTTAAATTCTTAAACTTTTGAAATTTTGCAGTAAAAAAACACATGACTTTTGAGTTTCCATTTCCACAAAATCCTTTTTTAAAAAAGTTTTGTCTAATTTATTCTTAACAATATAAGAAAAAAGAATCTTATTCACTATCTCTCCTTTTGGCGATTCTCATCCAAACAAAAAAAATTGATTCCTTTCTAGTTTTCCATTAACCAATTCTAGAAGATTATGAGCATTGAACATCACGAGTTCCTACTGAGCCAAAAAAAAAAAAAAAACACTTTTGTAGAACAAAGTTCATAATATTCTCGATTTTTTTAATTTTCAATTCACGTACAGAGAACAATTAAATAGTAGTATATATTTATTGTGGCTTCTAGAATCAAAAAATTAAAAGATTCGAGAAAGAAGAGAATCCTTCTCGTCTTCTACTTTTGTTTCTTTAACTCGATCCTCTCGTAGTCTCTTCTGCTTCTTCGTCTTCTGATTCTCTCATTCTCTCTCGCCCTCGCAGAGTAGTAATTCAGCTCACAAAAACAGGTTTCACGTCTCTGCCTTATTTACCTCATTCAAGTATCATATTTACATAAGTTTTGGATATATGTGTGTTTCAGATCTCCACGAGAAACTAGTATTGTTCCTCTTTGTTATCCTTCTTAGCTCGTGTGATTTCTGACAACATTAGTGAGCAAGATTTCACTATGCCATAAGAATCTCGGTTGCTTGAATTTGGGTTTTATTCCCGGTTTTTGCATCGTTCTATGTGATTTTGCTCGTATTTGTCCGATTGTTCTTTTAATTGTATTTCTCTGTGAATCATAGCTATTTCACTTCTATTCGGTGCTTTAGATTCGATGAATTTGAATGAAACCTACAGTGAGCGTATACTCGTGGAGAATTTCTGAAATTCAAGTTTGAATTGCTGGGTTTACGATACTTTGGTTCTATATTTACTCAACTTTTTTGGCTTATCAATGATTTGTATTTGCCATTTTAGTATATGTTGGAAGATATCAGGAGAGTCTTTCTCAGTTTTTATACTTTCTCAATTTGTATTTTGATGTTAGACTATGGTGATGCTAGATGTAGTGAAGTACAGTTTTAAAAAATTTCACAGGTAGTCGGTGTTTTTGTTTCGAAATCTGGGCAACATGCAGAAGGAAACTGCTGGTGATGCTCCATCAGCACCTACCACTCGTGTTCGGCATCGGAAGCGAAACAGTGATGTATGTTTTCTCTTATTCAGATTTTCCAAATAGACTGTCTATTTAGTAGAGACATAGGTGAAGACAAATCTTTATTCACATAGTTCTTGGCTTAGTTAAGTTGCGTTTCTATTTATGTGATGTAAACTCTATTCAAAGAGTACATATCTTTTTAGTTTTTGCTTCATTTTGTATTTTGATTGGAAATTGAACCAATTTTCTTGATTTTAGGTTGGTGCAGGGGCAGGCAAACCAAATGGAAGCCATTTACTTGTCAATGACAGCAAAAAATACAAATCGTTTCTCATCCGAGCATACTCCACTGTCTGGATGATTGGTGGTTTTGCTCTAATAGTTTACCTGGGTCATCTCTACATTACAGCCATGGTGGTTGTTATTCAGATATTCATGGCACGAGAACTTTTCAATTTGCTTAGAAAAACTCATGAAGACAAACAGCTCCCGGGTTTTAGATTACTGAATTGGTAATCACACTTTCTCACTTCTCCTCAAGCTTTTGAGTTCTTTATCTTTTGCTTTTATGTGCATGATGTGGAACTGGTATTGAAGAATAAGCTGGTATTTTTAGTACTTTTCTATTTGTTGAAACGATTTTGCATTTGACATACCAATTTTGTCTAATGCAGGCACTTCTTTTTCACAGCAATGCTCTTTGTATATGGTCGAATACTTAGTCAACGGCTAGTCAACACTGTGACTCCAGACAAAGTCCTATATCGACTGGTCACCAACCTCATCAAATACCACATGGCAATCTGTTACTCCTTGTATATTTCCGGTTAGTTGTTAGTTGACCTTTTGGGTTTACTCACTACTGTGAGGAGCAATAATTTTTGTTCACTGGTTTTGTTTAACATAATCTCTCCTTTTTTTGCTGTGGAATTGTAGGCTTTGTTTGGTTTATTCTGACGCTGAAAAAGAAGATGTACAAATATCAGTTTAGCCAATATGCATGGACGCATATGATATTAATTGTGGTGTTTACTCAGTCCTCTTTCACCGTTGCCAACATCTTTGAAGGAATCTTCTGGTAGTCACTTGTTCCTTTTAAGGCTTCTTGCTTGTTTCCTCCGTACTTTCTCCTTGTGATATTATCTCTATATCAAGGAATTTTGAGTTGCATTGCGCTGGCATTTGGTTATGACCTGACAGACTATATGTTTGTTTCTTTCAAGGATATGTGGCTTTTTTTAATATCTGTAAAAGTCTAGTTACTTAATATGCTTGTTTCTGGTGCAGGTTTCTTCTTCCTGCATCACTTATCGTCATCAATGACATATTTGCATATATCTGTGGTTTCTTCTTTGGAAGAACACCGTTGATCAAGTTATCACCAAAGAAAACATGGGAGGGTTTCATTGGAGCTTCTATTACCACAGTGATTTCTGCATTCCTGGTAAGCTTGTTTTATGGGCTAATGATTCTATGTTTGTTGATGAGTAGTAACTGGTTAATAATAATCTTGCTTGTTTTTGCAGCTTGCAAATATAATGGGTCGTTTCCTGTGGCTGACATGTCCCAGAGAGGTACTTGGAAGTTTTAGTCATGTCCTGCCTTTTTTCATACAAGAACAGTAGTAACAATTCACTGACCGTTATGTTATTGAGCGGTTAAAAATACAGGATCTATCAACGGGCTGGCTCCACTGTGACCCTGGTCCATTGTTCAAGCAAGAGACACATGTTTTACCAGGATGGATTTCTAATTGGGTAAAGTCTAGAATTGAATTGTACAATACTAAACAATTACTCGAGCAGCTTTTATTGCTTCTAAACGAGAGGTGTTTACTTTGCAGTTCCCATGGAAAGAAATTACTATTCTACCAGTTCAGTGGCATGCTCTATGTCTTGGATTGTTCGCCTCTATAATAGCTCCTTTTGGTGGCTTCTTTGCCAGTGGCTTCAAAAGAGCATTCAAAATCAAGGTGGGTTTCAGATGATATTTGGTATAAAACCGCAATATCTATGCAACATTGATTCACTGTTAAATGTTCTCCAACATTCAGGACTTTGGTGATAGTATTCCCGGACATGGCGGAATCACAGATAGAATGGATTGTCAGGTATATATGCATTGACTTCAATACATTCTTATTTCCTCCTTAAATCCTTCAAACATCAGTATAGTTCAGAATTATATATTAGATCTGATATGATATTACTTTTGGGTTTCTAGATGGTGATGGCTGTTTTTGCATATATATATCATCAATCGTTTGTTGTACCTGAATTCCTCTCTGTGGATAAGCTCTTAGACCAGGTAAAAGTTTACTGTAGAAAAACAACCACAATAATACATTAAGTAAGATCTCTTATTTGACTGTTATGATTTTTACTCATTACAGATAATCACAAGCCTGACATTGGAAGAACAACAAGCTCTATTCATGAAGCTTGGGCAAATGTTGCAGGAAAAGGTTATTGGATCTTAGATCATCACAACCCTTTATTGTATACCATATTATTCTTCTTCTGTGTTACCAAAAAGTTAGAAAATCATACAAAAGAAAGAAAAAAAAAGGAAAAGTAGATTTATAAGCTTGTTGTATAGTAAATGATACGCCTTTATGAAAGAAAAGAAGCTCACTACAATTCTCTTACAATGGAACTTATTCTTCTAAGATGTTCTCAAAATCAAGAGCTTGAATCAAAGTTTTAGACCTGATTAAGCTGAAAACAGGGCAAGAGAAGCAGAAAATGGTACACGAGTTATATAGTTATAGAATGATGTCAACTTAAGAAGATGCACAAAAGTAGAAACAGGAGCTTTTTTAGCAAGTTAAAAATCAATCTCAATTCTTCTTAAGAGCAATCCCAATAACTAATACAGAGAAAAGAAAAAGAAGATCTAGACTGTATCTAGAGAGTTTCACTTCCAAAAAATAAAATAAAAAACCCATGTCGAGATTCTGACAAAACGTTGAACACAAACTATATTTATGATCTTCTTCTTCTTTCTTCTGGGCTTTTTATCCCCACTTTCTTCTCATTGTGTTTTTGGCTTCTCGATCTTGACATAAGGAAGAACTCCCAGAAAGTATTTTACCTTTGGGTTCCATCCACGTTGCTGAGCTCGGCAGAACATCAAGAATGTGTTTGCACAGTAAGAGTTGAAACTCATGAACACATGCCACAGAGCATGGCCCTGAGGATTCACAGGCCACTGAGATATCGTCTTGCAGAAGACACGGTCACAGAACCAGCATATGCTTCCCACTAAGATTGTAGCAACATACCATTTTGCAATCCTTTTGGCTGCTGTGTCCTCTGTGTGAATGTAGTACTTGTACATCCGAGGGATGCATAGAAGGCAAAGGATCACGTAGTGGACCTTGAAACCAATGCCAAACCTGAGGTAAGCATGAACTATGGCAAAGGCAGCACCATAGAGGAAGAGAAAAGTAGGCATTGTACTTCTGTAATGCCAATCTGGTGAGTAAAGGATGTACATGTAAAGTAGTATCTCCCACACCATTGGGGTCTCATCACTCTGTTGTTGCCTGCTTGAAATCAAGAAACCGAGAATTATAATCCAAAATAACAATCTGAAAAAGTTCTATGCACCAATCAAACAACTACATATAAGTCATGATGAATTCAACATGCCAGTAAGAGTCAAAATACCAAGAATATAAGCATAAACTGACAGTCTAGAAACATATGCATCAATCAAACAAGTACATGTAAGTCATGATGGAAGTGGAAACTGATGGGTACTTACACGTGCTGTAAAGTGGCATGGTAGAGCATGCTGCCGATAGCAAGAATCATATTCGATATGTGAAGAATGCTAAACCTCTTCTCAAACCGTTGCCTTAATGCATTGACAAGACCAATGAGAGCCAATAGGATTCCAGGGACATTGGAGATAGTGTTATAGAACTCTGCAATGTAGGATGAGTAGGCATAGTTTATCTCACAACACTCTATAGTAGAAGTCACAGGACCCCAAAAGCTCGATATCCCATCTGCCATTTCTATCTTCTCTCAGTATGAATCAACTCCTTAGTGAAAGCCTCTAGACACTAAAGAACAAACAAAAAAGAAGCAAAACTGTCAGAAACCATCTGAAAAGACCAAACAGAACAAGTAAAAAAACACTAACACGATTCATCCAAACACCATGAAAAGCTTCTGATACATTCATGAAATGAAATATGCAATGAAAGAACAAGAAACTCTGTACTAATTGACTTTATTAACTATTAGCCTCACCAGATTATCTCTCAAGGCTCCAAGTACAGTAGCCAATAACAGTTAACTTGCAGAAACAAGCAACATACCATAATAAGTATATAAAGTAATGATTTAACAAACCAACACGCTAATGGTAGCAGTTAAGATTCCCATAATATGTAATTACAGTATCAAAACACACACAAAGAGTGAATAATCAAGACACTGGAAACTTAAAAACATCGTTACTACAATGTACAGGAACAATGAATATCTTCAAATCATCACGTCGATCCATCATCACCAAAACCCAGAGAAATCAAATAAATCGAGTACTGAAACACCAAATTCCACATCTAAAACAACGAATCTAGGTCATAAGAACAACAGTACCGCACAAATGCTTGCTCAGGTCAGAACTAAAGGGATCCAATGGAGAAATCAGATCCATGAAATCAAAGATATGAAACTCGTTGATCCAGAAAACAAAAACCCGATCCACATGAACAGCAAGAGAAGAAAAAAAAAAACAAACCGTTTTTTTTTTCTCGCGACGGAAAAAGAGATCTATCCTCCTCCCTCTCCTTCACCGCGTGTGTGAATCTTCTTAGTGTTAGCGAAGCAGAGCCATGGCAGATCGGAGGAATCAGATGAGAACAAATCTTCTGCGAGTGATAATGGATGAGACCTTTCTCTCTCTGACAATCGTTTCGTCTTCTTCTCTCTCTTGGGCCTTTTCTGAATTTCGGCAATTGAGGGGTATTTCCGTCTTCTTACATGCCGGAATTTTGGATTAAGTTTAAGAAAATTAAAAATTAAAAACCTAAGAGCGGCGCACAATAAACCACACGTCCGTCGACATGGAATTTGGTAAAATTCGGTGAATTAGTTAATTTGTGTTTGGGTCCTCCTTTTTTGTTCTTTGTTACTTAATGCGGATATACAAAATGATTAGAAAATTCATATAAATCCACTTTTTATTTTAATGGTTTTTGCTACTTAGAGACATAAAAGTTCGCACAGATTTAGGCAATGAACTTTATCAATCAATCATTTACTATGACTAGATGTTATTTTTAACATGAGATTGTTTCTAAACGAAAGAGAAGAAACTTATATTCAGACAATTGGCCATAATGTGTTATGATTGATAGACATTTTCTGTTTTATTAATGGTTTTACTATATTGCTGAAAAAAGTTAAATGTATGAAGGATTGTTAGACTATTTTAGGTCTGATTACAAACACTGAGCACTCTTCCAAGCATGTTACATCTTCATTGGAACAAAGTACAAACACATTAAGAACAAATGCGTTTACAGTATTCACGACCAACTGGCAAGGTATAAATCCATATAACAATTTATGGGGTATAAGTATTTTTTTTTTTTTAATGAGATTGTAACAATGATACACAAAGTGTTTGAGCTTATATCATTTTTTTTTTTTTTGGAACGATTGTCCATTGCTTCCTTTTGGGCAGTTGGGCTATATCCCTATTATGATAACAAAAGAGGATCGAGCTTTTGGACATTGAATGTAAGATTTTCTAATAACCAACCTTAATGAATGGTCAATCGTGTTAACTCTATATGATTAACTGATTGTGTATAACATAAAGTGAAACTGTTTTTCTTTAACAGTGAATTTTCAGCTTTGCGGGGTGAGAAAGCTCTTATGGTTGTGTTTTGTTTGCCTGAGACGGGGAATGCACGTTGCTGAATATTTTAGTTTTGTACTTACGGACTTGCTTGCATCAAGAAGAAACTCAATTTTATAGAATGTACAACTCTTGTTTTAAGGGATGTTCTTCAATATATCAGGAGGCTTACTCAGTTTCATTTCTGGAGATGAAATGGTTAAAAGTTCACATACAACTATTTAAAACCAATGTCATCAGAAACTTAGTCTCTTAGACTTAAGTTTCTCGTTTCCTTGGTGATAACTCATTGGTCATTGTAAATACTCTGTTTCATATGCAGCAATTGAGATGAACTAGATCTGCAGTCTTAGACCCGTTTTATTTTGGTTAAAACAAACAGAACTAGAAACTCAGCCACTCTTCTCTTTGATTACGTCCAAACAAATCAATTTTCATTGCAACATTTCTTATAGAACAATTTACTTATTGACATCTACTCACATAATTTATTCAGGGCACTACCAAATCACATTAATCTTTGCCCACTGTTATATACTTGCGGTTAAACTTGAACAATGTAAACGAACATAATTCTCAAAACCAGATCGTGATTAAATTTGCAATATAAATGTAGGCACCAATAAGACACATAACTGTTCATTAAGAAAGAACAGATCGCCTGGAAAGGAGCCCTAAATATCTACGAGAAAGAACTTTCGAAAATGGCATTTTTTAAATCTGCTATTCTCTATTCTTAATATCCTTCTCAGAAATCACTATTATCTACAACTAAAAATTCACAATAAAAACATCGATGAAGAAAACAAATAAAAGATGTAAGAAACTCGGTAAGCAGATGAATCGACCGGAGAGATCTAAATCTCTCTCGCGACCACCGGCCAGATAGCTTCTTATTCAATCTAGCTACAGCCGTATTTTGGCAAATTCAAGAATAAAGGTATCGAAATCGAACCCTTCTCTCGGTACAATGTAGCCCCAATAATACGAATTAATCAATACGCTAATCGAATTCACATAAACAACAAACAAACCTAAATACGCTAAAGAAATTGATGTGAAAACCCTAAACCTAGGCGTCGCAATGAAAGTGATGATATTAGCTAAGATGTTGAAGCGATGTTTTATATAGGAGAAAAAATCAGGGGTATAAATGTCTTTCTGCAAAACTCCTCTGAGAGCGCTTCTAGGTCAAACGATTAGCTGAGACACCTCTGGTACAGAAAGAGTCTTTCTCTTTGTTAAGCAAAAGCAATTTATTGTTAAGTGTAATTAGATTAGCCTATAAGTATCATACACGTGTCAATAGTCAAAACTCTCTAGCTCAAGGAGAGTCTTCTACTTGCAGCAAAACCAATAAAATTGGTCGCTTCGCAAAAACTGAGATCTGAGTTCTTTCGTCTTACGGTGGAAGAAGAGACGAAAGATAGTTTTTTTTTTTTTCTCTAAACAAAAATTAAATTTCTTAACCGGATTGGGATTTGAAAGTTTGGATTTTGATCAGTGAGTTTGTTATGGAAGGAGTTGGGGCACGGTTAGGTAGGTCCTCGACTCGGTACGGACCAGCTACGGTATTCACCGGTCCGGTGAGGAAGTGGAAGAAGAAGTGGGTTCATGTCTCTCCCTCCACTAAGAAAGACAATAATAGCTCCTCTGGTTCCGCCGCTGCAGCAGCTTCCGTCGTTAACGGTGGTTCGAATTCTGACGGCAGTAATGGATCGCATTTGTTGCTGTATAAATGGGCACCATTGTCTCAGAACGGTAACAGTAACGGGAATGAAGATGGTAAGAGTGAGAGTAATTCTCCGAGCGAGGACACGGTGGTCGCGGCGGCAGAAGATCCTCCGCGGCGTAGATTCAAATATGTTCCGGTTAGTTTGTGGTTTGTTTATTTTTGGTTCAATGTCTTGTTGCATTGGCTTGAGCTATAAGGTTTTTGCTAGTAGTCTGATTAGGTGACTGCTACAGTGATTAGGGTTTTGATCGCCGTATAAATATTACCAAAAAGGGTCAGTTTTGAGCATTGTTGAAGAAATAATTGGAATGGACTATGTCTCTGTTTTGCCATTTTGGATTCTTTGGAGTAAGGTTTATCACTGGTTGAAGTTGATGATGATCTTTGCTTAAGAAGCCGTTTTGCAGTATCATTGAATCGTTTTGGATTATAATTTGGAATTTGAAACTTTGTATATCTAATTTAGTTTTGATTACTAGTGATTCATTTGAAGTGAAGTGTGATTTAAATGGTGCAGATTGCTGTGCTTGAGGAACAGAAGAAGGAGATTACAGAAATTGAGGAAGATGATAAGATTGAGGAGGATGACAAGATTGAAGAGGATAATAAGGTCGAGCAGGAAGATAAGGTTGATGAGGAAAAAACTGTAGAGGAGTCGAGCGAGAAGATAACGGAAGTGGAGGAAAAGCCTGACATCAATGATGTTCCGATGGAAGATATTCAGGTAAAGCATTCGACATGTAATATTATCTGCTTCATCAATGTTTCTGTTGATAACTCCATGTTCATTCATGGATTCCTGACTTACTTGTAACTGCGTTTCTTATGGTAGGATTTTCAAAAACTGATTCTTTATCTTAGCATCATTCGTACTTGAATTTGTGGTTTCTAGACTTTGTTCTATCGCCAGCTATAATTGTAATCTTGCCTAATTTCCCTTGTCATTGTGTTGAATCTTATTGCCTCCAGTTTGAATAAAGAATGCTTAGTGATCTTTTGTTATTAGGCAAAGTAGATACTGAACCTTCATCTGTTTCTCATTAGCAGGATGAAGAAAAAATAGTACAGGATGATGAAGAAAAAGCAGTGCGACAAGATTTGAACGAAAGCACTGTGGATTTAGGACTGAACTTAAATGCAAACGATGTGGATGCTGAAAACGCCCCAAAGGAGGACAAGCCATTAGAAGAATGATAAACTGGGTGCATCGGGTTTGGTTCGTCGCCCTCAATTCTCAATATCATTAGGAAGAAAGACATACAGAAAGAACAAAGCAGTCATTAGATATGGAATGCAGATCCTTGATTTGGTCTGTAACCCCATGGCTTATTACTTTTGTTGTTAATGGAAATGACTCATTGATTCAGACTGATCATTCAATTCATAGAAGATTTCTTGTCTTTTTGTCTGAATTTTATTTTGATTCAACATTCAGAACATTTAAGGATTTCTTTGTGGAGTACTTAATGATTTACTTTGAAAGCAGCATATGAAAGGAACTTTTGACCTCCTTTATCATTTGAACAAATGTCAAACAGGAATACTTAAAAAGCCTTGAAAATGATAATCGTGATCCGATCAGAAAGAAGAACTTGGAATGTAAAGAAAATCAAATATCTTGGGATTAGATTTTCAAGCAGAAGCAAGATGATATCCAATTTTCCTTTGAAATCTCAGCTTCGTCATCATAATCATTCATTCGCAACAGCAGGCTCAGCTTCAGTTGCATAATCGTGTCTGGAGATCAAAGCAAGTGTATCAGTTTGGCAAGGAAGAAAACTTCAACTAATCAACCAAATACTTATTTGACTAAAATATGTCTTAAGATGCACATAACATGTAAATGTAAGAAGAAATCAGATGTTCTCTCGATCTTACTTTATTTTACGAGCAAGCTGGTATATGCCTGTCCCCGCCATAGCAACATTAACGCTGAAGAGGTTCCAGTTTTTCTGGAAACAAAATACGGAATCAAAGAAGTCAGTTAAGCCAGGGATCCAATCACTAACATCGCATCGCAAAAGCAAGGGAGAAGATCATGATAAGAGAGTATTACAGTATTAAAAAAGTACTAGCTCCAATGCGATAAACTATTCGATCCCAAAAAAAAACGTATCTTTCCGGTGATGGCATTATCAAAAGGAATGTAAAAAGAAACTTACCGGATTGATTACCATGCTGTAGCGAGACCAAATAACTCCAGTGCATGTAACCGCTGATGCAAGAAATATCAGAGAACACAATGAAACTGATCAAGGAACAATGAAAAATATGGAGAATATAAGCCTACAAAAGTCCCCAATTCAAAACAGAGTTGTGATCTTCCCGCAGATATAAAGACCAGGAAATAGCTAGCACATTAAGAACATGATACTAATACATACCGATTTGTTGAGGATAGGAAAGTTTCTCTGGAGGTTTGGCAAAATCTGCAATGTTGGCAATGCTAATACCCCACTTGAACGTCGGAGCCCAGAAATGAACTGAGATAGACAAAATGAGAGTCTGTATCCACCAAAATGATCCAAACGTTTGAAAAAAACTTTTATCAAGCTACTAAAAAGCACTTGTTTGGTTTCAAATAAACTTTTTATCAAACTCGAGGATGATCAATTTATATCATCACTCATGAAACCCATTATAAAGCAAAGAGTGATTCTCCTGGACCATAAGCAACAAATCAATCCATTCTCGAATCGAAAATTAAAAATCTTTGTAGAAAGACAAAAGCAATCATTTTAAGAACTAATCGAAAGTCAAAATCCATCAAAAAGTTTTTTTGAAAGTGGAAAAACAAATCAGGATTCACCACAAAAATCGAAAAGACAAAAAATAGTGGAAACAAAACTAACAAATTCTCAGACATGTAGATTGCTCAATTATTCATAATTGAATCATCAATAATCGAAATCGATGGAAAAAAAAGCTAATCATCGTGGAATTGACTCACTGGTTTTAGGTCCGGCAGGGTGATTCCAAATAGCTTGAAGCTTCGAAGTCGCCATCGATAATTTTTGCCCAATTCCCAAAAGCTTCACCAACCAATCTTCGCTTTCTGTCTCTCCCGAGATTCTCCCTTCTCTCTCTGGCTTAAAACACTAACAAAAAGGGCTGCAGCTACGTACGATGTCGTTTCAAACATAAAGCGACAATCGAGGGTATATTCGTAATTTTCACTACTGTCCCAGAGGACTTTGTACTTTGAAAGTCGTCGCGAAGACTTTTGAGTGAGAGAGAAATCGCCATTGAAATGGCAAAGGAATGAATACACAGACGACGAAGCCTATCGTTTTTCACTCAAGATCACGCTATTGAAGATTTGGACTTTTACTTATAAGATTTATCTCTTCTTCTTCGCGGAACTCAAACACGATGGCTCGAACTTTCATCTTGTGGCTTCACGGGTTGGGCGATTCTGGACCTGCTAATGAATCCATCCAAACAGTATTCAAATCCCCCGAGTTTAAGAACACTAGCTGGCTCTTCCCTTCTGCTCCATTCAATCCGGTTACCTGCAACAGTACGATCTTCGAATTCTCTGTGGTATCTGTTGGTATCATGATTCTTAATCTATATGTCTCTGAAAAAATATGAGGTCTTTCTCCTCTTTCTGTGCAGACGGTGCGGTGATGCGTTCTTGGTTTGACGTTCCTGAACTTCCTTTTAAAGTGGTATACTTTACTTCTCTCTTGATCTATCTAACCTCTCTAATATGAATTGGCACATTATTTATGAACTTGTTCTGCAGATTGAAGGTTTATAATGTGTAAAGAAGAGAACACTCTTGCATTTTCAAGAGATTTTATGCAAGCACATTAAGTATGTAACTTTTATGTATGTTAGGGCTCTCCAATTGATGAAAGCAGCGTGCTTGAAGCAGCTAAGAACGTTCATGCTATTATAGACCAGGAGATTGCAGAAGGAACTAATCCAGAAAACGTGTTTATCTGTGGATTAAGCCAAGGAGGTTGTTTCTCTTTTCATTGATTCATTTTATTTTTAATAGTCTTTGTAGAGAGAGACCTTGTTATATCGGTCTGAATCCACTTATGTCTTGTGAATCATGCATTGTGGCTCCTGATTAAGATTTTTTTTTTTTGCAGGAGCATTGACTTTGGCTAGTGTTCTGCTTTACCCAAAAACTCTTGGAGGAGGAGCAGTTCTAAGCGGATGGGTTCCATTCAGTTCTTCAGTCATCAGTCAGTTTCCTGAAGAGGCTAAGAAGGTTCATCACTTATGTTTTCTTATTAACATTGATCTCTTATCTCTGTTTTTCGTGTTTCTGAGTCTTGAGATTTTGCAATATGCAGACACCAATCTTGTGGTCTCATGGAACTGATGACAGAATGGTACTCTTTGAAGCTGGTCAAGCTGCTCTTCCTTTTCTCAAAGAAGCCGGTGTTACCTGTGAATTCAAGGTATATTCAAATCAAACCCTTCTTCGAGACAAATGCATAATAGAAATCCAATGTACCATTATTCTTCTAAGGATAATTGTTTATCTACAGTCATATCCGGGTCTCGGGCACTCGATCAGCAACAAAGAGCTGAAGTATATAGAGTCATGGATCAAACGACGAATGAAACGTTCGTCGTCTACTTGTCTTCATCTTAACTGTCTTAAAGAAATGTTCCACTCAAGGTAGTAATAGTTATACCTACAATGTCGTCTATGAAGACAAGAAGAAGATTGATAATACTAAGCTCATCATCTGGTTTGGTCTGCAGTGTCCTTCTACTATCTCTGTCATTGCACTTTTGTTTGGTTACTTTGTTGCTGAATACATAGAGTTTGTGATTGTATCGATTTGAATTATGTATATGCAAGCATTGGATTACATTTGCAATCTTTACACACATGAAAAACATAAAACATAGCATTGAGGGCATTTTAGTCATTTAGACATCATCTCTGAAACTAAAACTTTTTTGAGAGATCGATCACCAAAGAAAAATGGTGAAGGCATGCGAACAAGTAGTAGACTGAAGAAGCCGATCGTTCTTCTCACTATCGCACTATTGAGCTCTGTCTTCGTCTTCGTAATCTACTTCCTAAACAAATCTGACTTATCATCTACCTCTGGTATCTCTTCTTCTTCACGGAACCCAGACTCCATGGCTCGAACCTTCATCTTATGGCTTCACGGGCTTGGTGATTCCGGACCTGCCAACGAACCCATCAAAACACTTTTCAGGTCACCGGAGTTTAGGAACACTAAATGGCTCTTCCCTTCTGCTCCATCAAATCCAGTCTCTTGCAATTGTACGATTGACTTTTTCTATCTAATTTGAGGATCGTTGTTGATGTGTGTTTCGTTCTTCTCTAGGTTTTGATCATCGTTTATGAATTGATTGAGCTAAAGAATTTGCATTCTCTTAACCTAATTCGGACTTTTAAGTCGAGTCTTCATTCTTAGGAAAAGTTTCTTTCTTTTGGATATGTAGCATGATTGTTGCTTTGATGTGTGATTCATTTATCAAATTATAGCTTAGTCATCTAAATCCTCCCTCATTGGTAAATGCAGTAGACAGAATTGAGTAAAGACTCATACTTTTTCTTGATAAAATCTTAGGTCTTTGCTAAAGATTGTGCCTTTGCCTCTTAATTTGTCTTGTGCAGATGGTGCAGTGATGCCTTCTTGGTTTGACATCCCTGAGCTTCCTCTTACTGCGGTAACTCTTCTTGACAATACTTTCTAAATTCGTAGCTCCAGATTTTCTTATATAGTTGTGTACAAAGAACAGGCTGCTCTAACTTATCAAGGAGTTGGTTCTGTTCTAGAGATATTTTTATGCCATCAAGTAAGTAATTTTGTATGTGGTAGGGATCTCCAAAAGATGAAAGCAGTTTGCTTAAAGCAGTTACGAACATTCATGCCATTATAGATAAGGAGATTGCAGGAGGAATAAATCCAGAAAATGTGTATATCTGTGGATTTAGCCAAGGAGGTGATCTCTCTTTGCACCACATAGTTACACATTTCCATGGATTTACTTACTGATGTAAGACTCTACAATGTGTTGATTTTCTTGCATTGCGACTTCTGACTAAGGTTTTCTGCAGGTGCATTAACCTTGGCTAGTGTTCTTCTTTACCCTAAAGCTCTTGGAGGAGGTTCAGTCTTTAGCGGATGGATTCCATTCAATTCTTCAATCATCAATCAGTTTACCGAAGATGCTAAAAAGGTATTCATCCGTTTTCGGTTTCTTGTAAAGGGTAAATGTCGATTTTCCTGTCATTGTTTTTCGGGTCTCTGAGTCTCCATAGTTTGCATATGCAGACACCAATCTTGTGGTCTCATGGCATTGATGACAAAACTGTGCTATTCGAAGCTGGTCAAGCAGCTCTTCCTTTTCTTCAACAAGCTGGTGTGACTTGTGAATTCAAGGTATGAAAATAATAATCAAATCAAACACTCATGTTTGATAGTATAACAGAGCAGGCAATTCAAATACTGATCACATTGGATCGTATAAAACCAATTCTTGAGTATATAAATCTGAAGAAATTTCGTTTATCTGCAGGCTTATCCGGATCTTGGACACTCAATCAGTAATAAGGAGCTGCAATATTTGGAGTCATGGATCAAACAACGGATGCAGAGCTCTTCGTCTTCTTCTTAAAATGGTGTTAAAAGGCAACATTGTACTCAAGGTAACAACATCCTAGTGCCTATCAAGATTAGAATAACATCAGCTCATCTCTGGTCTAGTTTCTCTATCATGAAAACCGTTTTTTTTGGTTTAATCGTCTTGTTTGGTTATGTAAACGGTTACTTTTGTTAACTACAAACATTTTTGAACTTTTCATTGATTTGAAAAATTATATGTCAACACTAGAATTCTTTTATTTTAGTCAACAAATCAAGACTATCAAGTGACTACATAACTCGAATTGTGATGTGTTCAAAATGGAAAATCTTTTATCCAAAACAATAAATTTCTTGTCAAAAGTATGCAAAGTAAAAATTCTTCTGACCAAAACAAAACTTGCATACCAATGCCATCATTATAATTTTTACAAATTTCTGTGAGATTGTGTTTATGTAACTATGCAAATAATTATTCGTAGAAAAGAAGACAAAAAATCATATCATAATAAGTCACCATATAAAAACAACGATCTGAGATTCTGAATAATGAAGTTTTAGCATATTATACGTCGATATCTAAGTTTGAAACCATATAAATTGTAAAATATTATTAGATCCGACCAAAGAAGAACACAAAAAATCCAAATGAGTTTGCATGGTCTGATGATATTGCAGGGCTAGTTTCGTCTAAACACATAAATTCCCAATTGCGCCCATATTATCTCTTTGGATTCTCTCCCCCAAGCACCCACCGACTATATGTGATTTTCAACAATTACCCTTTCACCATTTCAAATATTACAGAATCTTGACACTATAGTGACAGCTATAAAAAGAAGAATCTGAGTCCAAGAAGTATTCAAATTTGATTGATCTAGCCGCTAAAATTTGATTCAATTATTTCAGTTTACTAACTCTATTTGTATTGTACTGTATATTTTTATAGTAGTGCTTCAATTACTGCAATCATTAGGCTCTGATTATATTGACTTAGATCACGTGTAATCATATATATGAAAGTTGGTCAACTCTCTCTCCATATGAGTGACACATCATCACTTTAGCATTTGACATGTGTCCACTAATAATTAATGTAAGTTAGTGGAACATTTCTTATTTAATTATACATATTATAAAAATTAATTATTTAATTGTAGTAAAACTAGTTATATTTATTTATTTTTTCTTCAATATAATTATTTTATTAGAGTTTCTTATACTCCAGAATTTTTTAGTAGGTTATTCTCTTAAAAACTTTTCTATATAATATGTTAAAAAAATGGTGAGGAGAACGTCAGAACTTCTAACATCAAATTATTGGACTAAAATCCTCAATGATGGAGTTCTTCAGTGATGGAGTTCGTATTGTTTTAGTTGTTTTTGCAAAAGTGGCAACGATAAAAATTTAAAGACGAGAATTATTTTACATTTATGTTTCGACAAATCAATAAGGCTTATCAAAGTTTGGTTCTATTTGTTCATTTGCTATAAACTAATAACATCGTTGTTCAAACGAAACGACAGCCCAATTATCAATGTTTAACATTTGTACCTAAATACCATGATCATTGATTTTAGTGCGGGTACTATAATCTTCTTTGCATTTTGTCTTCTTCTTTTGGTTTACGGATAACAGTAATGAAAGAATATTTTAAAAAGATAATGTGTAGTGTGAACAGTTTTTTATTAGGAATCTAAATGTAAATGCAAAAAAAAAGTAGATTTATATGCTTAGTATCAGGGTAATCTCGTTTATAAGGGAACTTTTGTCTTCTTGCCTATTAACAAAAACTAACCTAATGTTTACATTTATATACTTATAATCTATATATACATTTTTGGTGAAGATTTGGCCTCAAAAATCCTTTTACAATTTCAATATTGTACATTTAGTCCCTACAAATAAAATCTGGAAAAAATATATGTCTTAATCAAATTTTACAAAACAATAAATTAACTCACTAAACATTCCTAATTTTTCGTTTACGAGATTTGAGTTTAAAATATATGGAAATAAAATATTTAAATTTTAAATGCTATTAAACATAATATGGAGAAAATCTAGCAAATAGAAACTAATAAAACAATAAAATCGAAATCAAATCTAAACTTCTAATGATTATTCCACATATCTTATCATAAATAAGTAATACAATATAAATCATTAATTCCATTATTTAAATTAGGAAAATTTAGACATTAGTTTCCAGATTCTATATATTTTTTTTTTTGACAAAGTTTCCACAATAAACATGATAATTAACCAAAAAAAAGGATCAACGACGTACCAGTTTGGAAGCTTTAATCGAATTCATCGTGTTCTTCGTCGTATGAATATAATTCTTCTAAACGAAGGCAAAACTTGAAATCCTAACATCAACCATATATTCATAGCAATAACAGAGATCCAATAATTTAGTGATAGAATTTCACCTGTTGATCTGTCGAAGCAGAATAGTCAAGCGTCTCATAGTATCTTGCCCATGTTATGTCTTTAAGCCGTCAATATTATCCTGCACCCTATAATTCTAACCAATGAAAAGAACAAATATTTATTACCTTGGATACAGACTTGACGAAGAAACCTTGGATAAAAACTCGACGAAGAAACTTGTAAGTGTTAATGTATGATGAAGCTTCCATGAACGTGAATTCGTGACCATAATGAAGAAACGTGTGAATGGAGACGATTGATGGGCTTATTTTTTTCTTTTATTTTTTTTCTTTTTTCTTTTTGACCTTTTGTGTAAACAGATCCGTTTCATAATTAATCGGAAAAGGAATTATACCAAAAACAAATTAATCGGAAAAGGAAAACATTTATTATAATATTAATATATTTAAGATGATAATGTCAAATATAGTTATAAATCTTAATCAATTATGTTATTGTTCCATAACAAATAATTTATATTTTAATTTAACATTGATAACAATAAAAAATGGTAGTTTTACAAATATAATTGATATGATAACGATGTGATTTTTAAGAAAATATATAACTTCCTTTTTTGTAGTTATTATCGTCATAAAAATAAAAACCCTAAAAAAAATTCCTACACCGCCTCTTACTTTGATATAAATACCTTACATGTTTACACTTTCGGATCATCACTAACCCTGCTTTTTTTGCATTGATTTTATTTTAGCTATTCATCTTATTTTCGTTACTAGAAATTCTAATGGTTTTTTTTAACGATTGTAGGTTTTGGATGAGTGAAACCAACCACGATTCATGAAGAAGATTTGGGTGATGTTTTAACTGATTGACTGATAATCTTTTATCTTTAATGATCAGAAATTTATGTTCCAAAATATTGTTACAAATCGATGGGGAAAAAGGTTTGATTTATATTTGTTCTTACCTATATGATATTGTGATTAATTTATGCGTTTTCATTTGTTTTACCGATGCTTTTGTGGAATTTCAATATATTGAAAAGCTCTGGCTAATCTCCACGACGAGCATGTCTCCACGAGCATGCATGTCATCTCTCATATAACTTTAATATAATATTTTTTAAATTGATGAGTCTTATTTTTTGTGTGATAATCAATGTTATTGTCAAATTATCTCCACGAGCATGTGATCTTCCATGTATTTTTTATCTACTCTTTGTTTTTTTGTTTGATGAGTTTTAATTTTGTGTGGATATCATTGTTGTGATGTAGTCAAATAAAATTTTAATCAAATTTAGGGTTTCAATAAATCGTTTAGGCATCTAAATTATCATTCAACGTGGCGAATTTTTTTTAGCTTTACACATATTAATTCATGGTGTTTATGTATGGTTATAGGTTATGGATTCAAGGTCCTGAAACAACTACAGGACAACTTAATTGCTGATTCAATGGAACATTTGGTGAGTTTTTCACTTTAATGCTTTCATGTTTAATATTTAAATATAGCTTGAATTTGATGAGAAATCACTGTAGAGAATTTACGGTGCTTATGTTGAGATTCGGAACTTTTGGGAGAGTAATTTTAGATCTGAGAGATTGTATCAGTGAGCTATGTTGCGATTTTATTGAAATTGTTAGAGTTTCTTCTCAATTAGTTTCTCTACAGAAACCCTGTTTATCTACAGAAACCCTGTTTATCTCAAATTATGATTAAACTAAAAATTCATTTATAATCTATATTAAAAAATTTGAAGTAGAATTTTGAGAGTAATCTATATTTAAGTAAGAATTTACATAAAATGGCATGACAGTTTTAGATTGATTTTGGAGAAGATTTTGGCCCAAAAATCCTTTTACAATTTTAATATTGTACATTTTGTCCCTAAAAAAAAAATCAGACACAAATATTGTCTTAAGCAAATTTTATAAAACATTAAATTATCTCATTAAACATTCCTAATTTTTTGTTTACGAGATTTGAGTTTCAAATATATGGAAATCAAATATTTAATTTTAAATGCTATTAAACATAATATCGAGAATATCTAGCAAATGGAAACTAATAAAACAAAATAATCGTGATCAAATCTAAATTACCATTTAAACTTCTTCTCATTAAGTCAAACGCTATTCAAGTTGATATCTAGATAATATCTCAACAAGTTGATTTTTTAAACAAATTATTCCACATTCCATATTTAAAAATGCATGTTTAAGAATAAATATATTACCATATTATTTAAAACGTTTTAAATATATGTAATATACTAATATTACTACGAGATTAATAGAAGATATTATACCCATATCTCGCTTAAATATTAACTTTCCTTAACTACATTCAATTTTTTTTTACGATTTTAAAGATATGTAGTTTGTATTTATTACTATACTCTTGATTGATTAATCGAATAAGATTTAATGCAAACAATAAATATTATGTGCAAATCATAATTGGTTAAATAATTAAAAGCATATCTTCTACAGATTTGCTAAACAATATATATATTCTAAATCATTGGCATATTACAACAATATATTTTAAAGATCACAATCTTTCCAAAAACAAGATAATCATTTATTCAATCACAATATTTCGGATTTATTAGTTTCCTCCATAAGATTTGTGTATATCAAAATTTAACTTCACCACCAAGAAACCCTTTATCTATCATTTATTTCTCATGGCATCTTTTAGGAGTCTTTCAAACTTGAAACCCTTTAAGAACATGTACAAATAAAGGTTAAGATTATAAGATTTTGAAAACAATACTTTGTTTTTCTGGTAATACAATAGAAATTGTACTAACAAAGTTTTTGTTTCTTTTCTTTTGTAATAAGAACTTTCATATTTTCTGTTTTGTTTTTAACTTTTTGATTATAAATATTTTTAACTTGCTAAATTTTTTTAATGATCATAGATCATATGATGGAGCGGGTTAGAATTTACATAAATACAATAATATAGTTTTGATATACACAAAATTAAAAAAAGTTGATAATATTAATAATATTTGAATTCCATAAAAATTAAAAATATATTTATTATGAAACTATTTAAAAACCAACTTTTAAATTGGCTTAAATTATATATCTTTTAAATAAAAATATTGTTAAAAAGAAAAATAACAAAATGATGTTTAGTTTCACATGACGGGGTTATATAGGGAGACGGGACGGTATACCACGGGTGAAATTGTAGAATTAACAATCAAAATACAATTATACAATCTTAAATACTAAACAAAACAAAAAATATTAACAAAACAAATGCAAGTTAAAATTTAAATTTTTTTCAAAAAAATATCATCCCGCGGTGTACAGTACCATAAACAAAAGTTATGAACCAGAACCTACGGCATTGGGTTTTGGAGACCCACGTTCTAACACAGATACTTGCACATATATATAAAGTCCTTACACACTTTCAAAACTATTTAAATATACAACAAACACAATAAGATGATACGTTATTTGCACACGCCGCGGTACATCGTCGCTTACTAAATAGTAATCTCATTTTCCTTTATTATTATAAATATTCAAACATACAACATACTAATCGTACAATTAACACTATATAGATTTCTATATACATTCTAATCACACATGTAAATAGGTTATATAAAGACTTATTATATTTAAAACCTATATTGATTTTTCTCAAACAAACATATATTATTTTTAAAAATAAAAATATAGTCCCGCGGTGTACCGCGGGTCAATCCCTAGTTATGAAATATAAAGTGAAAGCCCGCACGTAGTGCGGGTACTCACCTAGTGTAAATTAAAATTTGCAATTTAGACATATGTAGTAACAAGGAAAAGATAAATAACAATTATACGTGCATGAACTTGTTATGATTATTGAAATGCTGGCATTGGGCCGTTGAAGATGGTCCTACCAAAGAGAAGTCTATTATTTGTTAATATCAATCGAATCTATCAATTCTTGTGACTCCAAACAACAAAACTTTAATAATCTTCTTTTGAAACAAAACAAAAATGTCGATCTTTCAATTTTGAAGTTCAAGGTTGTATTGTAAAGGGTCAAAGGCTAACTTTATCGTGCCAATTATCGAGGCAAAGATATTGGACATTGATACTCTTTTTTGTAATCTATACAAAGACCATAGTCCAAAATAGTTCTTAAGATCTCACATGTGATGGGTTTTTTCTTAGGGTTTCTGGCATATTGGGGTACTTTTTAAGTTTTTAAGAGCATATGGGGCACTTTGGTGGGAGTAGGCACTTTTTTAAGTTTTTTTCACTGTACAACAAAAATCAATACAATTTTGCCCTCAGATATCCTGCAAACGCCTAACTAGATTGGTTAGAAAGTAACTGGACATGTTTTAATTCTTGCCGTCGGATTTAAAGTAGAAAACAGATCTGAGAGTAGGTGGGAGAAAATACTGCAAAAACAAAACTGAAAAATAAAAGCTAAATATTCTCTCTGCAACCATCGTCATCCTTACTTCTCTCTTCTTCTTAGATCTAAACTCAAATAAACAGAGCTTTTGATTTTGCATAGTCAATGAAGAATTCGGGATTAGATATTAAAATCAAAGAAACAAAGAGTGTTATAGTGTACTTTTCTCCTTCTTAAAATTATTTTTCCGATTTCTCAAGGATGAGAATCGTTTTATCAAATTCAAACCATTAGCTCACTGGGTTTCTATCCTTCAAGGCCTCCTGGGTTTTTCATCCATCGAAATCATCACTGGCATCGTCGCCATCATCGTTGTCTTACTCTCCCATGGCGTTTAGAATCACATCGGTGACGACGTTGATTTGTAGTGGAACCGTGGTGGAGTATGACGTCCTTTGCAATTTGGTGTCCAATAATTGTTGTTTTATCAATGACATGTTGTTGTTCACATTCTTTCTGCTATCCATGTGAATGAACCTGCATATCTCATTAATATTTTGTTATGTGTTGCAAATTATACATGTTAAGTTTGAACACGCCTTTGTTCATTGACTCCTTTGCGCTGACATCTCTTTTTTAATTCTACTAGTTTTGTGCCTTTGTCGCTTCACCACAAAGATCAAAAAGTGAGTTGTAATTGTTTCTTTCTTCTTGTCCACATAAATCTATTCATTTCACAATGTGACTGTCATGGAGGTGTCTCTGCCTTTGCTTGTGTTTCTCTCCGATTCACCGGTTCGGAACATTCCGGTGTCCAAATAGACGAAACATCTTTCCTCCATTACTTCTAAAACTCGATCTCCTTGCTCAGTCCTGAGGGCACCACGAGCTCAAAGCTTTGTTCGCTTGTCATCAATGGCAAAAAAACTATTATCATCCTTGGCTATTAAGAAAAATCAAGTGTTGAAGATCGATTTCAGCTCGAACCAAATTTGAAGTCTCCTTGAAGAAGCTTTGGTTTATCTTCCGAGATATCATCGTATCTTTTTATCGTCTTGTAATCCTATCAAACCTTGTAGAAACGGACTCCTTGGCAAATAGTTTCGTCTTTAGTTGTGCTCTTGTAATTTTGGTTTGATGAATGAAAGTAAGTTGGGAGCAAAAAAAGATCCTAAGCTTGATGGTGGGTTTGGTGAAGAAGAAGCTAGTGTGTAAACAATGTATATATAGATGGCTATTTATGGATGATTAATTGTGGATTGTTGAATTTAATTAAAATCTTATTTACAATATATCACAAGTTTGTTAAACATTGCTAAGTATAATATTGAATTTAATTAAAACCTTATACATATTTGTTTTAAATACATGAATTAATCTACTAGTTTGTGATTGCTAGTAACCATTTAAAATTGTCATTTGGCCGTTTCTAGTCAAATAATAATTTGACTTGGGTACAATGTTCTCGTAATTTAGTATATGTAAGAGTCAAAGCCATGTGGACAAGCATATATGGTTAATTAGTCGAATGAACCAGCGTATAGACTCAAATCTTAGATTTATTTTAATACAAAGCTTTTGTTGAATCAAGTCTTATGTTGATGGAAAGATGAATTGAATTATTAGTTCTTAGATATTTTTGGTTTCTGCATTTGCACCAGCGTGAAGAGACGATCTTGTTTAAGCAATCTATTTTGACCATCCATATGTTCACATGCATCATCTAGTAGGTTCATCTAAACCCTAAACCCTCAAGTCCACGAAAGTATATCCACAATACTGAAGTCTACAATGTCTACAAAGTAACACTTCATCTGAATCTACAAAAATTTTGGTAGTTTTTTGTGTTCCATCTACTCTTTATTTGCTAAGATGTCCACTGAAGATAGTACACGTGGACGATGAGTTATGGACGATAAAACAAAATATTCCACCATAGCAAATAAAGATTGAGCCCAGAAAAAAACCATGAAAAATATTTATTTATTGAGCGCATAAACAATCTTAGACTTCTCTTTAAAAAAATTTCCATAATAACATGTCCATCCCCAAAAAAAAAGACTAAAAATGTTTACCACAAAACAAAACTCCCAAAATGAGATTGCAAACATAGCTCTTTTGGTTAGAAAAATGTAAATTCCAACTACGTTGACTAAATTTAAAATACCTAAAAACTTGTAATATGTCATTCCATAACTCTTGTGGTGCCCATAATAATGTGTGTCTCATGAAATTTCTTAAATAGTTTGTGTAAAATCAAATCTTAGATTTATTTTAATGCAAAGCTTGAGTTGTAAAAAGTCTTACATTGATGGAAAGATGAACTTGAATTTTTAGTTTCTAGGTATTTTTGTTCTTTTCATTTGAACTAGTGTGAAGAGACGATCTCGTTTAAGCAATATCTTTTGACCATCCATATGTTCACATCCATCCTCAAGTAGGTTCATATAAAGTGTGATGAAGATATTGCTTAAACCCAAAACCCTAAATCCTTAACCCTAAACCATAAACCCTAAATCCAAACCCATATAGACTAAACCCTAAATCCTAATGCATAGAGACTAAACCCTAAACCCTAGATACAAAACGCTGAACCCTATACCCTAAACCATAGAGACTAAACCCTAAACAATTGATAATAAACCCCTAAACCCTAAACCCTAAATCCTAAACCATAAACCCTAAATCCTAGATCATAAACCATAGAGACTAAACGCTAAAGCCTATACAATTAACCCTAAACCCTAAACCCTAAATTGTAAACCATAAATCCTACAAAGCAAAACCCTAAACCCTAAATCCTAAACCGTAAATCCTAAACCATAAACCCTAAATCCTAAACCCTAAATCATAAACAATAAACCCTAGACCCTAAATCCTAAACCCTAAACCATAAAACCTAAACCCTACACTAAACACTAAACCCTAAATTCTAAACCCTAAACTCTAAACACTAAACCCTAAACCCTAAATCCTAAACCCTTATCCATAGAGACGAAACCTAAACCCTAGACACAAAACACTGAACCCTTTAGCCCTAAACCATAGAAACTAAACCCTAAACCATAAATACTAAACCCTAAGTAGATAGAAGAAAATCAATTAAGTAGTTAATTAGTCAAATGAAATTAACATTCAACAATTGTTAGTATCCTAAGTATTTTCCATCGTAACAAAGAGTTTAGAAGAGATATAATGCTGGATTTGATATGCTTCATTTTATTATTGTTAGTTTCTCGAAACATTTTTAACTAATAAATATCCAAGTATATCCGTAGAGTTGTGACCACATGGATGTATATGGTCAAGGTGTCTATATGTACCACACATCCAACAAATTTTGATCAAGTGATTGCTTTTTATATTCTATTACTAGGCGGGAATTTTTGTATACCGACCTTTTGAACATCACTCTTGTTGCATTAAGGTCGTCGATCGAACACATAATACATTTACTTGTTCATAGCAAAATGGATGAGAGTAAGTGTTCAAACCGTCTAATTCATATTGAAAATTTAGTTAAAATAAATTTATTCAAAAACTATCTATACTTGATTTAGCTTGAACTTAAATTTTTTTAATTTGACTATGATGGAACATTAGAAGAACTGTGAACGGCCACTTGTGGATAGTCACCAAATTCACGCACGCCGTCCATTTTTCTAAGGACCATCTGGTTGCTTGTAGTTGGACACATCCATCTTTTATAGAACATTTAGTCATTCTTAAAGATCAAACATGTAATAGTCAATACAAAATAGATGGTCGATGTCCATGATAATACATCCACTTAAACTTGTTTATACGTAAATCCTTCTAATGATGGTGGCTTTCAAAATCAGACATAAACCTTTCGGATAAACCGAATAAAAAAAAAAAAATTGAAAGAAAACTTTTAGCCATGTTCTTGTGCAGAATTTATTTTTATTAAAAAACCCCACCACTCACTCACCCATTGACATCTTTTACTGTGAGTGTCCAACATCAATTGGCACTTTGATCAAGGGGCCAACAGGAGCACCTTCAAGAACAGCAGACACAAACAAAGAGAAAGTCTCTTTTGCTTCACCAAAGGAAACAACAATGTCAAGAAAATCAAACTTGGATACAACGATAAAGATTATAAACTAAGTTAAACACCACATACGTGTTCATAAGGAGTACATGAAAGGAACCAAATCATAATTACAACGCATCCAATCGTTGTAAGATAACCGCCAATATTCCAGAGCACATGGAGAAAAGCTCCAAACGCAGACGCAACAAGAGCACATCATAAGGTCAGATAAACCTACAAGTTCCACGACAAGTACCACAACCAATGAGTAACATTCCTTTATAAAAATCAAATTCCCTTTAACAGACCATTTATATGTAAATCGAACATGACGATCAACGAAATATCTCCACGGAATCATAAGCAAGTAAAATATTAACAAACTAATTCATGGAAAGACGCAATTAGAAACCCTAGAAATCTATGGAGAGCACAATCGCAACGATTCGTTCAACAGAAGCCAAATCCTAGAAATTGAAGTGAAATCTAGAAACATAGAGCAATCAATACGAAGAAAACGAAAGAATCTTAGTGAATCGCATAACAAGCGCCTCTAATCTAGAAATTGCGGTTAGAGTGCGACATGAATGCATCGGCGACGAAGAAAGACACCTGTTTAAGATGATTTTGAACGGCAGGAGAAATCTGACGGAAGTTTTTAAGAGAATCCTAGCTCCAGCTTCTGCTACTAGGTTGAGAATCGAAGAAGGAAGAGAACGCATCCGTTATTTAGTTTTTTTTTTGCTTGACTTTGAGAATCAATTAATGAAAATATTAGTGAAAAAGAAAGACTTTTCGTTGGCTTCGTAAAAATTGAAAGAAAGAGAAGAGAAGAGAGTCATAATAATGATTTTAATTTTTTTTTATGAAATATTTAGAGTAACTAGACATAGTTTGAGGGTATTCTGGTAAAAAAACTTTAAAAAGTACCCACTATTCCTAATGTGCCCCATCATGAGATTGAGTTTCATAAAAGTGCTCTAGAGAGCAATATTTCCTTTTTCTTATTGCATTGGTCAAATTGAAATCATTATATTTGGATTGCAGTCTGTGCATGATCAGTTTGAAAGTGTTGTATATAATACATTGTTTTAAATAAGTTTCTGAATAATTGACATTAAATTATTTTTCCTGTCATTTTGTAAATTACGTTGAAAATGTAATAACTTACAAAAAATGGTTATATCTTAAAGTTACTAAACTCTATCAACCATTAGACAGTCTTCTTCTTTTTAGACTAGACTTATGTACACTATCTTCTTCTTCTTTTTCTCTATTCGACATTGATATTAGATCAATGATATAAGCATATGTAAGAAATGAATGAATGCTAATGATTTTCAATTACTACTAAAGTATGTACAAGATTATAAATGGATAATAAATAGTTCAATAATCTCCTTTTTCTTGGTCGATATGCAGATGGATTTTTATTTTATTTTGGTTATCGTGAAGATGGATTTAAATTAAAGTCGTTTGATTTAAATTAGCCTAAAATTCAAATCAGAAACAATTCAGTAGAGAGACATAAACAATAAAATATAAGGGTAATTTAGCAAATTCTTGAAACAAACAGGAAAAAACTGTAAAATAAAAAAGCGCCAACTATTGTAGGCGATTACTGTTACAAATGAGCCAATCAAAAACAAAACCTCTAACTAACTTAGCTACTTCAAAGATTACGCAATCGCCTGTTTTTAGGACTCAGTGGCAAACTCGTAATAACAAAGTCCTAAGAAGCCTCATTTCGTCATTTCATGTCCTTCGTTCTTCTTCTTCTCTCCACCTTCACTGCCACTCACACCTACACGCGCGACTACTCTCTCTCTCTCTTCTGAAGCACTCAAAGAGTAAAGTTTCTCTGCATTTTAGCTTCTCTCTCTCTCTAGAAATGGCGGGTCGGATCCAATCCCACCAGCTACCAAATGGACTCTACGTATCGGGTAAGCTCGAGCAACCAAAAGAGCGACCACCGACAATGGCGGCTCGAGCTGTGCCTTACACAGGAGGCGACATCAAGAAATCCGGCGAGCTCGGAAGGATGTTCGATATCTCCGTCGTCGATTCGGCTTATTTTCAAGGACCACCGCCGTTAATCGTCGGTGGTAATAGCAGCGGAGGAGCATCAAGGCTTCAGGCACCGCCACGTGTCTCCGGTTCTTCTTCAAACCCTAACAGTGGATCCGTTCGATCTGGTCCTAACTCCGGTTCGGTTAAGAAATTCTCAGGTCCACTCTCTCAGCTTCAGCCAACTGGTTTAATTACCTCCGGTTCTCTCGGTTCTTCGGGTCCAATTTTATCCGGGTCTAGAAGGTCGGGTCAATTGGATCACCAGTTGAGTAATTTAGCGTCGAGCAAGCCTAAATACGGGTCGTCGGTGACGAGTCTTAACGTAGACCCGGTTCGGGTCGGGTTTAAAGTACCAAAAGCGATGGTTTGGGCGGTTTTGATTGTAGCGGCTATGGGATTGCTTGTTGGAGCGTTTCTTACCGTGGCGGTGAAGAAACCTGTGGTGATTGCTGCGGTTTTAGCCGCGGTTTGTCCAGCAATCGTGGTTTTGATTTGGAATTGCGTTTGGAGAAGAAACGGATTATTGAGTTTCATCAAAAAGTATCCAGATGCTGAGCTTAGAGGTGCCATTGATGGTCAATTCGTCAAAGTTACAGGGGTAAGTTAAAACCTAATTTTCAGATGTTAAAGATCTCTCAGTGTTAATATTTCCAGTATTAGTAAGTGACTTTAATTGTTCTGATTAAAGTAAATTGCTTCCTAATTTAGCTTTTGATAGTTAGAATGTCATTATCATCATTGGCTTTTCTTATGGATGTTTATACTCTTGGATCTCTGTTTTAGTGTTAATTAACTTCATTTTTAGTTTATGTTTTGCTCCATTATGTGTCTGGGTGCTTTATGATGATTTTTGCTTTTGTCTGTGTTTGAAATTTTATATTATTACCACCAATTCTCACCAAACTAAAGTTTGCTGGTTGTGTTTAGCATTGATTGATTAATTAGACCATTTATAATTCGACAAATTGGAGTCACGGGTATTTTTGTATTGTGGATTGGATTACAGTCGTCAACAGCTAGTTTAATGCGTTGTACAGACCATTTATGTTGTCTGAATTAACAATGTTGCTGTAGATATGGTTATATATGGTAGTGTGGTCACTGGTGTATCTTTTATTTGCTGGAAATTTTAAAACTTATGTTATGTTTGTAGGTTGTGACATGTGGAAGCATTCCTTTAGAGTCTTCATACCAAAGAACACCAAGATGTGTTTATGTATCCACGGAGTTGTATGAGTACAAAGGTTTTGGTGGGAAATCCGCAAACCCAAAACATCGATGCTTTTCTTGGGGATCTAGACATGCAGAGGTTAGTTTCTTTTTCTATCTTGCATAATGATAGTTGTCTCTGGTCAAGATTCCAAATCTTATATGACAAGAGGAGATGGCTAAGTTTGATGCCTCTTGTTGTGGTTATATTTCTTTTGCAGAAATACGTGTCGGATTTTTACATCTCAGATTTCCAATCTGGATTGCGAGCGCTAGTAAAAGCAGGATATGGATCAAAAGTTTCTCCTTTTGTCAAACCGGCGACAGTGGCTAATGTAACAACGCAGAACAAAGATTTATCTCCCAGCTTCTTAAAGTGGCTGTCGGATCGCAACCTCTCAGCCGATGACCGTGTCATGCGCCTCAAAGAAGGGTATGCACATCTTGATATTTCTGTCAGAGTCACTAACCAAACCTTGGAATCTAGATTTGACCTGAAACTACCCAAAATACGACCTTCTAAACACTGATTTCTGTATGATTGATAGTATTTACTCTCAGACTGTTGATGTAGGCGTTTGCATTGACTGGTACAGATGGATTTTTCTTCCACACTAAAAGTAACAATCTAGAAAAAGATGTGATGAAACATGTATAGTGGGAAGAAATCCGTTAACTTTTGTCAAAGTAAACGGCTTAAATATCTCACATCAGTGTTTGATAACTTAGTGTGACCCAAAAGTCACCGTTTTGTTAGTACAAAGGAAGGATTTTTTGACTACTCTCGTCTTTGTATTCCACACAAGAAAGCTCATTGGTTTCACATTTGCAATGAAAGATAACCCTTTGTTACTGATTATCATATTTGATTGTGTGTGATGATCAGATACATAAAAGAAGGAAGCACAGTGAGCGTGATGGGGATGGTAAGAAGGCACGACAACGTGCTGATGATAGTTCCTCCGGCAGAAGCAGTCTCCAGTGGGTGCCGGTGGTGGCACTGCCTCTTCCCAACCTATGCAGATGGCTTAATCATCACTTGCGACGATAATCAAAACGCTGATGTCATTCCTGTCTGAACCAATATGTATGTAATGCTCCTTTTGCCCAATATTCAAATATATAAATGCTTAAAGAGTTAGGCTCACGAGACTGAAGGAAGAGAAGAGAGGGATGAGAGGACAGCCAAATTGGTTCAAAAAAGAAAACCAAATGGGCTTTGCCTTTTGCCTATTAGCTTTTGTTTCTTTCTTAATTCTGTTTTTTTTTTTGCCCCTTGTATGGGGTTTATGTTTGTGTACATAGAGCCCCAAAGTGTAAATGCTATTTTCTGTTTAAATAATTATTATGTCCTATCTACTATTCTTTATTCACAAAACCTTAGGCTGCAATAGTGCAATAGGTGATGATGAATTGATGACCTGTACTAGTGTCGTGCTAGTAACAACTAACAAGTAAGCATGAAAGCTTCAACAAAGCCCATGCAGAAGCCTATGATGGGTTTGCATAGGGTTTGAGCTTGTAAATTTCTAGTCGTGGACCTCAGTCAAAACCCGAAACTTAAAGCCCAAAAGTGAGATAAAAAAAGACAGCTTTTACCCATTTTAATTTACGGTTTCTCTGCTTGTGAAAAGTGAAAACACAAAAACCCAAACTCTCTCTACAAAGGTGGAGGCACTCTTCTTTGTCTCCCTCCACTCTCGAGGCTCGCTCGACCCCTCTCTGGTTAGTTTTATGCTCACATGTTTAAATCTTTGTTTCTTCCGGATTGATTTGGTTGGTGTTTGGATTGAATTATCGACTATTGGTTGATCTCATCGCCCTCACATGTTTTGATAATAATGAACTGATTATCGATTATGCGTCTTGGCGAGAGATTTCCTTCTTAGCTTTGCTTGTAAAGCAGAATACTTTATTTTAGTTTCTGCATCTGCTTCCTTTCGATTTCAGCTGGTGGGTTTCTCCAAATTTGACTCTTTTGTTACTGTAATGAATTGAGAATTATGGTTCTGAGCGAGAATCCATTGTTTGCGCTCACGTGTTTTGATAGTAATGAAGTGAATTATCAATTATGGGTTTGGGAGAGGATTCGTTGTTTGCTTGTAAAGCATAACACTTTATCTTAGATTTTGCATCTGCTTGATGTTGTTAGCTGATGGGTTTGTCCAAATTTCACTCTTTTTTCTCTTTCTTTTTTTACTGTAATGAATTGAGAATTATGGTTCTGAGCGAGGATCCATCGTTTCTTTGTAAAGGAGTAAACTTTATCTTAGATTCTGTGATTTCAGCTGGTGGGTTTGTCCAAGTTTCATTCTTTTTCTGATGGAAGTATCTTTTCAGTTTTACTCATGTTTACTTATCTCAGTGGCTTTTTTTTTTGTCTGCAGTGGGTGATTATCTACTTTGGTTGTTGATGCTGGAAAGGTTTATTTAGGATTTTTTGGGTTTGCAAAAGGATGGATAGGATCAATGGTCTATCAGATGATATTATTTGCCACATTCTATCTTTCCTTCCGTTCAAAGAGGCTGCTTCAACATCTATCCTCTCAATGCGATGGCGTTATTTGTTTGCTTTCAGACCGAATCTTTGTTTAGATGATCAAGAAATGGGCGGAGGAGAAAGTTTCATCGACTTTGTGGACAGAGTATTGGCTGTGACTGGCAATTTCCCCATAAGGAATTTCTCTATAGAATGTCGTATGAGTATCGACACGGGTCATGTCACCCGTTGGATGACTGACGTGCTGAAACATGGTGTCTCAGATCTTGATATTGACATAATCCCTGATAACGATGACATTTTCGTGCCTCTCGAGATCTTCACTTGCAAGACATTGGTTGAGCTGAAACTCGCAAAAGGATTTATTGCTATGGTTCCTGATTATGTTTCTCTTCCATCACTTAAGACTCTCTTTCTTACTTCGATTTTGTTCTATAATAGTGATTGTTGCCTTTTGGGAAAGCTTCTTTCTGCTTGCCCTGTGCTGGAGGAATTAACCATTCTTAGTGGGAACTGGCAACATATAGAATTCTGTCGCACCATCTCCTCTTCGACCCTTAAGAAACTTGCTATTACGTCTTCTTTTCACAATGAATTTTGGGGCATCACTTTCGATACACCGAGTCTTACCTACTTAGAATACTCTGATTTAGTTCCAAGACACTTTCCGTTTGTGAATCTCGAGTCCCTTGTTGAAGCTAAGCTCCATCTTGGTGTATATCCTGATAGCAATCCAACAAATCTGATTAAGGGTTTAAGAAATGTTGAAGTCTTGGAGTTATCATCTGGTGATACCAGTGAGGTAAAGACTGACCTCCCCTTCTTTTTCTTCTCTGTAAGATATATACTATTGCATGCAAGTTAAGATCATCGAAGACCAATTTTAAGAACCATGTCTCGAGGTTTTTGGATCCAAATACTGCAATTGTTTGATGACTAGTGACTTGTTTATTTTTGTTCTGTTTCAGACATTCTATGATTTCCGTGAAGCAATCCCAGTGTTGAGCAAGCTGTTTCGTTTATCTATTAAAACTGATTTACTCCACTACCATTGGAAACTTCTGCCAATACTTCTACAAAAATCTCCAAATCTAGAGACTCTCGTCATCAAGGTATAACCAAAACCCCGAAAATGTATTGGACAAACTCAAATCTCTCATCTTTCCTCTTGTTTCAGGGTCCATTGCGCGCTGATAGATATGAACGAGAATATGGATTGTCATGTCCTGTGAAAGTATTGAAGATAACTGAGTATGGAGGAAAATTTGAAGAGCTAGAGCAAATGAAACATTTCTTAGAGAAACTGCCATGTCTTGAGCTTGTCAAAGTTTGTGCTTCTGCAAAAAACGACAAGGAAAAGTCACGAATCACCAAAGATCTGCTATTGCTTCCTAGATCGTCCAATTGCAATATCCAGATCAAGTTTTTATGAGAATACTACTAAGTCATGCATGAAAAGAAAAGAAAAACAACTTTTGTTACCTCCTAGTTGAATAATTCTGTCTGTTGGAACATAAATTGGTTTGTGTGCACATTTGGTTACAACTGCTCTGTTTCCTGATGTTTGATCTTTGTTTGAACGTGAATCAGAATGGTTGAATGGACTTATTTTTCTCATTGGTTATATGTGAAAATTTTGAATACCGTAGTCCGTAATTCTTGTTAGCAATGGAATGCAAGTTCCTTTGAACAAGTAACCAAGCATTTTGTAAGTCTTTCTTGGATGTTGATGACCTCTAAGCAGATAAAAAGCCTGAAGATTTACAGCTGAGTATTGTGAGCGGAGAATGATAGGTCTGAGTGACCGTGAGCAGGTGATATCGTGGTTCAAGCTTTTGTGTGGGAGACCTACAGAACAGTTCATGAGATATGGCGAAACAACTCAAAGTTGGAAGCATTGTATGAGGTTAGTTTTTTAGTTTGATTGTTCAGTTGGTAAAGACTGGTCATAAGAAAGAACTGGTTGATTCACTGTGCATTATTTATCTTGTAGATGACAGCACATGAAGCCTTCCAGTTCTGTAAGCAGTATAAAAGACCAACAAAATTTGGTAGGCTTTGTGATATTACCAGAAAATTCATTTGCACAAACCTTTACAAATACAGACTAGAGGGACCGCGCGACTTGATTGGACAACGCCTGAAGCCTTGCAACTTTATCTGGACAAAAGATTTGAGCAGCTGAAAGTTATATGTTTGTGTAATAATTAGCATGAAAGTTGCTGATAATTAAGCTTATGTCAAAACCCCATGCAGAAACCTCTGTTTGCTTAAATAGGGTTTGAGCATGTAACTTTGTAGTTGTGTGGATCTCAAATCAAAACCCAAAATTAAAAGCCCAAATGCAAAAGAAGTCAGTTTTTTTTTTTTTTTTTTTTTTAATATATGTACCTCATTTACAAAGACACATGTTGGTGTTTGCATCTTCTCTCATATGGGCACTTGTTGAAGTCTTAAAGAGAAACGAAACACACAAATTCTCTCTACAAGGCACGCTTCTTTGTCTCCGTCCTGGTTAGTATGATTGAATCTTTGGTCACTAATTTGGTTGGTGCTTGTAATCGAATTGTGAACTAGTTTCTGCTGCGATTGAGATCTCAAGTTTTGATAGTAATGAATTTAGAATTATGCAAGAATTCGTTGTTTGCTTGTAAAGCAGAATACTTTAGTTTAGATTATGCATCGCCGATTCTAGCTAGCTGATGGGTTTCTCCAAATTTCATTTTTTTGTTTTTTGAAAATTGATTCTTTTGCAGTGGGTGATTGATTGGTGCTGGAGATCTCTTATTCAGAGCCTGGAAAGGTTTATTAGGATTTTTTTTTTGGGTTTAGGATGGATAGGATCAATGGTCTATCAGATGAGATTATTTGCCACATTCTATCTTTCCTTCCGTTCAAAGAGGCTGCTTCAACATCTATCCTCTCAATGCGATGGCGTTATTTGTTTGCTTTCAGACCGAATCTTTATTTAGATGATCAAGAAATGGGCGGAGGAGAAAGTTTCATCGACTTTGTGGACAGAGTATTGGCTGTGACTGGCAATTTCCCCATAAGGAATTTCTCTATAAAATGTCGTATGAGTATCGACACGGGTCATGTCACCCGCTGGATGATTGACGTGCTGAAACACGGTGTCTCAAATCTTGATATTGACATAATCGCTCAAGATGTCGTTTTAGTTCCTCTCGAGATCTTCACTTGCAAGACATTGGTTGAGCTTAAACTAGCAGAAGGATTTGATGCTATGATTCCTGATCATGTTTCTCTTCCATCACTTAAGACTCTCTTTCTTGATTCGATTTGGTTCTATAATAGTCATTATTGTGTTTTGGGAAAGCTTCTTTCTGCTTGCCCTGTGCTTGAGGAATTGACCATTTGTGGTGATAGTTGGCAAAATCCAAAATGCTGTCGCAACGTGTCCTCTTTGACCCTTAAGAAACTTACTATTATGTGTACTGAACGTACGGATTTTTGGGACATGACTTTTGATACTCCGAGTCTTGCCTACTTAGAATACTCTGATTTAGTTCCAAGACACTATCCGTTTGTGAATCTTGAGTCCCTTGTCGAAGCTAAGCTTGATCTTGATGCATATCCTATCAGCAATCCAACAAATCTGATTAAGGGGTTAAGAAATGTTG